AAAACATGTAAGTAAAAATAGTTTGCCGTAGGCCAAAAAAACAAAACATTCTACAGTATCTAATCAAATATTGTTGTGCGACAGCTGTTATTTTTTTGTACTTTTTCTCTGTTGATATAAAATAATTTTAATTATGCTTTAGAATAATTGACCGCTAACAAGTGTTGAATGTGGAACTGGTACTGGAAGAGAACGGGTGCGTAAGAGGTGTTGCAATAAATATTATGACTCATGCATAGCCTAGTCTGCAGGCTGAGTCTGCAATTTTAACCTCTTAAGTTTCCATCGCTCCCAAATGTACATCTTCCCTTACCAAAAATAGAAGAAAACACATGTATAGTAAAGGCAGAGGTTACACAGTATCTATGAAAAAACTCGAAAATGAAGTTCATGTAATGTTAAAAGGAAAGAGGATACCAAGTATTTTTTTAAACCAAGTACAAACACTAAACAATAAAACCATATCATTTAATTAACACAATCGTTTAAAACAAGATTTACTTATAATTACTTTTTTGTACCAAATTATTATACCAGGATGTAAGAAAAGAAATGTACAAATGACTTTCTCATCAGAGCGATATCTGAATAAACCATTGCCACAAAAACCGCACATGCCCTGTCTATCACGTGTTATGATCTAAGTGCATACAAATAATTTTCTTGTACATTTTACACCACGTTGTACAAGGCTTATAAGTAAAATGCTTTTACCTGTAACATGTTCTTATGATAATGAAAAACCTTGCCACAATTTATTTATTTATATCAAGGTTATTTTCTTCCTATATATTTATCGATATGTCTATGTAGTGCATATTTGTTTATTCATTTTGTTAATGTTCAAACAGTACTTTTTTATTACAATAAAATATGCACATGTGCTATCATGCCTTTCTGTTCTTTCCAAAGGTTTTAGCCTCTTGTAATTTATGCTGAGTGAGCTAGAGAGTTATCACTTCAATATAAAAATTAAGAAATAATACACATTATAAAATGAAATAGGTTTTGCTCCCTTGAAACTAAATATTTTTGGCTTAATTTTCTTTCAATTTTCAGCTTTATTTTTAAACATTTTTTTTAAATATACTTAACTATCTTTTAAATATACTTTATAATCTTTGGATCCGCCGAGGGTTTTTACAACAGGGACCGGAACTTTTTTTCAAGATTTTTGTATGACTCGTGAACACAATTTCAGATCATTCGCTTTTATTGTGCAAATTAACCCTCAATTGAAAAGCGTCACGCTTTTCATTCAAATCGGGCAAAAAGAGAAACACCACAATTTACTATTATTTTAATATGTTTATATATTGTATAGTTTTTAATTTTTAGTGGGCCAGTTGATTTAGAGAATTAAAAAATCATGATTTTAAACTACTAGACCTCAGTAGATTACTTTTAAACAATATCATTAAGCTCATCTGTCAATTTTTAACACTACATATTTTTGGTCTCCAATTTGAAAATTGTGCCTCGTAAAAAATTGCATTAATTAATTAATTACCGTATATCATAAATAATTAAAAAGATCAATATTAGGTTCGCTTTTTATTATTTTTATATTTATATATTCATTATTTTAGCAAGTTGCATGCATAATCTCAAAAACACCATAAAGATGTAGAACCTAGGTGATTTGAGCAAAGCTCAAATACACACAAGCATGTGGCAAGCATGACAGGTCATGTACGGGATATTAGGACCGTATACCTCATTGCAATTTGGATCATGTCCAAATAAGGAATTATTAGTCTGAAAGACCATTTGATATTAGCAGTTTTCTGTAAATAAATGATGGACAGTGTTCTACGAACTTTTGGTGCATACGTATAAATGTCAGTTGGGAAAAAGGGAAAACCAGGTTGATATTGACAATAAGGTATTTGTTACATGCTTTGACCTTATCAATTCCAGATCTAACAGACGAGATATTCCTTATCCAGGGCAGTTAATAGCAAATGCCGCAATGACAAATTCAAATAGCTTGTATCACGGGGGAGGAAGTGTTACACGAAGGATGGAGTTCTTATGATAACTTGTTTGGAGTTCTTATGATAACTGTTACGGAGTTCCTGGAAAACGTTACGGATTTCTGTGGAAACCTTTTCTATTTACTTGGAGAACTCACGTGAAAAATGGTCATTTTTACCTTTAAATGGGGAGTTTGAGGTGCGAAATTAAACTTTGATAATTAAGCTTGCCCTACATATTGTATAATGTTTCAGAAAAAACTTTTATTCCATTTTTCATCGCCTTTATATAAAAAAAAATTAGTAGTTTTGAGTAAAATTTCCAAATTACTTGCTCATTCCTTTTCATTTGTGATCTTCTTCGTTGCTATACATAATTACATAATTATATTGCAGAGTTGCAAACATAAAGCCCAGGCTAATAAATTTATACCCGATTTTTCAAATGTCACGGAGTTCTTTTGAGATAACTCAAAATATGTCCTGGAGTTCTTATGATAACTTTTGTTACTGCCAGTGTGTTTCTTGTGATAAATTACGGCCCGTCTAAGCGTATTTTATTAGTCAATCAGCGTGTAAATCATTATGAAGCATAGTACGCGTATCATTTGCACACACATTTGGTTATATAACAGTGGTTTAGAGTGTATTTCAGTTCAAGAGATATTTTTCTTACCTCTGTTTCTTGTGTTTTTTTTTTTGTGTTTGTTTGATTGTTGTTTTTTTCCATTTCATTGGAATGACTGAAAACATACTTGATGTAGAGCATTTACTTACGGGATAAAAATACGCTTTTAATTTAATATCTAAGCATGATTTCTTCATGTATACATTATTCCTGGCAGTTCTAGAGAACATAAAGTAATTATGCTATCGGTCTGCAGAAACAAATTACATGTAAATGGTTGCAGCAAAATAGGAAGTAGTATGCACTACCTTTATCTAAATTTAATGAGGTGGGTGTCATCTTTAGATATTCAATGGATATCTTAATTTCTAAAAGGTATAAATTTTGTCATAGAAACGTATAAAGTTCTATGACAATGATATGACAATAGAAAGTAAGCCTTTAATGGTGACTCACATATATTATTAAATTCTTACTTTCTATTGTCATATCATTGTCATAGTACTTTTTACGTTTCTATGACAAAATTGATAAATTGAAATCATGCTTAAATATTAAATTTAAAGCGTATTTTTATCCTGTAAGTAAATGCTCTACATCAAGTATGTTTTCAGTCATTAATACCAATGAAATGGAAAAAAACAACAATCAAACAAACCCAAAAACGCAAACAAACACAAAAAAAAACACAAGAAACAGAGGTAATAAAAATATCTCTTGAACTGAAATACACTCTAAACCACCGTTAAATAACCGAATGTGTGTGCAAATGATACGCGTACTATGCTTCATAATGATTTACACACTTATTGACTATTAAAATACGTTAAACGGGTCGTAATTTAGCACAAGAAACACACTGGCAGTAACAAAAGAACATTTGAAAAATCGGGTATAAATTTATTAGCCTGGGCTTTATGTTTGCAACTCTCCATTATAATTATGTAATTATGTATAGCAACGAAGAAGATCACAAATGAAAAGGTCAATATGTACGAATGAGCAAGTAATTTGGAAATTTTACTCAAAACTACCAAATTTTTTTATAAATAGGCGATGAAAAAATGGAATAAACGGTTTTTCTGAAACATTATACAATATGTAGGGCAAGCTTAAATATCAAAGTTTAATTTAGCACCTTAAACTCCCCATTTAAAGTTAAAATGACCATTTTTCACGCGAGTTCTCCAAGTACATAGAAAAATTTTCCACATAAATCCGTAACGTTTTCCAGGAACTCCGTAACAGTTATCATAAGAACTCCAAACAAGTTATCACAAGAACTCCATCCTTCGTGTAACACTTCCTCCCCCGTGTGTATGTTTTGCAATATTGAATGTACAATTAAATTGTTTTATTACATGTTTTGCAGTAGATTACTGAATTATAACGGTTAAATATATTCTGATAATTTCACAGTAATGATTACCAAATATAATTTCACAGTAGCCGAACTATATTTGGCGTAAAAATAAAATATTTATCATTAATGAATGTTTTTTTTCAGCGAAAATGTAGTCAATCATAATAAAAAATGTACGTGATAACTGTAGTTCGTAAATATTTACGAACGTTGTGCTGAAATACATCTAAAATCTAAAAATAATCATGGAATTATATTTTGCTTCAACATTGTGACGTCATTATTTGATGACGTCATGAAGATAAGAGCATGACGTTACGCGGCAAAAATCAGTAAAATGGTGTAAAAATCGTTAAAAAATCATGAAATAAACAGAAAATTTGTTTGTTTTACATGTAAGATCAAATAATATTTCACTCGTGAACCCCAGCTATTATATTTTCACTCGTGGCTACGCCACTTGTGGAAAATATTGCATCTGGTGTTCACTCGGTGAAATATTTTTCGATCTTACACTGAAACAAACAAATATCCTCTATATATTTATATACTAGTATACTTTCCTATTTTAGAAATGAAGTTAAATTTTTCATATTGCTACATTCATATTGCACATTTTCAAAAAAAAGTACAAAATGGTCACTTTTTGGACTTTCATATTTTAGTTAACATGTGTTTTTTGAGCGAGCCCTCGACACTGTGGTTGCCAAAAGGATAGTATCACAACTTAATGAAAACTGCCAAATACACAAAGTGAACTAAAAAATTTCGGCTTAAGTTAGAAAGTTTCAAAACTCTCATTCCAATCCGTAAAGCCTTAAACACCACATGTCAGGGGAAACAACGACACTCGACTTATTAAATACCGGAAGCAGTACTCAAAAAATAAAATAAGAAAATAGTAAAAGATATTTTACTGCATCAAAACTTTAATCCGAAATCAGGACATGGAGGACAGCTCTCCATATATAGTGTATAGTTCAGCTAAAAAGCATAAAACTTACAAATAAATGAATATAAACAAAACAAGAAATAACTTTTACATATTTAATATAAATACAATTAACATTTATACATTTATTATAAATATATCTACATGTCTTATCACAACTTTGTGGGACGTTCACAATAATTTTTGTTCACAGAACAGGCAATATAATAAACTGTTGAATCCTAGAAATATTGAATCTATTTGTGACTTTCCTTCTTACATGACATTTAAATTGACATTTTATTCAACAAGTGCTCCTTGACATGAAACATTTACATTATTCTGCATATAAAATTACTTTGTAATTTCTATAGTAAACAGAATCCAATAGAAGTCCTTCATATTAGGATTCATAGTTTTTTTCCCCTTTTCAATTTTTCAAACATAAACTTAAATGTAATGCTCTCCAATTAATATAAACTAATTTTGTTAATATTCAAGAATTGTTCAATGTCATTTTCATTTTGTTTCACAATTAGCCATATTTAAATGACTAGAAAATACAAGTTAATATTCAGACCTAATCATTACATACATGTACATACAACAATTAAGCAATGACACAATGTTTTCATTTGATGAACACAACTAGGCATGCAAATGAGGAAGGCAGGGCTTGTAGTTATATCACAACAGACATCCAATCACAGTCCTGAAATAAAAAAAAAACATGTCATAAGTTTTTTCAATTTCGTTTTCTATTTTATCTCAGATGATGCTGGAAAAGTGCCAAAAAATTAGAAAATTGTTTTCTACCTCGGATCTTAATGTAACTTATTCAAAATACAAAATGCACCTTTATATACCAAACAGAAAATAAGACAAAAGAATAGCAGACACATATTTTTTTCTTTTCTATGACCTTGACCTAAGTGACCTCAAACCTCTATAAGTTTGGATAGGTACATTTAGATGCAGCAGCCTATGAGTTAATGAACCCTCTTAATAGTATCAGAGAGGATGATTATCTTAGGGAAAATGTGAGTGGATAGCCAACAATATTCTATTGACAATCTTAATAGCTTACTGAAGCACTTTGCACTAGTTGAACTGGAAGCAGGTGTCTGATGAGAAAGACTGCCATACTTAGGCAAAAAATATTCTTAAAAATCCTTGAAAATAAATTGCTTTCAGTACTGTTGCCAGTGAATACATGTGCCAAATACAAAACATAATAGATTCAATTAAACTTCTGAAATGTGTTTTTTGCTTCAAACTAAGTTAACAGATTAAAACTATTTTCAAACAAGACATTTTCCCTGAAATTAACTTAGCATCAGCAACACTATTAGAATTGATGTACCTTTAATGTTCTAAAACAGCATCCTAAACAAAGTCAATTTCACTACCTATAATTCACTGGTAATTTTCTTCATGAACATCATTAATCACAGATCATTATACTTTATCATACTTTATTAGGGAGAATATGAAATGAGTTCCAACTGGTAATAAATAATTTTAAATACATGTTCTAATAGACGCTTACAGAAAGCAGTACTTTCAAGGCTGATATATTGTTTTCTCTATATTGTAGTTTCCCAAGATTATTTCAGGCACAAAGGGACACCTAAGTAGAACCACTGACATTCTGTCAGCTAGCTGGATAGCTTCCTTACATAAAGGAATCAAAAGGCCCTGTTGGGATTCAAACCCACAGCAGTGAGGGACAAGTGGTTTGAAGTCAACAACCTCAACCACTCAGCCATGATCCCCTCTAACATGCTTTAAATGCATCAGAACTACATTACAGAACCATGTTTGCCCTGTCCACAGAAAGAAATGTATTCAAATTAGATTTTAACTGCCTTTTTTCTTAAAAGGCTACATAATGTAGTAAAATTCCATTGAACATGTAACTATGAGCAAAGTTCTGGTTCCCGTTTGTTTTATCATAGCATGTACATGTAGAATTACAGTATAGTATATTGCTGGTTCCAAATTATCATCACATGACAATCTTTACAATAATAACTCATAGATATTTTATACTTACAGGACAAGTCATTAACAGGTTGCTGGTTCCCGTTTCAGACATCACAGTATATACTGGCTCGCAGTCACATTTTTCACCATGCTGTTCCAAGCCGGAGTCCAGCATCTGTTTCACATTACTTAAAGTGAGACAGTCTTGCTGAAACACAAAATATATATTTGATTACAGTTTATGATGTGAAATAAGGTTCAAATTTCCTACCTTTGAATTAACTTTGTCTTGTAACAAGAAATTATTTATACTCAAGGTGTGAAAACAGAAAAACGTAAACTCCATTTCACATATCCCATTTCTTTTGCTTTCCCCTTGTTTCTGAATGAATACCTGTAATAACTATCATCTCATTTTAAGTGAGCATAACCTTGAAGTAGAAAATCTATTTTTAGCAAACCCACAAGCCAAATATCTGTAAGCTCTATGTCTGGCATAGATTGAGAAGAATGTATTTTTAAAGTGTTTATTTTTTCTTCTTTTTTTTTTCTTAAATACAACTGTAAGACTATATAAAAGATTATACTAAATCTAAAGACTAACATAAAGACCAGAGACATCCAGCACTGCATCAACTTTGACCTAAATGGTCATTATTTCAAAACCTACGTGTTTGTCAACTTTAATGAGACATATGCCTAAACACTACTTTAGAAATATAGTTTATTTTTTTCAACAGACCACAGACAGATATGTTTTCAATTTATAATGTCACAAATGGCATCTTTCAATTTCCTATCACTTTCCACATGACAAAAAAGAGCCATACCTCCGTATCGATTCGAAGACCACAGCAGCAAAATATCACAGATTTATTGGTAAGAAGAGCACTCCTGTGTAATAAAAGAAATAATAGTTATTGTCAGATATGAAGATAGCCTATGAAAAATAGATTGTCTCTTTTAATCAGAGAAAGATCTTAAATGTATTAGAAATCAAATAATTGACATTTTTTCTCCCATACTGACTATCAATTGTCGAGTTGGAGGACGTACATGAATAGACTGTCATTGTACTGAAGTTGTTGTCTTTTTTTATCAATGGACCAGGTGTTGTATTTTTTTCATAAATAAAATATCTCAATTTGTTTTTTTGGGTGCTTACGTACTGCAAACCCCTCAGGGGCAAGCCGTTGTTTACATTAGGAAGAAACTTTTCATTCATTGCTTATTACTGGTTGATTCCAGGAACAGATTCAAGTGTTTCAATAAGGTTTTACCTTCCAACAAAACATACTAATATAAACTTGTATTTTTGTTGGGGATTGAATACTGTTCAAGCCTGTGCTAGGGGGCCCGACAGATATTTTAGATTTTATTACAAGTATCTTTCATTTACATTTACATCAAACCTGGTCTGCAATTTTCAGTTTTTATTGCTCTTGAAGGATCTTCCCTATTAGTAATGTTTTTATCTTTATTTGTGAATCAGGTCCCAGATCCCACATAGGCTAGCTACCTGGTTACAACAATTTAACACCAGTAATTAAACTGTTAAAATAACTCACTTTTTACACAAAGGACAAATTACTTCCTCAGTTGACAGTTTATCAATGGCTGTACACAACGACTTCTCTTCTAGTAACAAACTTTCTTCATAATTTGAATAATCTTCCATCATGAGTAATTCTACAATAAACAAGGAGAAAGTTCTGACTTGCAAAATGTTTTAAAATCAAGACTATTTTTTATATGAATTCAAGTCCTATAAAGGACATTTTCTTACCAAAATTTTGCATGAAGTCAAATCTTCTCTGATGCCCTTTTTACAAGACTACATACACAGCAATAATATTATAGAGAATATCCATTGAATTCTATGGTTTTTCAATTTTTTTTTTTTATTTTTTTTTTGTAATTTTTACTTTTTTATTTTTTGTTGCTTAACCAATTTTATTTATTAGCTTTTTTTGTTACTCATTTATACAGGTAAACACAAATGAGTATTCTACACTTAATGAGGGTCTATTTCAGGCACTGAGAGTTTCAACCACACAGGTACACAAACCTATATACATGATATATATGTATGTGATTTATCAGTTTCTAGTAACATCAATAATTCAGGCATGCCCCTGACAAAGTAAGTGACATCTTACAGAATAACAAATATATAAGTTTACCTTCCTGTCTAAGTTCCTTTTGTATATCCTCAAACATGTCTAGTATCTGATCAATATTAAAGTCAAGGCTGCTTTCATTCTGAAATAGTAATTTATCAATCCATAATGGAACGTTAATCTGAAAATTTTCTACATTGTTATTCTAACAGACTGGGCCTTTTTCCCAGTTGAAAATAATAACTTACAATGTATCCACCCCTTGGGCTGGCAAATACATAGACAAAAAGCTACACAATTAAGCATGACCATATCTTTCTTTGGTAATGACAGTCATTTCTAAATTAAAATTTTGTAATGCTATGAGTTGTTTCCCTTGAAATAACATGGTAAATTATTCTAAAATTGAATTTAATTTTTAATATCTTAGAACTACTGTGCCATCTATGTAAATTTGGTGAAACTGTACAACCAACTGATTACCAGTCTTTACTTTAATCTGTACTTATCAAACATGCTGCCATTTTTTTCAATGAATCAGAATTATTTGAACAATCTTGGTAGATGGTCATCAAAAGATCATTTCTATGCTATAACATCAAAATCTGATCAACAATTTTTTATACACAAGGAAAATAGACTACGCTCCTACAAAATTACTTTATTTCAAGTATGATCTCACAAACTAAGGAATATTTGACCTTACCTCTATGTCAAATTCCTGAGCTGCTTTCTCCTGTTCCTTCCTTAGAATTTCCCATTCCTCCTTCATCAATTCCTCAATAAAATTATCATTGTTCTTCATTGCTGGTAACTTTCTGAAGCGAGCTTTCAGCTTGTCTCTGCTATCCCTTAATCTATCCATGCATCTCTGTAAGTTATACACCATTTTCATTTTAATACAATAATGGCTGAATTACTAAAGGTATTGTTCGGGACAACATTCAAAATAAGTAAACAGGGCATTGTCTGGGATAACAAGTTACATGCAGTCAAAATTACTAGGCAGGGCATTGTCTGGGATAACATGTTAGTCAAAATTACTAAGCAGGGCAATGTCTGGGATAACAGGTTAGTTAAAATTATTTAGCAGGGCATTGTTTGGGATAACAGGTTACTCAAAATTACTTAACAGGGCATTGTCTGGGATAACAGGTTAGTCAAAATTACTTTGCAGGGCACTGTCTGGAACAACAAGTTAGTCAAAATAAACAAGATATGTTTGTAAAACATGTATGCCCCCTATCAGCAGCCAATTATTCATGTGATAAGGTAATTATGCATGACTTCTGACCCAGTGATCAAACAATTAATAAGGGTTATCAAGTATCTACTGGTCATGACCTTGACCTTTGACCCCTTGACCCAAAACTCAATAGGGGTCATCTGCTGGTCAAGACAAATCATCATACAAAGTTTGAAGTTCCTAGGCCTAAGCGTTTTTACTTAATTGATCAGAAACCGTTTTTACTTACAAGGTCAATGTGACCTTGACCTTTGACCCCTTGACCCCAAAATCAATAGGGGTCATTTGCTGGTCATGACTAATCACCATGCCAAGTTTGAAGTTCCTAGGCCTAAGGGTTCTTTTATTATTGATCCGAAACCCTTTTAACATACAAGGTCAATGTGACCTTGACCTTTGACCCCAAAATAAATAGGGGTCATCTGCTGATCATGACCAATCACTATGCCAAGTTTGAAGTTCCTAGGCCGAAGTGTTCTTTAGTTATTGATCAGAAACCGTTTTTACTTACAAGGTCAATGTGACCTTGACCTTTGACCCCTTGATCCCAAAATCGAAAGGGGTAATCTGCTGGTCATGAACAATCACCATACCAAGTTTGAAGTTCCTAGGCCTAAGGGTTCTTTTGTTATTGATCAGAAACCGTTTTTTACTTACAAGGTCGATGTGACCTTGACCTTTGACCCCTTGACCCAAAACTCAATAGGGGTCATCTGCTGGTCACCACCAATCATCATACAAAGTTTGAAGTTCCTAGGCCTAAGCGTTCTTTAGTTATTGATCGAAAACTGCTTTTACCTAAGAGGTCAATGTGACCTTGACCTTTGACCCCTTGACCCCAAAATCAAAAGGGGTCATCTACTGATCATGACCAATCACCATACCAAGTTTGAAGTTCCTAGGCCTAAGGGTTCTTTAGTTATTGATCCGAAACTGTTTTTACCTAAGAGGTCAATGTGACCTTGACCTTTGACCCCTTGACCCCAAAATCAATAGGGGTCATCTACTGATCATGACCAATCACCATATCAAGTTTGAAGTCCCTAGGCCTAAGGGTTCTTTCGTTATTGATCGGAAACTGTTTTTACCTACAAGGTCAATGTGACCTTGACCTTTGACCCCTTAACCCCAAAATCAATAGGGGTCATCTACTGATCATGACCAATCACCATATCAAGTTTGAAGTCCCTAGGCCTAAGGGTTCTTTCGTTATTGATCGGAAACCGTTTTTACCTACAAGGTCAATGTGACCTTGACCTTTGACCACTTAACCCCAAAATCAATAGGGGTCATCTGCTGGTCATAACCAATCACCATACCAAGTTTGAAGTTCCTAGGCCTAAGGGTTCTTTTGTTATTGATCGGAAACCGTTTTTACCCAAGAGGTCAATGTGACCTTGACCTTTGACCCCTTGACCCCAAAATCAATAGGGGTCATCTACTGATCATGACCAATCACCATACCAAGTTTGAAGTTCCTAGGCCTAAGGGTTCTTTAGTTATTGATCGGAAACCGTTTTTACCCAAGAGGTCAATGTGACCTTGACCTTTGACCCCTTGACCCCAAAATCAATAGGGGTCATCTACTGATCATGACCAATCACCATACCAAGTTTGAAGTTCCTAGGCCTTAAGGTTCTTTAGTTATTGATCGGAAACCGTTTTTGCTTACAAGGTCAATGTGACCTTGACCTTTGACCCCTTGACCCCAAAATCAATAGGGGTCATCTACTTGTCATGACCAATCACCATACCAAGTTTGAAGTTCCTAGGCCTTAAGGTTCTTTAGTTATTGATCGGAAACCGTTTTTGCTAACAAGGTCAATGTGACCTTGACCTTTGACCCCTTGACCCCAAAATCAATAGGGGTCATCTACTTGTCATGACCAATCACCATACCAAGTTTGAAGTTCCTAGGCCTAAGGGTTCTTTAGTTATCACTTGGAAACCATTTGGTCTACGGACCGACGGACCGACGGACCGACGGACCGACGGACCGACAAGTGCAAAGCAATATACCCCCTTTTCTTCGAAATGGGGGCATAATAAGTAGTGCATTGTCTGGGATAACAGATTACTCAAAATTATTTAGCAGGGCATTGTCTGGGATAACAGGTTAGTCAAAATTACTTTGCAGGTCATATTCTCAAAATAAATAAGAATGGCATTGTCTGGATTAACAAGTTAATCAAAATAAATAAGTAGAGCATTGTCTTGGATAACAGGTTAGTCAAAATTACTAAGCAGGGCACCGTCTGGGATAACAGGTTGGTCAAAATAAATTAACAGGGAATTGTCTGGGTTAAAAAGTCAGTCTTAAGTCTAATTTGCAGTGGCCATAATGTTCTGGATATGCTTATTTCTTAGAAAAGATTATTGATATTTATATATACATTGTATTTCTTCTTCTTTTCCAGGCCAGGTACAACTTAACACATAAGGGGTGTTTATAAAGATATAAATCATATATATACTGTTTACCTTTCTGTAAGCATCTTTCCACGGTGGTGTTTTTGCCTTATACATGTCCCTATGTGACTTCTGAACTTTTTCACTCATTTCTGCATGTGTGTTACACCTAAAACAGTGCAAATGTCTTCATAATAAAAGTTGTTTACCTATAAAGATTGTGATTATGAAAGGAAAATTTCACTTTGTAAAACATGACCTGTAAATTTGATAGCCAATTCTTTTCTGCTCATTCTGCCAAGTAATGAGCAAAGAGCTGTAAAATTAGACATCTACATGTAGCTGCACTACTATCAGTAGCTTGTAATTTTGTTTCCCATCCCCACCTTTTTTTTGCAGTGGTGGATATATCACTCCTCATGTTTTGAAAGGGCAGTCATTTGCCCTCCTAAAAATAATTTTTTTAAAACAGGGGTGCAAATGTCCACCCTTAAACATATATTTAATACAGGGAGGGCAAATGCCAGCCCCTTTCAAGGATATAAGGGAGCAATTGAGCAAATGTCTGCTGCAAAAAAAAAAGGAAAACTGTCCAGGACGCAAAATGTACGTTAACAAATTTTACTTGCCTACATGTATATCTGACAAAAGTTGGGGACCTTTAACAATATTCTATTGAAAATTATTGCCAATAAAATATGTAATTATCAACAACATGAGTATTGTTACTATTATATATATGTGCAGCAATTATCGCCTACAAGAGAAAATGATGTGAAAATTCCATCTCCTTAAGGTACAGTTTCTTTCTCCCAATAGATACCTTTTATACTTTGGTCAGCTAGATGCTATATTACCATGTCAACATACCAGCTAATTGGTACATGTACATAATGATAGCATTACCATATCAACCATGATAACAATAATCTGAACAATTACTTATTTGCATAAAAAGCACCACTAATTAACCGGAATGTTACTGTCATTTATAATTAACTTAAACTTTGATGGTGAGATGTCCCTTTAAAGACAAGATGAAACAGTTAATCACTGTATAATAATAAATCAACTACATCATCGGGCACCTGTAAAATACTCCCACTCGGACTGTTTTTTTTATAAACATTCCGTCAACTCGAAGGTAAAATATGGTTTTGTTCTAAGAAATCATTTAAAATATGATCTTGCTCTAAAAAATCATTAGCTTATAAAAAAATAATTTAGCACACCAAAGATTGGCTTTTAGTACTTGATATAATTTTAAAAAACATTTAAAGTTTTACTGCCAAGTTTAGTCCTGAAAGTTTTTTTCCTAGATGCTCCAACTCAGGTCACCAAATCAAAATTTTATTTCCGCTGAAACCAGACAATAAAACTTTAACAGCATGCCACCACTCTCTCTGTGATTTAATACATAACTTTGTACATTCCCAATATTTAATATTTGTGCCTATAAATTTCACACAAGTTTTAAAAGCTTCATTCTAAATAATTCACAGTCGCTGCATTGGAAGCGCAGAATTCACAGACAAAACTGTGTTGACTGGATTTTGTACATGTGTAGTTTTATTTTGTTCAACAGTTGTAAATTTTGCAGAAAATTTTAACCACGACCATATCTAAGCATAAACCCAATTTTATGAAATTTATTTTATTTTATGAAAGTTATGTCAAAAACATGGACATTACATTCCTTCACTGTTTTAAGGAGCCACAAATTTTGTATGCAGAACAAATTCAACGCAGCAATTTACAGGCAACTTGATTACCATGTCAAAATTTATAGGATAAAAATGCCATCAGCCTTGGACCTACTGAAATGAGGCGAACAATCAGAGATTAAATTGCTTCATTACACCAAGAAATTTCTTTCAACAAGAAATCAATGCCCTCGCCAGCTCTGAAGATAACTGTTAGGCTTCATTAAGCATTTTGATCATTTTTTCTTCAATTTTCCGCACGATAAGTAAAATGATGACGATCGACCGCAGTATTCCCATAGCTATTTATTTGAAAAATTTATTTAACCAAGTAGCTGTCCATAACACAGCGTGCTCCACTTTTCCAACAATTTGTTGATTGGGGAAAGAAATTATTTTAGTAACTTAACAAAACTGGAATATTTTACTTCTGCCTAGAAAACGGTCAGAATTCTATCCTAAAAATAAATCAGTAGTTAATTAAACTGTGCTTGGACTCTTTTATCCCTCAATCAATAGTGGCTGCTGGCCAATATTAACAAACTAGAAAACCATGAATTTTTTAGATATGTTACTGTTAGGAAAATTTGTTAAAATTACTGTAGGTACAAATCGCATTACAGCTTTTTTTCTTCTTCTTAAATGCAATCATTCATACAACAGTCATTTTAAATTCCCAAATCAGCTCTTGAAGGGTGTCAACCAGATATATTTTGCTGAAAAAGTGGGAAAAAATCGAATGGAAAAATTTCATCATTATATTTATTTTAAGAAAGGGAAATTATGAACTCTAATATTTTTTCCATTGTTAATTTTTGCCCCCAGTCATGTAATATGGTGTAGTCTTTACTCATTCTTATCTATGATCCTGGCTTAACTCTCCAACCACTTTTATCTTTAGCATGTTTAGAGGAAAACAAATTTAATATTAACATGTAGATGATGCAGGTCTCATAGGCATTAGGGGAATAAGTCAGGGGAAAAGTGCGGAAATGAATATATTGGAAAAATTACCATTAACAATTGTCACTATCAAATGCCTGCATAAAATGGAATTCTACGATAGCAATGCAATGCTGTATAAAGATTTAATATCATTTCGAATCACAGAAAAGATAAATGACTTTACTTGGCAGAATAAGCACTTGTGAAAATGATAAAAAACAAGAGCTGTCAGTAGGACAGCAACGCTCGACTATTCTTAGTGCTTGATAGTAAAAAAAATGCTTGATACAGTTACCTCCTCCTGTTTACAGGTTGGGGTCATGATGGTGAACAAGTGTGCAAAGTTTCAAAGCCATATGTCAATGGACTTTGAAAATATTTGAACTATTACAAAAACTTTAACATAAATTCTAAGTCGAAAAAGGGGCATAATTCTGTCAAAATGCTTGATAGAGTTACCTCCTCCTGTTTACAGGTTGGGGTCATGATGTTGAACAAGTGTGCAAAGTTTCAAAGCCATATGTCAATGGACTTTGAAAATATTTGAACTATTACAAAAACTTTAACGTAAATTCTAAGTCGAAAAAGGGGCATAATTCTGTCAAAATGCTTGATAGAGTTACCTCCTCCTGTTTACAGGTTGGGGTCATGCTGTTGAACAAGTGTGCAAAGTTTCAAAGCCATATGTCAATGGACTTTGAAAATATTTGAACTATTACAAAAACTTTAACATAAATTCTAAGTCGAAAAAGGGGCATAATTCTGTCAAAATGCTTGATAGAGTTACCTCCTCCTGTTTACAGGTTGGGGTCATGATGTTGAACAAGTGTGCAAAGTTTCAAAGCCATATGTCAATGGACTTTGAAAATATTTGAACTATTACAAAAACTTTAACGTAAATTCTAAGTCGAAAAAGGGGCATAATTCTGTCAAAATGCTTGATAGAGTTACCTCCTCCTGTTTACAGGTTGGGGTCATGCTGTTGAACAAGTGTGCAAAGTTTCAAAGCCATATGTCAATGGACTTTGAAAATATTTGAACTATTACAAACACTTTAACGTAAATTCTAAGTCGAAAAAGGGGGATTATTCTGTCAAAATGCTTGATAGAGTTACCTCCTCCTGTCTACAGGTTGGGGTCATAATGGTGAACAAGAGTGCAAAGTTTCAAAGCCATATGTCAATGGACTTTGAAAATATTTGAACTAATACAAAAACTTTAACATAAATTCTAAGTCAAAAAAGGGGCATAATTCTGTCAAAATGCTTGATACAGTTACCTCCTCCTGTCTACAGGTTGGGGTCATGATGGTGAACAAGTGTGCAAAGTTACAAAGCCATATGTCAATAGACTTTGAAAATATTTGAACTATTACAAAAACTTTAACATAAGTGGTTACGCCGACGCCGACGCGGACGCCGACGCTCGGGTGACTACAATAGCTCTACTTATTCTTATCGAATAGTCGAGCTAAAAAGGGGCATAATTCTGTCAAAATGCTTGATAGAGTTACCTCCTCCTGTCTACAGGTTGGGGTCATGATGTTGAACAAGTGTGCAAAGTTTCAAAGCCATATGTCAATGGATTTTGAAAATATTTGAACTATTACAAAAACTTTAACGTAAATTCTAAGTCGAAAAAGGGGCATAATTCTGTCAAAATGCTTGATAGAGTTACCTCCTCCTGTCTACAGGTTGGGGTCATGATGGTGAACAAGTGTGCAAAGTTTCAAAGCCATATGTCTATGGACTATGAAAATATTTGAACTATTACAAAAACTTTAACGTAAATTCTAAGTCGAACAAGAGCTGTCGGTAGGACAGCAAAGCTCGACTATTCTTAGTGCTTGATTGTAAAAATAAATGCTTGATACAGTTACCTCCTCCTGTCTACAGGTTGGGGTCATGATGGTGAACAAGTGTGCAAAGTTTCAAAGCCATATGTCAATGGACTTTGAAAATATTTGAACTATTACAAAAACTTTAACATAAATTCTAAGTCGAAAAAGGGGCATAATTCTGTCAAAATGCTTGATAGAGTTACCTCCTCCTGTTTACAGGTTGGGGTCATGATGTTGAACAAGTGTGCAAAGTTTCAAAGCCATATGTCAATGGACTTTGAAAATATTTGAACTATTACAAAAACTTTAACGTAAATTCTAAGTCGAACAAGAGCTGTCGGTAGGACAGCAACGCTCGACTATTCTAGTGCTTGATAGTAAAAATTAATGCTTGATACAGTTACCTACTCCTGTTTACAGGTTGGGGTCATGATGGTGAACAAGTGTGCAAAGTTTCAAAGCCATGTCAATGGACTTTGAAAATATTTGAACTATTACAAACACTTTAACGTAAATTCTAAGTCGAAAAAGGGGGATTATTCTGTCAAAATGCTTGATAGAGTTACCTCCTCCTGTCTACAGGTTGGGGTCATGATGGTGAACAAGAGTGCAAAGTTTCAAAGCCATATGTCAATGGACTTTGAAAATATTTGAACTATTACAAAAACTTTAACATAAATTCTAAGTCAAAAAAGGGGCATAATTCTGTCAAAATGCTTGATACAGTTACCTCCTCCTGTCTACAGGTTGGGGTCATGATTGTGAACAAGTGTGCAAAGTTTCAAAGCCATATGTCAATGGACTTTGAAAATATTTGAACTATTACAAAAACTTCAACGTAAATTCTAAGTCGAAAAAGGGGCATAATTCTGTCAAAATGCTTGATACAGTTACCTCCTCCTGTCTACAGGTTGGGGTCATGATGGTGAACAAGTGTGCAAAGTTACAAAGCCATATGTCAATAGACTTTGAAAATATTTGAACTATTACAAAAACTTTAACATAAGTGGTTACGCCGACGCCGACGCGGACGCCGACGCTCGGGTGACTACAATAGCTCTACTTATTCTTATCGAATAGTCGAGCTAAAAAGGGGCATAATTCTGTCAAAATGCTTGATAGAGTTACCTCCTCCTGTCTACAGGTTGGGGTCATGATGTTGAACAAGTGTGCAAAGTTTCAAAGCCATATGTCAATGGACTTTGAAAATATTTGAACTATTACAAAAACTTTAACGTAAATTCTAAGTCGAAAAAGGGGCATAATTCTGTCAAAATGCTTGATAGAGTTACCTCCTCCTGTCTACAGGTTGGGGTCATGATGGTGAACAAGTGTGCAAAGTTTCAAAGCCATATGTCTATGGACTATGAAAAATATTTGAACTATTACAAAAACTTTAACGTAAATTCTAAGTCGAAAAAGGGGCATAATTCTGTCAAAATGCTTGATAGAGTTACCTCCTCCTGTCTACAGGTTGGGCTCATGATGGTGAACAAGTGTGCAAAGTTTCAAAGCCATATGTCAATGGACTTTGAAAATATTTGAACTATTACAAAAACTTTAACACAAGAGCTGTCGGTAGGACAGCATGCTCGACTATTCTTAGTGCTTGATAGTAAAAAAAATGCCTGATACAGTTACCTCCTCCTGTTTACAGGTTGGGGTCATGATGGTGAACAAGTGTGCAAAGTTTCAAAGCCATATGTCAATGGACTTTGAAAATATTTGAACTATTACAAAAACTTTAACGTAAATTCTAAGTCGAAAAAGGGGCATAATTCTGTCAAAATGCTTGATAGAGTTACCTCCTCCTGTTTACAGGTTGGGGTCATGATGTTGAACAAGTGTGCAAAGTTTCAAAGCCATATGTCAATGGACTTTGAAAATATTTGAACTATTACAAAAACTTTAACGTAAATTCTAAGTCGAAAAAGGGGCATAATTCTGTCAAAATGCTTAATAGAGTTACCTCCTGCTGTCTACAGGTTGGGGTCATGATGTTGAACAAGTGTGCAAAGTTTCAAAGCCATATGTCAATGGACTTTGAAAATATTTGAACTATTACAAAAACTTTAACGTAAATTCTAAGTCGAAAAAGGGGCATAATTCTGTCAAAATGCTTGATAGAGTTACCTCCTCCTGTCTACAGGTTGGGGTCATGATGGTGAACAAGTGTGCAAAGTTTCAAAGCCATATGTCAATGGACTTTGAAAATATTTGAACTATTACAAAAACTTTAACGTAAATTCTAAGTCGAAAAAGGGGCATTATTCTGTCAAAATACTTGATAGAGTTACCTCCTCCTGTCTACAGGTTGGGGTCATGCTGGTGAACAAGTGTGCAAAGTTTCAAAGCCATATGTCAATGGACTTTGAAAAATATTTGAACTATTACAAAAACTTTAACGTAAATTCTAAGTCGAAAAAGGGGCATAATTCTGTCAAAATGCTTGATAGAGTTACCTCCTCCTGTCTACAGGTTGGGGTCATGATGGTGAACAAGTGTGCAAAGTTTCAAAGCCATATGTCAATGGACTTTGAAAATATTTGAACTATTACAAAAACTTTAACATAAGTGGTTACGCCGACGCCGACGCCGACGCTCGGGTGACTGCAATAGCTCTACTTATTCTTATCGAATAGTCGAGCTAATAAGTGGTTACGCCGACGCCGACGCTCGGGTGACTGCAATAGCTCTACTTATTCTTATCGAATAGTCGAGCTAAAAATGCAGAACGAGTCGAATTGGATCACAATAAGGTCAACGTACCATAAACTAATGAAGTTTTATCTCCTGTTCACGGGGAGGACGTATTGTAATCAAGATGATTTTCCTGATAAGAAAATTAATAAATGTTATTATTGATTACCCGTCAATTTTAGCACCCTCTCGTAACTTATTGTCTAGCACGCCGTCAAATCTCGTTTATATAATGGGTGAATCGACATCAAAATCTCATTCATTATGCATTTGTTTTATCGCACGTTAGTGTAACAGTCATATTTGTGGCACCAACATTTTTCTGAGTGTAAATTACAGTCGCAAACAGCAGTAAAATTTGATGATAAATTGATGTATAACTTAAACTTAACCTACAGATAGCGGTAAAACTTGACAAACCAATATTTTAGCAATGCTGTTATCACTTATAAGAAAAGAAACATCTATGTACATTATAAATAAATCAGATACAATTGTCTTGTGCAACGGGTGAAAATTAGTTGTTCACAATACATTGTATTCCGGAAAATCCTGTATTTAACAACTTCGTCATTTGTATGTAGAGAAAGATGACTTAAATGGGAGTCTGAAATACTGACATCAGAAATAATATGAATTTTTTTTTAGAAAATTTCATGATATGCATAATGGTGACGATTTTATCAGTTTTGAATTATTTTCCTTTAAAACAAAATCACCATAAGAAAAAAAAATGATTTTTTTTATTTTTAATATACCAGTTACATGTATATTAACATTATTTGACATTTTCACTGTTAACTTTTTTAAAAACTTTTTTTATTGCCAAATTTTGCAAATTTCTACACTAAAATTTCCAAATTTTCTATGAATATTTCACCCAGAGAAAGGTCTGTGTTTATAATAGGTCATTTAGCTTAACTTAATGTTTCTGTAAGCTAACTGGATTATAGCATTCTAACACAGAAGAATCCAAAGTCCCTGACACAACACATACAGTGGTGAAAGGCAAATGATTTGAAGTTTGCAACCTTAACTACTCAGTCAAGGAGGCCCCTCCAGGGTTGCCATTAAGAAACTAAGAAAGCACTCTTTGTTACATACATGTATCATATGTGATGAAAAAAAAAATGACTGCCTCAAATTCTAAATGCCTCAAACCTTAACAAACCTTCTAAGTAAAAACTTAATGACAACCCTGCCCGATCCTTTGTATTGGCTATTAACACATAATACAAGTACTTTAGTGGTCTGTAGATATTCCAAATTATAGTAAATCAACACAAGCATAAATTTTAAAATAATATTCTGAACATTTTATATAATTAAAATATCTTAATACACGCATTACATCTCTGTACCTCTGTTTGTAGGTTTTACCTTAGAAAAGTTATATTTCAGCTGGGCAACTCAAAACTTTCTGATTCAGAGGGGGCATTATCAATGGAATGTATTGGCAAGTTTTATCACAGCCTATATGTACATTGTATATACAAACAAGTAGAATTATTAAACAATTTACTTTATTGATATCATATGGACTAGTAGTCAAAATCAAGCTCTAAACTCTACAATTTGTCTCTGTGATAATTTTATTGTAATCATACTTAGTATAATATTTTTCATACATGTAACTGCTTTTGATCAAATTTGTTTAATTCCTGTAAAATTCAGGTAAATGATGATTTTCCAATTAAGAGTTTAGACAGACAAGAATACAGGTTTACAGCAATTAATTATTTAATCCTTAGCCTGGTGAAAAAAACTAAAATTGATTAGCCTTTGCGACCAGCATAGAACCCAACCCAGAGCTCCAGATAATTTTTTGGCCAAGGGGTTTTTACCCCTCAAAAAGAGTGAGTGGTAAAATGCAATTTCTGAAAAACTTAAGGGGTGAAATTTGTCAAAAAAGCATTTTCATTTCGCATTGTTTATAAACAAATTAAACTTATTGTTTTTGTTTGTTTATTTTCTTTTTTTTTTAAACTTTTTCAAATAAAATACTGATAATGAATACAAAACAGTCATGCTCTGTAAAGTCAGACTTCCAAAGTATACTGGAACTCAAGTTTAGGAATATTATAGCATACACAGCAAAATTATCAGGGCTTCCATTTTCAAAATTTGAAAGTCAAAGACTTCAAAATCTCTGATATATTGAAAGTCACATTTTAAAGGTAAAAAAGGAAAAGTATTTGATTTTGGAAGTCACGAGCCAAAATGAAGGAGTAAATCACTAAATGACTCCCAAACTTCCACTAGTGGAAGCCCTGAAATTATTTTATATTCTAGGAGTCAATATTTTCTTTCTTTATTTCTGTTGACGTACCTTATCATGTACTGCAGTTTGAACATTTATAGTTGAAATTAAAATTAAAATAAACAAGATTTTTTTATCTTTTCTTTAAAAAAAAATGTATTGGTCTGAGAGAAAATTGTCCGTAACTGTAGACTGGATTCGAAAATATTGAGTACAAAACTGCAGGTGAAAAACATGTTTTTTTGTTCCAACAACAAAAGTGAAAGGAATTAAAATATATTTTTGTTTATATTGAGGCATATGCATGTCAATAGATACGGATTACCTGAACAAACTTAACTCCTACGATGATTATCTGGCACAACTTAAATGTTTATCAATAATTTCACAGGTTTATATACGGGAGTTACATTCTTTCCGTACTTCCTGCTACGTTCGTTTTTAACACGTGTTGTTGACAACAGAATTTTTTGTTTTCAAAGCAATAAAATAGAAATATATTGATTTTTATGCTCAAATTATCCTCTTTCTAAATATCAAATGTTTACTCTTCTATTGTTTCGCGCTTAAATTTTGACATACAAGCGTATTTTCATTTTGTTGTGCGTAACTTTGACGTACGAATTTTCAAAGTGATGAGTATTTTAGATTTTCTATGCGAATTTCACACTGATACGCAGGCTATCTGGAGCTCTGCAAACCAGCCTGCTCATCATGCCAGTCTAACACTGGTAGCTCAATTTTTGAATTTTACGTTTTCATTCCCTTAAATTTTTAATGGACTGCTCCAAATCAAAATATTGAATAATCCATTTCACAAATTCAGTTGGTTAAGACAAGACTATTAGAGAACATTTTTCAAGTCATCTTTTTTATTTTACGTCGTTACTTATAATTGTATTTTAAATTGGCTATAACATACATGTATAGATCACAAGTAGGTTTTTACAAATAAATGCAACTGCACATATATTTAATATTATAATTATATACATAGCATTCCTTGATAACTGGAACAATAAATTCTTCACTAATTATAATAGTCTAATTACAAATGTACATAATACTGAAAATATAGCTAGGTAATCTATAGAAAATAAAATATTTGACTTCAACACTAACAAAGGATTCTAACATGCAGTCCTATCAAACAAAATAAAAAAACTTTATACTGGCCTATATCAATACTTTGTATTATAAATTATATCTGTTGGACTTGTCTTTAAGATATATATACATTGTATATACATTTGATTTGTACATTAAATAAAGATCATCAAAAGTGTTTATCACAAGTTCAATAAAATAATCCTATATATCTCATCACCATTTCACAACCAGAAATAAAGAGTTCAGCACTTAAAAAAGTAGATTTCTTAGAAGTTAAATGCAACCTCATGCATGTACACAAGTATCACAATTTGATTATCCATTTCCCAACAAAAATTAACAGCACAGTCATAGCAATGTTCCTGAAACCAGCGTAAATGGACCTGGCTTCATTACGATAGCGACCATTAGTTATCTCCTCAACAATATACATATTGCCTTGTGTAACTGCATATGCTGCCCTAGGTCTTTCAGTTACAGTTGTGGCTTCAACGATAACTAAATCCTGTAGATAAACAGGCAGTGTTCTACGGTGGCAGAATATTTCTTCATCAATTGGACAAGTTATTAAACCACCACTGACAACATCTTCGATGATTTCACCTGAGGTACACTTAATCCAGTTAGTGTCTGTGCTCCGAAGCTTGATATATACATGACCGACGGAACACCTGGCACTTACACACATTCCATTTGTGACAAAATTGTTCTCAAAAAGAATGCACCTCCCAAAACTTAAGCTAGAATCATGCTCATAAAAGAAATAACCTGACTGTGAATTAAGCCTACAATCCTGAATTGAATTCTGTTCAGTGTAAGAGGTAGAATATAATTCCGTATTGCTACAATTGATAACTTCTGTTTGTAAATAATTACAACCCGAATTATAGTTAGTGGAACATAATTTTTCTTCGTAGTCGGGAATTTTCCTAGAATTTAACGCTTGCAGGAAATTACATCCTTTGCCTTTTCCCCATAGATAGTCATCAGCGTTTGAAAAGTTAACCATATACCATCCAGTGTCCTGAAAAACAGACAATGTTAACGCGTCTACAAATGTGTATTCTGGTTCCCCAAGTTTTGATGTCATTATAGAACCGGGTAATATGGTGCTATCCCAATGTGACTGAGGTACTTATCCTATTGCAGTCATTGGGGCGCCTTCTGGTAAATTTCTACCAACCATATCACAATCAAAATGATGTTTCAATTTACTCACAACTGTTGGTGTCAATAGTCTGAATGTACCATTATACTCACGTAAAAGAGGGAAACTATAGTGTGGCAATTCATCAGTATCAAGTTCAGGTTGTCTATAATCACGAAAGTTTAGAATCAAATCTTTAGAAAAGCCTAATGCATGGAATACTTCATGCAAAGTTATAAGCCTGAGTTTATATAGATCATTCTTGTATTTCCTAAACTCACTCGGACAAAAATTCATATATCCAGCAACTGGTCTGTCGTTTACCCCAAGTTTGCAATATGATGCATAGCTAATTAGAGTATTTTCAGAAGACAGTAGACAAGATTTAGTGGATTCTATCTGAACATACAAGATGTAATCTGCATTTCTCACACCAATCCCATCTGTGTACCATGTCCTGTCAGGTAAAGGTCTATTTGTCCATGTATAAAAAGCCTCTAAATGCTCATTTGGAATCATGAAATAATCCAGACAAAATTCTCCAACATAATCCTTCCTAATTGTGGCACATTTACCCACATTTCTTCCTCGAGTCCATGAACTCTTGCAGGCATTTCTTTCAAGAAGTAAATATCCTTCAATAGGTACAACTGATAAAATCTTTTTAACATATAAAATAACATTGTTTACTGTATCTTTCAAAATTTTCACTTCTTCATCACTAAATCCATTGTTTAAACTGTTTCCATAATGAGGATAAATTCTTAATGGTCGGTAAATATTACTGTTATAAGCAACAACTGGCAAACATCCAAAATCAGTTACAAAACTTGTGGAAAACAGCAATAAAATAGAAAAATGATAAAAATCCATTTTTTTATAGTTTAGTTCACAACATGTTTTTAATTAAACAGTTCAACAACAATATTTCTGATAAAAATCCATCACGAGATACAAATTTGCGGACACGAATATTAAGTTCAACTGATAACCTTTTATTTAACATGTTCCGCGAATTTCTAGCTACTGAAGCTGGCAATTAAATCAAGGGAAACAACTCTAGTGTAGACTTGTAAACATAAACATGTCTGTAACCTTTAAATGAAAAGCGGACCCATATCGTGTAAGAGCAAAAATAATAATTCTAATAAATGTTAAATAATCTATAATATTCCAAATACATTTTTCTATGTATTGTTGTCATAAAATTAATTTATTTACCTAGAATCTCTCTTGTAATTCCCGCGTCTTGTTTACCTAGACTATAATCTCCCTTTAATAATCAGACTGGTTTAAATTTTTAAAATTAAAAAAAAAAGCGACAATGAAGAAATGTAGCGACAAGAAGTGACCAGAAGGTTACTACTCACGAATATAAATCCTTGAAGAGACTTATGTTACAGAGAAGATATAAATCTCTTTGTTCAATTCTGATAACATTGTTCTTTATATCAATCTTTTTATTCAATTCAACAAATATCATATTCATCAGATAAGTCCATGAAGGGGAGCGGTGTTTAAATCAGTATGAACACATTAATACTCTTAATGATCTACTGAGATCCGAAAAGCTTAAACACATAAAATTTGAAAATCTTGCAAAGATCGACTTGGGTACTTAAGACAGAAAACTTTATTACCCTTCCAGATTTGTTCCGCCTTTTTGATTGGATATTAATTGATCACCCGAAAGAAATTGATATTACCCAGACAGACGGGTAATATACACACTAAATTTCCCCGTTGGGTACCCCACGTTGTAAACAACATGCGCTGTGGCGCTGAGCGTACGGTTTGATTTTACGCGATGAAAATTCCGATTAACAAGCACTTTTTAACTGTCAAATGATAAATATTTACCAAAATAGAGTAATTATACATATTCTCATCAGTATTGAAAACAAATATGACCTTGTGAAAGCTTGATATTAATTCCAAAAAAGTGCTTTCAACAGACTACTCCTTTTCTCTTGTTTACATTCGTTAGGTTCGAAAGAAAATACGTCATGTATTTATGTGACGTCATGTTGTGATGAAGGGGTACCCTAAAGGGAATCTTATTTCGACGTTTCATTTGAAGTAGCAATGATTTGTATTAAAATCGTCTTAACTTGGCAGGGGAAGGGTAATAAAATTATTATTTTGGTTTTGGAGTGATATGTGGATATATTACCGGCCAAGATAATATATCAACCTCGCCTGACGGCTCGGGTGATAGAAAATCTTGACAGGTAATATATCCACATACATCACTCCAAAACCAAAATAACATATAATATTAAAGATAATCAAGAAATTAAATTGGAAATCGATATGCAGTGCTTGTTTTGAGTGAAAAGCATTTAAACGCTTGTCATATTAGCTCATTTTGCTCTAAATAAAAGATTATTCTTGAAAACAAACAGACTAAGCAAACGATCTGAAATTTTGCACACAAGTTATTAGTAAGGACCCGCGTCAAATGGTATGGAAGTTAGTGTGTCCTATCATGGCTAGAAATCTCAGGGGAGTCCTCTTAAATAATCATAACTGGATTATCACCACCCTTTATGTTTATACATTACGCGATACGTATACTATTATATCTAGTTGATAAGCATGCATTTAGTACCATTTAAACGTTGTTATTGATAATGCAAAGTAGCATAATATATATGCTCGCCCATATGATAATTATTCCGGTGGCTAGGGTAATCAAACATAAACAGATACAATATCATGCAAAGTACAAATGTAGCAGAATAAAATTTTGATTATATTGATGCCTTCAAATATCGACAAAAAAGTGGAATACATCATCGTTTTCAGAAGGAATTACTTTATCATATAATATTTTGTTTATTCACACTAGTTACTGTACAAAATCTATAAAGCAATCTTGGGTCATTCTTCCGATGCTATCATAATTGTTAATAACAAAGGTTAATTTGCACTTGATTGAATATTTGAAATCTTAGAAGTCTTTGTATCATTATTATTGCTATATCAAATTTATGCACGTGCTCTTTGATGGTCGGTTAAAATGTATGTCACCTAAAATATATAAAACTTATAAAAAAATGCAAACAAAACATACATCTAAGAATAATGATCACCAAGGGAGAGTGATATTATACGAACGCGGTCATCTTTATGTAAGACGAAATTAATTAACAAACTTTATTTCAATTCAATAAAGCAAAAAGGTGACAAGTTGAGCACGGGACGATTTGAGCAATGGACCAGTTGACCTGACATCATCCTGAAACTTACATTGCGTGAAAAGTAAAGTCAGTTAAACAACGGATTTATATTAATTATTAATTATTTGATATATTACTTTGCACTATTAAGAAGTGAAAAAAAAATCTAGAAAAGGCCTTATATAGTTTTAAATCAAAGCCGCTTTTTACTTAAATGGTAAAACTTTTCTTTTCGTAGAACCAGTCTAGTACCGGTATGCCTAAAATACGAAAGTGAGATTTTTGACGAAAGTGAGCGAAAGTGAGCGAAAGTGACTTTTAAAATAGTAATTATAACATTTTAATAGACTTTTAAAACAAACTAGCAGTTTGTAGACGTATATTATTAGAAAATAATTATATTTATTAACAGAAATAATCATAATGATGATTTAATCGCTACTAATTTGCATAATTTCTATACACAAGTTCTTATATCTTCCTTTCGCTCACATTGAAAAATACGAAAGTGACTTATAAAATATTAAATATTCTGTTTTTAAATGAAATTTTTTACTAAAATTACAATTTGTAGATGTATATTATCAGAATTTGATGATACTTATTTTTTTAAAATAATCATTATGATGATTTAATCGCTATTTATTTGCATTATTTTATACACAAGTTCAGATATCTTCATTCGCTCACATTGGGAAAAAATACGAAAGTGACTTCAAAAAAACTATCAAATATAGGGATTAATTTAAATCTATATTAATATAACAGATTGTAGACGTATAGTTTTGGAATTTGATAATATCTATTTTTCAAAATAATCATTATGATGATTTAATCGCCATTTATTTTCATAATTTCTATACACAAGTTCAGAAATCTTCCTTTCGCTCACGTTGAAAAATACTAAAGTGACATATAAAATATTAGATATACCGGTTAAGTTGATTTTTTTTTACTAAAATTGCTCTAAGTAGACGTATATTATCAGAAATTGATAATATTCATTTTCAAAAATAATCATTATATATGATGATTTAATCGCTATTTATTTGCACAACTACATATAGATCTTCCTTTCGCTCACATTGAAAAATACGAAAGTGACTTATAAAACATTCAATATACCGTTTATTTTGAATTTATATTAATATAACAGTTTGTAGACGCATAGTTTCAGAAATGAATAAAAAATACTTAAAAAATCATTATGAGGTTTTAATATTCATGCATTTTTCATTATTTCTATATAGGGCAATTTCAGAGATCTTACTTTCGCTCACTTTTGTATTTTCAATAATAGGGAGAGGAAGCGAAGGTGATTTTAAAATATCAATATAGTGTTTTAAATTGCATTTAATATTAATAATGCAGTTTTGTAGACGTATATTATCAAAACAAGTATTTTTAATCAATATGATTTGATCTTCATTTATTAGCATAATATTTATATACACAAGCTCAGACATCGATCTTCCTTTCGCTTACTGTGAGCCTGACGAAAGTTACTTACAGAATATCAAATATAGCGTTGAAATAGAATTTCATGATAATATTGCAGTTTGTAGACGTATGTTTATAAGCTATAGTAACTATCATTTTTATAAAAACTTAATATGTTAAGATGAAAAATGAAATTTATCATGTAAACTATAATTGGCAAAAACATGAATTATACAATTTATGCGTTAGGGCTCCGATTTACAGTTCTCAATTTCTTACATCGTCTTTTTCGGGCAGTTTTTAATTTTCGATTAACGATGGTGATACCTAACATTTAATATTCTGTTTATATATTATATTGTTAATATACTGTTTGATTCTAATCTAACAGTAATAGGTCTTGAATGTGTTTCTCATTATTATAATGTCTCTTGAAATTCTCAAATGGAATGGTCTTATGTAGGTGTTATGTGAATAGTTGTATATATGTTTAAAAATGCATGTATACGAATGAGACAAAATAAAGTATGAATATGTTTACGTGCAAACACGTGTTGTCATATCATTTTCGCATCCACTTTAATTGATAGTAATCACGACGGTGACCGCATGACGCTTTAATCCCAGTAAAGTATTATTATAATCCAATCATAGGTATGTAACTGATGACACTTGCCCGGTTGTTTATTGAGTGGACAATTGAATTAACCTTTCTTCTGCACCACCATAGATATCTTGCACGGATTAAAGTGGCAGTTATTATGCTCATCCAGGTGTAGATGAGCAATGTACATGTTAATTTGAAAAATAATTTGGAATTTCCCATCATTGTTAAAATAATATTTCACTATGAAAAAAGGAAATAAGTAATCCACGGAAATTTCTATAAATTTCGTACTATATATATCGGTAAAGTTTAATCTTTTTATAAGTTAGGATGTTTTTTTAAATGATTTGTGCTAGTCATTTTATCATCAGTTATAGGTCAATCACCATGAAAACATGAATAATAATGAAAATGACTCATTTATTTTTTTATTATAATAAACATTAATATCGTGAATATTGACATTGACTTTCGTCCGGTTAAATCACTTTCGTATTGTTCAATGTGGGCAAAAGTAAGATATCAGAACAGGTATACAGCAATTATGAAAATACATGGATATTAAATCATCATAATGATTATTTGTTTAATATATTTTAATCATTTCTGAAAACATGCGTCTTTCAGCGCTATATTTGACATTTTTGAAGTCACTTTCGTATTTTTCAATGTGAGGGAAAGGAAGATCTTTTAACTTGTGTAATGCAAATAAAGGGCGACCGGTTAAATCATCATAATGATTATTTTTAAAAATAAATATAATTGTCTTCTGATATTGTACGTCTACAAATAAATTGCAATTTTAGTAATACATTCAATTTAAACAGTATATTTGATATTTTGTATGCCACTTTCGTATTTTTCAATGCGAGCGAAAGGAAGATCTCTGTATATAACTTGTGTATAGAGATTATGCAAAATAAATGGCGATTTAATCATCATAATGATTATCTTTGAAAGTAAATATTATCATTTTCTGATATTATACGTCCAATTTGTGCAATAATAGTAAAAATAATTTCAATTTAAACGGTATATTTTATAAGTCACTTTCGTATTTTTCAATGTAAGCGAAAGGAAGATATAAGAATTTGTGTATATAAATTATGCAAATAAAAACCGAATAAATCATTATTATGATTATTTTTTATAATAAATATAAGTAATTTCTAATAATATACGTCTACAACTTGCAATTTTATTGTAAAAGTCTATTAAAACGTTACAATTAATATTTTAAAAGTCACTTTCGCTCACTTTCGCTCACTTTCGTCAAAAATCTCACTTTCGTATTTTAGGCAAACCCGTCTAGTACACAACATTTGATGACGATTTACGCAAAGCGACCCAGGAAATACAAATTGTTTGCTGGTTTTCATTTTATAAAACAAGTTTATCGGTCCGTTTAAGTAGTGACATTAATTGAATGCGACATAGACTAAATTTGCAAAAGGTTTTAGTTGTTGTCATCATATACAGGCTATATTTGGGATTGTTGTTTGAGACTGCCGTGCGCAATCCATGCGCAAAAATGCATAAGGTGTCAGATAAACTGCACCACTTGTCAGTCAAGAATGCCAAAAGTCACAAATATGACACATTAAGGTATAGTACATAATGTTTATAACCTTATGAACATAAGGCTCTTATCTTGCAGGTTGACAAAATGCTGAAAGCTTACACATTTTCTGTACAAAATCTGCTGTGGTCATTAGTATTATTACTATAAATTGGGACAGTTCACACCAAGTTGGTTCACACCAAGACGTTTCACTCCCAAATGATATTTTTAGTGGCTCGGGTTATATTTACGAACAGTTTATATAGGGCCATATAACCTGTCAACAATCTTTATAACTAATAATATACACTTTCACTAAGATTGATCAAACATACTCAAAAATATACATTTTCCTATCTTGTGTTTTGAACCAAAATATACTCAAATACAGTGCAGTACACTCCATTAGAGCTATATTAAATTTTCTAAAAAAAAAACAAATAATACAATATACACTTATTTGGGTATATTTGGGTATTTCGTGCCGCCGCAGGACTACAGGTACTGTACATGTAAAACATAGCTTTGTGATATTTAATTATTTTTTCCTGTACCAAAAATATTTTTAAAAAAACATAGCAATGTACGCAATATTTTCTAGAGGAATGAGTTAACACTTGTATCAGCATACTAATTCTTTAAATCAAATTTGTTCATAATCCAAAATAATAAGATTTAAGGACAGAGCGAACCATGTGACAAGGGGGACCAGAAATCGTGACAGGGCAGACTGTATCTTGATAAATAGAAATTTTAAAGGGAAAGACAAGGTTAGAATAAAAACTTGGTTTCAGGAAAAGAATACTATAAATAATAAATCTGCAAATTTTCTGCCGACAAGTAATTATATTTAACGAATGATAACAAAATTTAAATCGCTGAATCACCGATTTCTACAAATCAGTAGGCGCGGCCATATTTGTGTATTGGCCGTATAAAAACAGGTGCGCGTGATGTCATTTCCCCACATCTTTAGATTTATGATAGTTGAATCGTAGCGAAATATTAATATAATAAAGTATTGACCAGACAATTTGATTTTCATAGGAGGTGTAGAGGAGATTTTTTATGGTTCAAAATACGTAACAATATCAAAAAATAAAAAAAAATAATAAAGAAACATTTATTATAAAAAATCAACGTCTACCGGTCGCACCACTTCAGGCCAGTGATGCCCGTTACTCCAAACAATGCTATTTTTATTACATGTACATGTAATTAAATTTTTGCAGTTTGATTCTGACTTTCAAATTAAAAGGTGTGAACATTTGTTATAATTGATGTACACATTCAAAAATATAAACAATTATTTAGAAAAGTAAATTGTTAACATGTCTGTCAACGTATAATGCTGCGTGGTATTTATTTACTTTAATTGTAATCGTAGCCTAATATTAACTTCAGGCAAAACAATTTTATTGGCTGCTCAAAAATCTAATTTGCATAATTTATTCACAAAATTGCTGGTTCTTACTACTTATGTCTCACACTGTGCATTATCCATTTTAATTGTTCCTAATTTGCACCAAATGCTCATGTCACACTGTGTACTGGCAATTTTTAGCTCGACTTTTCTATGAAAAGGGGAGCTATCCTACTCGCCCCGGCGTCGGCGTCGGCGTTGGCGTCACACCTTGGTTAAGTTTTTCGTACCACCCCACTTTATTTCAGAAGTATTACAAGTATGGCTTTGAAACTTACCATACTTGTTCACCATCATAACCTCCATCTACAGACAAGAGTACATAACTCTGTCAAGGTTTTTGACAGAATTATGGCCCTTTTTTGACTTAGAAAGTGTATTGAGCTTGGTTAAGTTTTTTGTACCACCTCACTTTATTTCAAAACCATTGGAGGTATTGCTTTGAAACTGACCATACTTGTTTACCATCACGACCTTCATCAACAGACAAGAGGACATAACTCTGTCAAGGTTTTTGACAGAATTATGCCCCTTTTTGACTTAGAAAATACATTGAATATGGGTAAAATCCACTTATTGCCTTAACCCTTTGAGATATTGCTTTGAAACTTTTAATGCTATTTCACATCATTACCCCCATCTGTACGCAAGAGAAGGTAACTCTGTCAAGGATTTGTTTTAAAAATTAAGGCCTTTTATCGACTTAGAATCTTGGTTAAGTTTTTAGTACCAGTCCACTTTTTGACTGAACTGTTTGAGATATTAATTTGAAAGTTGGAATACTTGTTTACAATCATGATTCCCAAACATGTCCAGGAGAAGGTAATTCTGTCAAAGATTTTATTTGAATTATGGCCCTTAACTGTCAATGTTTTGTATTATAGGCAAGCACTAAAAAACTTAAAAAATCTAAAAAAATTCATTCCTATCCACTTGTTCACTTTACCATAAATTATGTCATATAAACATTGCTGTAATATTCAAGGGTATCAAACAACTAGTTCACTTTAAAAATACAGAGATTCTTGTATTGCCTTTTACTGCAAAAACTTTTTTTATTGGCAAGCAATAAAAAAGTCGAGCGCGCTGTCTTACGGACAGCTCTTGTTATTGCTCCTTGTATGCCTCTGTGCCGACAGATCTTTTGATCATGCACAATGTTGCCCCCCTTGTCAAATATTATAATGACGAAATAGACATCTATTTTTTTACGCGTCATCAGTGAACTGAATGACCTTAGGGCTTAAGTTCCGCACCTGTCAAGTTATACTGTAAATTACAGCATTTCATAAAGTAGCAACACATTTTCTTTTTCAGTTACCAATAATCATTATACCCCCACAAACGAAGTTTAGGGGGGGTATATAGGAGTCAGCTTGTCGGTTGGTCGGTCGGTCCGTCGGTCGGTCCACATCATGGTTTCCAGACGATAACTAGAGTTTGGAGTGAGGTATTGTAATCAAACTTGGTATATAGCAACCTTATGTGGAAACCCCGGTTGGTATTGCATTTGGACCCCCTGGGGCCAAGGTCAAGGTCACCGTTACTAAAAATAGAAAAATGGTTTCCGGACAATAACTAAAGTTAGGAATGAGATATTGTAATCAAACTTGGTATATAGCAAGCTGATATGAAGACCCTGGTTGGTATTGCATCTGGACCCCCTGGGGCCAAGGTCAAGGTCACCGTTACTAAAAATAGAAAAATGGTTTCCGGACAATAACTAAAGTTAGGAATGAGATATTGTAATCAAACTTGGTATATAGAAAGCTTATATGAAGACCCCGGTTGGTATTGCATCTTGACCCCCTGGGGCCAAGGTCAAGGTCACCGTTACTAAAAATAGAAAAATGGTTTCCGGACAATAACTTAAGTTAGGAATGAGAAATTGTAATCAAACTTGGTATATAGAAAGCTTATATGAAAACCCCGGTTGGTATTGCATCTGGACCCCCTGGGGCCAAGGTCAAGGTCACCGTTACTAAAAATAGAAGAATGGTTTCCGGACAATAACTAAAGTTAGGAATGAAATATTGTAATCAAACTTGGTGTACATCAAGCTCATTTGAAGACCCCGGTTGGTATTGCATCTGGACCCCCTGGGGTCAAGGTCACCGTTACTTAAAATAGAAAAATGGTTACCGGACAATAACTAGATTGGAATGAGATATTGTAATCAAACTTGGTATAAAGCAACGTTATATGGGGATCCCGGTTGGTATTGCATTTTGACCCCCTAGGGTCAAGGTTACTGTTACTTAAATAGCAAAAGGTTTTCGGACAAAAACTAGAGTTAAGAATGAGTTATAGAAATCAAATTTGGTGCATAGCAAGCTTATATGAAGACCCCCGTTGGTATTGCATCTGGACCCCCCTTGGGCCAAGGTCAAGGTCACCATTTCTTAAAATAGAAAAATGGTTTCAGGACAATAACTAAAGTTAGGAATGAGATATTGTAATAAAACTTGGTGTTTAGCAAGCTTACATGAAGACTGCGCTTGGTATTGCATTTGGACTCCCTGGGTTCAAGGTCACAGTTACTAAAAATAGAAAAAGGGTTTCCAGACAATTACTAGGGTTAGGAATGAGATATTGTTATCAAACTTGGTGTATAGCAAGCTTATATCAAGATCAAGATAGTTGGGATTGCAATAAATTGAAATTTTATTTACTGTAGGTTTATTTCAAATTTTTCTTCAGACAACTTATTTTTCAAAAGTCAAAGTTGCTGGTGGGGGTATTAATCACCTTCAGTGATAGGTCTAGTTTTAAATATTAAGTAGAATTATGATTTTTTGTTTTACTGGATTAAATTTACGGTAGTAGAAATGCGTTTATGTGTGGGGAAGGGATTGGGTAAGTAGATAACGTGGAAAAATAGCTATAGGGAACTGGATAAACCCGAGAATATGCGTAATTACAGGGGAATGGGTAACCTGTTGCTGTTGGTACAAGTTTTGACTGGGTGCCTAAATAACCTAACAGACAGTTTTGTTTTCATACGATATTATTCTGGCTGCGCCATTCTCATTTTTAGCGTCAATGGCGGAAAATCGCGTCCTAGGCAGATCTGTGCATATTGGATTTAGTTGATATTTTACGCTGAATAAAAAAGATACATGACCGGCAATGTACCCTATTCGGACAGCTTTTCTAGCGAAAATTAAGTACAAAATAAAAGGATATATCGTCAATTTGAAGAAGTTTCTCATAGTACCCAAATTAAACTGATGGTTTATCTTTTAAATTAAGCGGTCATTATGTCTCCCCCACCTCGGGGGGAGACATATTGTTTTTGCCCTGTCCGTCCGTCCGTCAGTCCGTCCGTCCATTCTTCGTTTCCGGACGATACCTAGAGTTCCTTTTGACCTACAGCTCTCAAACTTCATAGGATGATTGGTCTTATAGAGCTGATGATCCCTATTGTTTTTGGGGTCAGTAGGTCAAAGGTCAAGGTCACAGTGACCGTTGGTCAATTTCTCGTTTCCGGATGATAACTAGAGTTCCTTTTGACCTACAGCCCTCAAACTTCATAGGATGATTGGTCTTATACAGCTGATGATCCCTATTGTTTTTGGGGTCAGTAGGTCAAAGGTCAAGGTCACACTGACCGTTGGTCAATTTCTAGTTTCCGGATCATAACTAGAGTTCCTTTAGACCTACAGACCTCAAACTTCATAAGATGATTGGTCTTATTGAGCAGATGATCCCTATTGTTTTTGGGGTCAGTAGTTCAAAGGTCAAGGTCACAGTGACCGTTGGTCAATTTCTCGTTTCCGGATGATAACTAGAGTTCCTTTTGACCTACAGCCCTCAAACTTCATAGGATGATTGGTCTTATAGAGCAGATGATCCCTATTGTTTTTGGGGTCAGTAGGTCAAAGGTCAAGGTCACAGTGACCGTTGGTCAATTTCTCCATTTCCATTCCTGTTTCCATTCACAGTTATTCTCAGCAGTGGGGGAGACATGCGCTTTTTTACAAAAGCATCCTCTAGTTCTTAAATCATGTGGTGGGATCATCAGCAAGCTTGAAAATCGGACAAATGATAATTAATGTCGCGGCGTCTTCAATTTATTAATTAATTAAAGCAATTCAGTTCCATATGATGTTTTCATAAATAATATATAATGTACGCAATAAGATTAATAAGTTCTTCATCAAGATAATATTTCAGTTGTACCAGCGTGTACACCTATACCGGAAGTGGGTGTATCATGTCACAATCTCGGTCTCGTCTGTCTCGCGAGAATGACAGAACGCCAAAATGGCGGCGTCCATGAACTTATTTCTCAAGTAAAAAATAGTGTCTTAAAACACGAATTTCTCACTTATAGGGTTGATGTCAACAGAAAAACTGTCATGATACCTCTTTTTAAAAGATGAATATTTATATTAGACAAACATCAATCCATCCATTCCTATTCCTTTAAACATTACATCAATGAATCCAGCAACATTTATTTACATATATATGTTAGGATTATTATTATATACATCCCTAATGAATCAAACAGACTGCCTTGGGTCATGTGTCATAAAATTCACTTATATTTAACTCAATCTCAATAATTTCAATCACAACAATTTATTGTTAAATATTTCATAACACTTAAGTAGACTACATTTAACTTATGGTACTACTGATCTTAAAAGTTATGAAATAGAAATATTTGATTTGATATTTAAATCACGGTCTGCCTTGTCTTGAGTCATAGTTCACCCTGTCCAAAAACACAGTCCGCCCTGTCTCTATCTAAGGTCTGCCATGGTACAGTCTGCCCCATTCTAAACAACAAATAATAATACTTGTTTGTAGAAATAATAACCCTTTACCTAAATGTGGTGATGAAAACTTTACTCTATGTTTCAGGGTATATTTGGTGACATGGAATGTTGGGGCTGCTGGGCCACCTAAAGATCTCACAGAACTTCTTGATCTCAAAGAAGAAAAACTCCCAGACATCTATGGTATTGGGTAAGTTCATGTAAAAGCTATTCTGCTTCTTTTCTTTCTTTTTTTGTTAGGTTTAACATCTTCCCAACACAGTATAAGTCATATGGTCACTTTTCAGCTTTACTACTGGAGGAAGACCTCAGGTGCCTCTCTGTACAAATATTTTAGACATATACAGGCACTTAAGTAGAACCACTGACTTTCTGTAAGCTAGCTGGATAGCTTTCTCACATGCAGAATCTGAAGATGCTGGCGCGGCTCGAACCTACAGCAGTAAAAGCTGTCACTGTTAGTGTAATTTGCTTGCTATAGTGCCTCATGGTATGCTTAAAATTTGAGTATGGCATACAACTGTTTTCATTTTTCTTCAAACAACATCTTTTCAAAAACTTAAGAATATGTGAACGAAACCTTTTCTGCGATATTTCTTGCAGGAAGTCTGACCTCATTATTGTCCAGATATTTACCTGTATTACAGAGTTTGGTTGCTATGGTAACAGAAAGAAAAAATTACAAAAATCCTTTCTTAAGGGAGAGAGAATTTAAATCTATTGTGAAAAATACAAATGTACTTGTTTGACTGTGTCATGATCATAAACCTGAGCCTGCTAGTAGTGAGAACAGTGCAGACCAAGATCAGGTGACGCATCCATTCCCTTTGATCATGTACTACACTGTTCACTATTTTTGAAATTTTCCCTAGAAATGGTTTTGTCCAGATTGAAAGATGGACTAGTCCATATGCAATATTTAGGGAGGGAAAGGTTAAGCCTTACAAGAATGATTTCCTGGGTATGTGTGTTTACAATACAAATACTGGATCTTTTAATTGACATGAGCAGTCCATTGTTGATTTTAGAGATTTTATTCTCAGGATTTAGAAACAAAAATATCTGGTCTAGCTCTATACTGGTGTCAAAGGTTGGAAACTAACTAAGAAAGCACAAAAATGAGTTTATATTAATTTTTCTGTTCCAGATTTCAGGAGTTGGATCCTACAGATAAGGATATGAAAGACAACCAGTGGACATGTAGATTAACAGATGACCTAGGCAGGCTTGATTATGTCAGGGTAAAGATCTTATTATATTAAATTATTTACTTTTAAGGAATTGCTTTAAAGTTAATAAACATTTGGAGAAAATTTGAAATTGAAAAGGCTTTGATTTGTTTTTGTCTTATGCGGATCACCTCGGTCAATATGATTGTGATCTGACGGTGAATATCGTATCATATTCAATGGCTCACTAGTCAATAATTGTATAAAAATGCCCTTCAAAATGTATTGGTGTTATCCAATTGATGAAAAAGAGTATTAACATTATTTGTATATTTTAAGCAGTATTTCTATTTTATCCTATACTTTTTCATTACCAATTATTTGTCAATGACAATTTTTGCTTTACTATTGAAGTCATTCAGCTTGACTGGATAGCCAAAAAATTATGCACTAAATTCAAACATGCCATATCCCCCGCCTGGAGACAAAAAACCCTGATTTTCGACCTTGTCTCCCGATCTCCCAGCGTTGGATCGAAATCCCCCGATTTTCAAAAATCCAACCAACAAAAAAATTAAAGCATCATTTTTGCCACTTTAAGCTAGAATTACCATTGCAAGTGCTTTAGATTATCATAAGTAACATTATTCACTGGGCTTTAACTTAAACCGCACTGAATATCTTTAATGCACATGTCCAACTTTCAGTCTTCCTTAACCCATTCATCAGGGGAAAATTCAAAACCTCTATTGATGGAGTAAACAACAGTACAGATCATGTCAGCCGACACAAATGGGCTGATTAGTCTTGGTCTACACTGGTCCCATGACCAGAATCTGTTGCCACCAGTAGGTTTACAGTTAAACACATAAAATTTATTTTAGCTTGATTGTCTTGTAAGCTTGAAACTTATTTAAACCACCTTTTGATTTTGCTTCATGGAACTATTTTTTTGTAGATAAAAGTAGTGCGGATGCAGGCTATATCACTACAAGTGTTTGTAAAACGTTCTCTACTCCTACATGTTACAAGCATAGAATCAGAATATTCAAAAGCAGGGATGGGTGGTTGGTGGGTAAGTAATTAAAACATGTATAAATAATTTATGATTTTTATGATATTAGATTCTGCGTCTTTTTTTAGATGCCTACATAGAATTTGGAACATTTGTAACACAAAATATCAGTAAGGTAAATATACTTAATATTTCAGGAACAGTTTTTGTTGACTTTTGCTTTATTTACTTGACAGTGTACTAGAAATTATTTATAAGTTTTGAAATCAAATGAATAGTTAGTTAACTAATGCGAAATTAAAGCTGAAACTTCATAGATTTACATTATTAAATACATTTATCAAATACCACTTTTTCTTTGAGAAGGAAAGACTTTTTATAACAGAGAGTGTGCTGTATTTTGTATTTGATAAAACAATTTTTTAATTTTACTTTAATTTAGAGTATAAATGCTGATATAATTTCAGGAAGACCTTTTTGGTGTAAGTCAAAAACCTTTAGACAAATGAACTACAATGTATGAATCAAATAGAAATGAATTTTAAAAAAACAAAACAAAAAAAACCCAAACAATTATTCATTGAATGTTCTCAACTTCCCAGGCTCTGCTTACTACAATTATAAATTTCCAAGAAATTTGAATCTCAATGTAAATTCTGTTGCTGTTGACTCTATTGTCAAATAAACGTTCATATGTCTAACAGTTTTATTTCTGTATTGAAGTAGGTTGTGTTTTCTTCTTTGCTGTGTATGTCAGACAAGTTCACCATTAACAATCAAAACAGTAAAGTCTAGCAAATTGAGGTTTGATACATATGATTAAGAATATCTGTCAAATGTTGCATTTCGGATTGGAATATCCATTCCCAGGGTACCTACCCATCGAGAGTTTAGCAGGATTGCTGAGTTACCTCCCTTAGATATGTACCCTGAGGGACAGATATTCTGATCTGAACAGCAAACACTATTCAGAAATTATTCCTTTCATATTCTACCAATTTTAAATGTTTTACTTCAGTAGATTATTTTTTCATGAAATGTTAGTTATTTCATCTGTTACTTTGTATGAATAATCAGTTAGCAACTTCATTCATAACAGCAAAATAATAATAGTCCTAGGAACGCAGTTTATTCATAAAACGTGCCAAAATTACATCATTTTGAGACACGCAACTCATCTGGCACCCCTCATGCCAGATGAAATTTCTAGCATGTGTAATCGTAAGTGTGATATGCAAGAAAGACCTTCCATTAATGATAACCTATATTGAAATCTGGACAGCTTCCTTACATGCAAGAATCCGAAGTTTCCTTCTTGCGGTTCAAACTCAAAGCACTAAGGAGCCAGTGATTTGAAGTCAAGGACCTCAACCACTTGGCCACAGAGGCCTTAAGATCATTCATATGTAAAGAAAGATAAACGTTATTTGTGTCATTGCAGGGGAACAAGGGAGGTGTGAGCATACGGTTTGATGTGGGTGGGGTCAATGTAATCATTGTAAATACACATTTGGCAGCTCATCTTGAAGAAATGGCTGAGAGAATAGAGGTTTTTATTTTCTAATTATTTTACATCTTTACTAAAAAATGTGTTTGTACTCTATATATTATCACCATATTACTTCTTTGTTTAGAGAGAAAGGGCTATTTTTGCATATTTTCTTACATTTTTTTAAAGCGGCCTTCAGCTTTAATTTTTTGTTGGAAAAACATTTTTGTGTTGGTTCAGACTAAGTATTTCAGTAATTTTATCTTTGAAAAGTGCATCATATCACTGTTAGGCCTACTTCAAAACAGCGTCCCCAGAGCAATTCTATAGGGCCTCACTTTGAGTGATCTTCGTTTCTAAAAATAGAGAATCAGGAAACGAATTGTCCGCTTTACTAATTAACATATAGAGAATGGACTGGTAGATTAGAGATTATCGAGCGGTTTCCTTATTGTTTATAAATTTTATCCAAGGCAAATTTTATTTACCACCTTAATTCTTTTGATTTGACAATTACATGAACTGATTTATCTAAAAATAAGATATTTAACATTTGGAGAAGCTGAAGTCTTCTTTAAGTAATTTGTGTAGATAAGTATTAATATTTTTCAGTATAAATTTCATTATTTCATTTCTTAAAATATTTTTTGAAAATTTAAAAAAATGAAAATAAAATTTTTCATGAAATCTGGAGTTTTGCAGTTTTAAACTGAGTAAAATTATATGTAGTTATTTTTGTTTTGGAGAAAACTGTAAAGTCTTTTCATTTTGAACAACATTTTGAAATCATAACACAAATTTAGGAGATTATGGGTTAATTCTAAGTACATTCAGTTACAACAGTTGTTCAAACTTTTATATTATGTACATGTTCTGTACTGTATGTAAAAGAGAAAATTTAATGTAAGATCTATTAAGATAACACTCTTAACTCTTCACATATTGTTTGTTAGAACGGTAGTTTATTGTGTAATTATTGCATTTATTTTAACATACAGCTATAACTTATATTACTAGAAATCAAAAATTACAATAATGAACATATCTCTTCCACATTATTTGTTTTAGACTATCACTACATCTGTCTTGAAATATTGCTTTGTTCATGTCCAGAAAATGTTTTAAGGGAATACAATGACTTTTATTTTCTTTTTAGCCTATGATAATTTTAAAACTTTTAAGATAAGAGCATGCAAATTCACCATTTGTATCTTAAACATGTGCAATATAAAAAATGCATTATAAATATTTCACAGAAAATAAACAATGCCACAAGATGAAAATCTTTTCTAACTATGCTTTTGAAAGACCAAATTTATATACTTGTTAATGGCATTACAGTAAATTCCACTTATACCGATATTGCTTATAATAATATATTGATTATAACAATGCTGTTTCAGCAGTTTCCCGACTCTTGTTTTCAAATTGGTTGCCTCCTCGGATATAACGATATCCAGATATAACGACAGCAGTCCCCTGAATTTTGTTATAAGCTAAATTTATGTTGTTATTTCCGGATATCTTTAAATCAAAAAGATTTCATGCAATCAATTTGATAAGTTCCCACTGTGGCAACAGCATCGTTATAAGTGGTATATCAGTTTAAATCATATTGATATAAGCGCAGTTAACTGTATTTCACTACCATAGTTTCAATTATCAAATGACATTTTTGTGCAGTATTTAGTCTCGAGTTTATTCTAAAGAATGTATACATTCATATTTTAACTTTTTCATTGACAGGACTACAATGTTGTATTAAGTACGCAAAAGTTCAGGGATCGGGATGTTGAGAATATATTAGATCATGAGTATGTTTTTTTATTTTCTTACAGCAATAGATTAAATTATGTGAATACTTTGTGTGACTGTTACATTGATATGATAGGGAGAGTTATCCTTCTTTGCCCGGGTGTTTGTGTTGTCATCAGTGTCACACATTAAGTTAAGCATTTTGTGTCAACTACAATTTTGTTTTTGCGTTAACCTTTTGTGGTATTGCTTTATAAGTTGGAATACTTTTATATAAGATCATCAGACCATTTCTAGACAAGAGGATATAACTTGTCATGGGTTATCTGGTATGTGCAGCTTTAATCATACATCTTTCTCTATTAGAAATTGGGAATTTCACAAATGCAATACCAGCTATTTTTACCAGTAAACATCATACTATCGGGGTTTTTTTTCTTCTGCATTTTCAACCTTGCGTCTAAAGATTTGTGTCGTAATCTATTTGCATTTTGTCATGTAGCAAACTGTTGCATTTTGCTTTTCTCTATTAGATCTTATTCTTAATAAAAATCTTTTGTGTGTCTCTCTTTATTAATTAAAAAATTTGTTTTGTTTTATTTTTAGCTATGTGTTCTGGATGGGAGATTTAAACTGCCGTCTAGAGAATATATCGAAGGATGCTGCCATAAAACTTATAGAAAAAAATGAACTCGACAAATTGCTCAAATTAGACCAGGTAAGTTAAATTATACATGTATTTGTTTAAGGCAGAGGAAACTTTATGAGCTGAGTAAATTCTGGAAATTTCCGGCAAGTATCAGCAAAACTTTTGAGTATATCTGTTGGCACACGCCATAAGTTGGAATATGATACATGTACATTTTTTTCGAAAATGGCGAAGAGAGATTTGTAAGTGAATTTCATATACAATGTAAGCTATAATTTGCTTGAAATTTGTTTGACTAAAATATTCAGTAGACATTGCAAATTTAAGCACTCTAAGTTTGACTATGCAAACAAGAGGGAGAGCCATTCATTTGTGTCAGTTGTCGTCACTTTTTTTTGGTAAATTTTTTTCGTGCAAGTTCGTACTGAAGGGAATGGGTTGACACTTCACACACTATTTAAAGAGGATATAAGGAGGTCACTGTTTAAAGATCCTGTATCTTGTAATTAAGGTTGTTACCACACTTAAGTTAAATTTTATATATTTGTATAATTATGCTTCTAAAACAATTTTCAAACATCGAAGAATATGTAAAATATGCAAAGATTTGTCCACATTATATGTAATCATTAAAATATATGGATTCATTTCTTATTGAAAAATTTGACTTAAACTTTATAGAAAATAAATTTCTGATAACCACCCTTTACTAACATGAAATGTAAATTCGGTAATATCTTTACAAATAATGCTTATTGGAACTTGCAATATTGATAAATCTTCATTTGAGCATTATATTTATGATATAAAACAATAAAAAAAAATTGTGTTACAGGATCTTTAAGGCCCATAAAAGATTGTCATTGACAGAATTATGGCCCTTTTTGAAATTAAAAAATGCTACATTATTTAGGTCCTTGTTTTGCTTTCAAGCACTGAGAATAGTTGAGCACCCTGCTCTACTGACAGCTCTTGACATATATTTTGCAAGGTGTATCTTGCTTCATAGCACACTAAGAATTCTTTGCATATTAGTCGTAAGGGCAATACTGACATTGGATAAAAAGAGATTTTTTACTTCAAGTCAGATTTATATTCTTGTCATCATTATGTAATTTCAGTTAAAACAAGCTCAACAGGAGGGCTTAATGCTGGTTGATTTTCATGAGGGACCAATCAACTTTAAACCTACATACAAATTTGATAAAGATACTGATATCTATGATACAAGGTAAGGCTGGGAACCAGTCTTTGTACGGTAATAATAGCATAATTTTAATGGTTACCTGCTGAATTTGTTAAATGGACTTGTCCAATTTCCATGTTTGAAACTGATCATAATCAATTTAAGGGATATCAAAAATGAAAATTAGCCAATTTATGTAGTGCTTAGTCAAATCGCACACATGTGCAGGTTGGCCTAGCTCTATATTGGTGGCTAATGTTACTCTCGTTTCAAACCGGTTAAGGCCCATGATTTGAAATATATGAGACTTAAAGTTAAGACTTTCTTAAATACTTTTGAAAGACTGATAATAATTAAACTGTTAGACTGAGCCAGAAAGTTAACGGTTTTGATTTAATAATTTCTTACTTCATTTCCTGATTAAGACTGAATTCTGCCATAAATTATTAATAAGCTATCGATTTGGCGTGAGAAAGACTAGTTGTATTTCCAATCTGCCTTCTCATGCCTATAGACAGTAGTCACACATTTTTTTTTTGCAATGACCTGTACAGTGTTGTACAAGAAACCAAGAAAAAAAATGTTCCATTTTGCAGTGAGAAGCAAAGAATACCAGCATGGTGTGATCGGATTTTATACAAAACTCATGATGACATTGATGGGTTGAAGATGTCTAAAAGAAAGTACTATAGCCCCGCCTACAACAAGGGAGATCATAAACCGGTAGCTGCAAGTTTTGAAATAAATGTAAGTTAAATGGTATACAAAAGGGAGGTAATTTCAGTGTGCATAACCAAATAGGATTTTCACTCTAAATTGATGGGAGAGAAAGTTTGTAAGAAGATCAAGATCATTTTATTTGATAGTCAAAAGAAGATTATATTTTGGCCGCTAGATTAAAGAAAAATTCTTATAGAAGGGAGATAATTTCATTGTGATGTGTCTTATCAATGTGATTTTCTGTTTTGAATATAATCGGAGAGTTATATGCAAAAAAAGATAATTTCATTTCATGCAATTTTGGTTGCCAAAATGGTTTCTTCCTATATAAATGATTGTGTAAACAAAAAGGAAGATATTTTCTTTATGTGAATTATGCACCAGTCATACGCAACACCAGCACCCCTCATCCCACCCCTCTCCCAAGAATAAGCAGGGTACATTGACTTGGATCGGCAGAGCTCTGATTTTTAAGGCAATGCCCTGTGGGGACAGTGTGATGGTAATTTCCCGGCACTGCTTGTATGACATCACTGCATCAACCCTCCAATCAACTTGTTGCTTGCTTCGGTCAAAAATTTGAGATTTTCAGAATTAGCAAATATCTTTAACAAATGAAAATACAAGATCAACACTGGAAAGATCTTTTGTGTTATTAGTATAAAATGTTACAATGTATGGCTATATCATTTTCACATTGCTTGAGAGATTTTTACTCTGCTCTTTATTGAGTAGCTAGGAAAACTCACTAGTATTGTAAGATGTTCGCTTTAGTTATTGTTTATAATTTGACTTAGTGTTTCACATTTTTTTGTAATGGCTTAAAATGTATGTACATTTACATTCTGGTACATTCACATTCTGCATTTCTACATTCATTCATGCCAGATATTGTTATTCTAAGTCATACTCACTTGAAACACTTCGACGATCATCTTTACTTGCCCCCAATATCACATATAAGGATGGTCCATGTGGGTAGGGTAGTTGCATAATTTTCAGGCAGTTTGTATTAAGAAAAAAATACTTATTAAGTCTTGCACCTTCACTTTTAAGTATACATGGCTATCAAATTTAAGGCAGTGACTTATAACAAGAACATGTAGGTTAATCTGCAAGTTTAAAGTTTGTAGGTGGCATCACTTTAAGGTCAAGGTCATAGTTTAAGGTCAGAGGTTTTTGAGCCTGAGCTACCAATTTCCAGTTTCTATCTTTGGAACAACTAGAGTGATGTTTGTGATCCTACAAATATCATTCCATTTACTTTTTATGTTTTACTCAGGTGAGCGAAATGGGCCTACTTGGGTTTCTTGTTTTAAGCACATAATTTATATTGTATACTCATATAGTTTAGTATTAAAATTAATTTTGTTGTCTCATTGTTAAACTGTACTAGTGTAGTATATTTTTATTTTATTTGTACATGGTAACAATAGTTGAGTGCTGTGATAAAAAAAAAATGTTCATAGTGGTTTAAGATGAAAATTTGATTATATGTGTTTATAAACCTAGAATACTAATCAGTGGTAAATTCACAGTTAGTCTTTTGACTAAATAGATTTCCATCTTACACCAAATCAAATCAAAGTTGGGCTTGTTGCAACCAATTTTTACTAAGTTTATATACAGAGTTTTAATTTTATTTGATTGTGTAGGAAGCTATTAGCTTATAGATACACTCTAAAATCAGTTCCTGTGTCAAACAAGCACCAAGCAATCAGTGTTAAGTTTCTTGCTCAAAGGACCAATGGCTTGTCCCTGATGGGTTTTGAACCCAAGTGGCCATCAATCCTTAAATTACTAGCCTGAAGTGTTTACCAAGCTGCCACTGGCAACAAATGGCAATATGTTTAAAATATTTTGTTTAGTTGAGTTACGGATGAACGTATATCCCTCATTAATGATTTAAGCTATTAGCTTATATACACACTCTTGAATCTGTTCCTGGAACTAAGTGGTTCTAAGCAGTGAGTGTAAAGTTTCTTGCTCAAAGGAACAAAAGCTTGAGTTTGAATTACAAATGTACTAGTCTGACGTGTCAAATAATCGGACACACTGCAAGTGGTGTCACCTTGCAATGTGTTTAGAAATTTTAGTTTTTCAAGAAATAAGGATTTACATAGATTTCCCACATAATCGATTTTCAATTCTTGATCAAATTTATGAATTCCTCCTTTAACTATATGAAAATTTATTTATTTTGTCTCAACTTTTTATATTGATATACTTTTCCGGTTTTTTTTATTCATATTAATCAAATGATTGAGTTGTTGCTGGACTGCTTTTAATGACACATTAAATTTATACTGAAACAATTACATTAACAGTTGCCAAATTTCTGTGACAACTGCTTGTGTTTGGAAAACTATGGGGTTTTTTTAGCAAACAGGTCAAAGGTCAAAAGTCATTATTTGAAATGATTCATATTCAATCGACAATGTGAACTACTAGTAAATTTATAAGATGTTTCCCTGTTACCAACATAAGTTTTCTTTTGCACTTTTATTATTGTCCAAAGATCACAACATATGAAAGCTTTGTTTTGTGTCCTTCAACTGTTAGCCTACTATTGGCAACAGATTTAATCCCTGCTACCAGTGCAGACCAAGACCATTGCCTGCACTGTTCTCTATTTTGTCGGTATTTTGAAATTTTCTCTGAAAAGCTGAGTGGTTTTGTCTAAATTGAAAGACAGCCCAGTCCATTTAAAAAATTTTCATATTGCAAAGCCAGACTAAACATTTCATTTTTTTTATTTCTCAAAGGCTTTTCCATGTATATTTCTGTTTTTCAGTTACAATTGCTTTGCAATAAGCTCAAGAAAGGGTGTGTTAGTTAAAGCTAAATGTTGTTGTAAATGTTAGAATATAGTATTATAACATTACATATTTTAGTTGATACACTATAAGAGTCGTCCGTCATACAAAGACAGCGATCATAAACCCATGACGGGACTGTATGAATTTAAAGTAAGTTACAGTATACTATAAAATCAGAAATTTTCGCAACAGATTAAATTTACCTTATTTTGCGAATTGAAGATTTTCGCCAAAAAAAAATAAAATTTGCTGATTTTCACAAAGAAAGTTTGATATTATCATTAAGTATTATATTAATTAATTTTATTTAAAAGAATTGTAAGTCAAATATTTAAAATTGTCCATTTGTCTTGAATACAGATTTTTTGAAATTTTAGCTGAACGAAAATATCTGAATTTACAGTGTACTAGTAGTAATCTTTGTATTGGCCTCTCTTATAGTTTTCTAACTCACCTCATTTTTAGCTCACCTGAGCATAATATGTTCTAAGGTGAATTATTGTGATGAGCTGTCGTCCGTTTGTGCATAGTCTGTCATTTCTGTAGGGTCCACTGTGAATATGTTGACCTTACGTGACAGGAATGGTCCTCTATAAAACATACTGTCTGATGCATATAAGTTTTGATCACACACCCTTGCCGATTTTGAGACTCCGTAAATATGGTATTGCACGGCCGTGCATATATTTTGACGTGACGTCATTAGCGTTAAACAAACATAGTGTAAAGACACCCTAAATGTTAGCATTATACTATAGACGCGTCAATGAAAAATGACTCTTATTTCACTTTAAAAGGTCTTTACTTTGGGTATGTGATAAATAGAATATTAAATTTGTGTAAGTTCATTACTGAATTTATTGCACTCGTTGAATAAAATAATATTATGCTCGCCAGGGGCTAGCATAATAAAATTTTATTCAACTCGTGCAATAAATTCAGTATTGAACTTACACTCATTCAATATCCTCTATATCTTGCTGAGCTAAAAATAGGTTTGAAATATGAAGTCATAAAAATCTATTTATCAAAAACTACAAGGGTTGGATTTAAGATACTTTGTAAACTACAAGGGTTGGATTTAAGATACTTTGTATGTATACATAGTATAGCTTAATTTTGCTATAGTACGCCTTTTCCTGGGGACTGCTCATTTTACATAGATTTACATTTTACATCTACTTTTGTAGAAAAGACCTTTTGTAAGCCTTAATACCAAGAAAATGGTATTGCCTTTTGGTCCTCATCAAAGCCCTTGAGTCAAAAATTGTCTATTCCTTGGTAACAATTTTATATAAATTATGGAGCTTGGGTCAGACAATTTTCCATTTACTCAGTTGAGCGATACAGGTCCACTTGGGCCTCTTGTTTGTGCATTTATCACCTCTAGGGCTCAAATTTAACTCCTGCATAAGATTCTTTCAGAGGTTGTCGGGATTTGTATTTTACTGACACAATGTCATGCAAGTTACTTGAAATTTACTTGTTGATATAAGGGCAAGTAATTCTGCTTACATTTTATGTTATTGACTATATAACACTTCATAGTTTACTTTATTTGACAAAGTTAGATACAGAATATATATTCAAATATATAAAAAAAATAAGTTTTTCAAACTGGTATAAAATGCTTATGATGAAGATGTTGATATAGTTTTTAGCTTTTGCTATTTTTAGTTTAATTGTGTCCAGATTAATGTCTGCTAATGTCTTAATTTTGTTATTCAGATATATGGTCAGATTACCTAGATTTGACCCTTTTCTTTTGTGTACATTTCAATGCCTGAGGGGTAGCTTTTTTGGGTTGAGACATCAGAATTGCGGCCACTGTTAAACCGTGTTTGATCGTAAGAGGCGACTAAATGGGTCCGAATTACTGGAATCTATGTATCTCTTAGCTCCAGCAGTGAGGTGATTTTGGACCCTGGTGTTGCTTTGTAACATTCAAGGTTAACCAAAATCATCTTTCCTGTTAAGGTGCCATATGACCTAAATTGTGTTGCTGTACAATAAAACCAAACAAAACAAACAAACAATGTCATGTTAACTGTCTGATATGAAGAAAACAGGGATCATTATAAATAAGCAAAGTTTCCATCATTATAGAGATTGAAATAAGTAGGAAATTAATGTTGTTTATTAAAATTATATGGGAAAAAACATCAACATTTTGGAATGGTTTTATCTAAGTCAAGGGCAATTACTCTGCAAATACTGAATAAATCCACAAATAAAAACAGCTTAGGGTGTCTAATCATCGTCAGCCCCAGGGTGATTTCCTTACTATACCTCTTTAACCTTTTGATATTGATGTGTTTTTACATATTTCTAAATGTAGTGATTTTATTATTTTTTTATTATTTATTGATTTATTTTTATTTCATTTTATATTGTTATTGTAAGCTTTTTATTTCAATTCAAAGATAACTTGGCTGGCTTTGTTTTAATATTAATGCCTAACAAATTACCAATTTAATTGTGCATATTTACATTAAACTTTGATGAATGGTTAAGATATTCACTGGAGTACCGGTAACAACCAAAAATTGTCGCACTTCAACAATTTGTTATGATTATCACCTTTATATTGGGACCTTGTTGTTGTTGTTGTGTGTATCTTAAATCTTATATTAAAGGAGTTCCACTGAGGTCCAAAAACATAAAATTTGAAATTCTTACAAAGATCATGGGACAGGGACACACTTTAAAAATATGAAAAATGTGAAGAAGATTATAAAGAAATATACTCAGAATTTCATTTGTGCCATTTTTAGCCTGATTTGACTTTAAAGTGTTAAAATCTTTTCATTTTGGCTTTTTTTCTACAATTAAATTGATTATTCAGTACAAAGAATTGGATTTAGTGAGCATAAAATTATGATCTGAAATTTGCATACAAATTATTTGTATAGACTTGATCAAATGGTAGAAAAATCTGGAAAATATATTTCCTGTCTGGTCATAAACCTCAATGGAGTCCCTTTAATACTTGAAAATTGAAATATATAAACTTTTAATATGATACGCATGCAACTCTATGTAAATTTTGATAAGTCTAACTTGTATTTTATGTAATCATCTTTTTGCATTCACTTGCATAATATCCCAAAATTCCCTGGAATATTTCTGAAAAGTCATGTTACAGATTTAAAACTAAATGGATTAGGGGATAAAAACATGTTTCTTAATCCTCACTTGCATGTTGACATAAATAATAAATAAATAGACATTTTTTTTTAGAATTTTTCATTAAAAGTCATTTTCTAGAATGTCCATAAATAGACATTTTTTTGAATTTTCATAAATACAGTAGACATTTTATCAAATATTCATAGAATAGACATTTTTATTGAATGTCTGTAAAAAGACATTTTCTTCATGTCAGTTTAAGGTTGCACATCTCCAGATAAGTACCATAAACACCCTTTATCTAAAAATAGTTCTTAAGAAAAATATATGGGTTAGCATATTTATACATGTATGTATGAATATTCTGAAGAGCACTTTAAAGTTTGACCTAATTCAGATAGTTTTGGTTAAAAATAAGTGTTTTTATAATTAACATGGCTTTAAGCACTTTTTTGTACACTTGAGATATGAGTCATATTATTGAAGATTCATCAATTGGAATTCGTAAATCTGGAGGCATGCTGCTTTAAACACTGGGAGCCCTATTGCTAGTATCTATATTATATTAGATATTCTAGATATAATATACTACACTATTATAATCAGTGTAGAGCTGTACAAGTTAGCATGTAGCCAGAATAAAATATTTATCATTTGACATTGCTTTTTTTCAATGAACTATAAATATATCATAGATTATATTTCTTTTTACTACACATTTTTAAAAAAGAAAAGGGGCAGTTGAATTCTGATTTTGCAGTTTCACGCCATTTTGTAGATGTATAATAAAATGGTCATTTTCATTTGACAATACAGTTCCTCCACATATGTTGTTATTTCATATACATTTAACTTATCCAAGAAATGTTATAAAACTTGACCTTTCACCCTTTCCATCATACTTATGGTATCTTTTCTTATTGCACTTTAACAAAAATTAAGATTTTTTTTCAGATATTTTATTTGTTGATACAACTTTTTTCTTTGGTTTGGATTTGAGGACAATGGGGTCAAGGCCAAGGCAACTAAAAATAGATTTCTCTCATATAGCGTTCATTGATTCAATAATGTCATAGATAGTTGGTATGTTGTTTTTCTGCATAGACAGCTACCCTTAGATTGTGTTTGATGTAAATAGGTCAAGGTCACTTTGGCTAGAAACTGATTTTTCCACATGTCCATAGAATTTGGCAATGTTTTTTTTTTTATCCGTCGGGAAATATTTTATTCCCATCGCTGATATTCTTGTCTATTTTCAGGTGTTTGATATGGAGCCGAACCCGTTTGTCATTTTTGATCCCATCAACAAGTGGGGGTATGGTAAAACACAAACGTTTCACTACACTATTCGATGTGGGATTGAGCCAGATTCTTCACCATGGGATTTCATAGGACTTTATAAGGTAATTTCTTACATTTGTTTACACTTGTACTTTAAGTTTATTTTGGTTTAACTAAATGTTGTAAAGTTCTGTCAAGTACAAGATTGATCCCTACTCGATGGATCACTTGTTTTGATAGAAAGATAATTAAGTACTCTTTGTCTTGTTGTTTATAATTAATCACCAATATGTTGGATATTTTTATGGTGTAAAGTCGCATTGAATTTAACCCTATAGTTCATTGGAATCTGGGTCAAGGTTACCAAGGCTATAAATAAATTCTTGTACTTTTCTCCATCCAGCTTTCATTTATTGACCTATAGATTCCGTGGCTAAGTGGTTACAGTCCTTGACTTTATACCACTTGCCCCTCACCACTGTGGGTTCAAATTCCGACAAGTACTTTAGTTTTTTTCATGTCAGGAAGCTATCCAGCTAGCTTATGAAACGTTGTTGGTTCTGCTTGGGTGCCCGTTCGTGCCTGAAGATCGGAATGGCACGTGAAGACTTCCCTAAACAGTAAAACTGGAACATCGCCACATGACCTACTAGTATATTTTGTTGGTGTAACACACAACAAAAAACAAAAAGCAAAATTTATTGACCTACAATGCAAATATTTGATATTTGATTTTGAAGTTATGTACCTTGATACAATTCTAAGAGCTTTGGTATTTGATACACAGCATGCCTGGTAGACTTTGTTTTGAATCATGCTTTTAGTGTCAATGTTGCTCAAGGGATAACCAGATTTTACATAAATCTTTATGGATAAGAAAAGATTTTAAAACTCTTAAGAAATTTGAAGGCCTGTAGCTTGGATGTTTGATGTATGGTATTACATTGGGGCAGTGTCAATTTCTGACCTTTGCATAAAAATACTCTCTTAAGGGGTTACTCGGTTTTATATAGACTGAAATGGGGCAGGGAAAATCTTTTCGGAAACCACTTGGCCTTGAGTCCCCCCTTCCTGTTTTCTAATGATGATAAAAATATAAAATATACAATATTTGTTCACATTTAAACTATATTTCTTTTAATTTTTAGGCTGATTTCAAAACATTTGATGACTACAAAACATGGGTATATGGAAAGAACAATGCTGAAGACCGGGGCGATAAGGGCGTTACCTTGGAAATTAAGGGGTCTTACCTGAAGGAACCCCCAGGGAAATATGTGCTATGTTACATCAGTAAATACAAAGGATGGTTGAGGGGAATGAGTAACGTGTTTGAGGTAATGTTTGATGTTTATTTTTAACAAAATAAAATGCAGTTAATTTAAGTTATTTACTAGTAAGACATGGTGGCTTAGTGGTTAAGGTACCTGCCTCTGAACCCAGGGATCATGGGTTCGAGTCTAAATGTGGTCTCAGTCATGTTTCCTTATATGATACTGTAACTGGCAAGCTCCAGGAAGTGAAATTAAGAGTTGTTAAAATAAGATATAAGCTTTCTTCACAAATGTGCTGAAATAAATAATATTTAAACTAAAATTATTGTGTAGAAAGGTTACTTTGAAAAAAACTGCAATACTTATATTCATGTGCCTATATGTTCTGTCTTTGGGACAGACTTGTTCGACTGCATGTAATTTATAAGCTTAACTTTTGGAAGAATGTGGAGAGCTATTGTACTCGCCCAGGTGTTGGTATCACACTTAAAGGTTTTGCATACACATTGGTATGTAATAAACTACTGAAAGGAAATGGGTTGAAACTTCTTACACATATTTAAGGGCATAGAAGGAGGTCATCATCCTAGGCCCATAACTTACATGGATTTTGACAGAGTTATGGCCCTTTTTGAACTAACATATTTCTGTATTATCCAGGCTCTTGTTTTACTATCAAGCACTGAGAATAGTTGAGCCTGCTGTTTTACTGACAGCTCTTGTCCTATTTATTATATTTTTATTCGTCTTGAGAGATTTCCTGTTTTCTGTTACTGAGAAATTGTCATTATGTATAATTTTTGCATTTTTCTTTGTAGATTGTTGGCTGAATCAGTGCTCAGAATAGAAGACTTCAAAGGAATTCCAGTTGATCGAACAGTGCTATTTTTAGAAGGACAATATATTTTATTCTTACTTAGTAGTTAGTAAATCTGAAAAGTGTTATGCACCTTCAATATAGATTATTTATTCGAGATTTATATTTTTGTAAGTGTTCAGAGTAAAATTTGGACGTAGAAGCAAATGCTTAGCCAGTTTGTCCATCCAACATTTCGTTTATTCTTCCTAACTTTTTCTGATTGTGCCAAATTTTTGGTAATTACCTTACATGAATGTTTACCTTTAGTTTGAATTTGAGGTATATGGGTTCAAGGTGACGGTCATTGAGGCTAAAAATAGATTTTTGTTCTCATTTTGCCTTCTTTTATTGTCTAATTTTATCTATTTGGTATGGACGTACCTTGTATGAACATTTTCCTTTGGTATGAAATGCCTGTGTCGATTATTGTGAACACTCGTAGTCTTGCCTCTGTGGTATCATCCTTCCATTCATATTTTCATTTAACCTTTAATTTAGTCTGCTTGGTGGCAACATATCTTACCCATGTTACTAGTGCAGACCAGTATCATCTTAATAATCTGTGCAATCTAATCATGGTCTACACTTACACTACATATTTTTGAAATATTCCCTCAAAGTAAATTGTTTTGTCTAAATCAAAAAGATGAACCAGTCCATTTATGATATTTAGCATGGTAAGGGTTAAACAACCTCTTAACAAACCATCTCGGCCAATGTTGATAAAACTATGAACAGATGTTTTTTGCATAAAGATACAAGATGTATGTCATAATATTATTGTTTGCTCAAATTATATTATCCTAGTAAAACTTAAGTTGCTATGGCAACTGAAAAAAAATTGTAAAAAATACTCTCAAGGAGGGGAAGGCCTAGAATGTTAATGTTTCTACTATAGTCTGTAAGACTTTGCATGTTATTTTAGTAGTCCTTTTTTGTCTTTTTCTTTAATTTGAATGTCTTGTAGCACATGGTTTTGGTTAGGGTTGCATATTATATAGTTCTCATCTGCTCTTTAATGAGCATTATTTATTGATGAATATGATTGTGACATATTTGGGATTTAGATACCTTGCATAGGTGAGATTTGACGTCATAGAAGGACAAGGTTGTTAAGGTTAAGTACCGGTATAGATTTTTATTCTTTTTTTTTAGCATAAAACCTTTATTTATTTGTGATATCTGAGGGTCAAGGTCATGTTTAGTGCCTTATTTACTTTGATGGTGCAGAAACTTTAATGTTTTGTTAATATCTAAACTGTTATTTAACTTTAAAACTATGCTTACTTAGTATGTTGTTGTACTTTATTTCTTAGGTTATGGAATACAATGTAGTTATTGACACACTTTAGTTATATATACTTAGTTACACTCTTAAAAGGACTCCACTGACGTTTTTTGACATGACAGGACTGGAGATATTTTTCTGTGATTTGTGTACTATTTGATGTTGGTTTGAACAAAAAGTTTTTGAGCAAATTTTCAGATTGTTGCCTATTTCCATTTTCCAGAATAATTTTATTCTGCAAAATGAACCAAAAATGAAGTGTGGCAACACTTCACTCAAATCGGACCAAGAATTGCACTTACCGGTATTATCGATTTTCAATATAATTCTGAGTATATTTCTTTACTATTCTTTGCAGATTCTTTCATTTTAAGTACTTCTCTTGGTCTACAAAAACATTTGAAAACTTACATTTGTAGGCTTTTTTTTGACCTCAGTGGAGCTCCTTTAAAGAAATTGTACTTTATAAGTAACTTAAGTTATTTTGGTAAATTTTCAATGATTTTTTTCAATGATAGTAATAATTATCATAAAATTGTTAATTTTGCTGTCAAAAAAGGGCTGGTGAGGTATTTATATGTGATGTAAAACATTCATGACATGCTTAATATTTACTAAGTAAATCGATTTTTAACACTTCATATATTTCATCAATATTTTTTCCTCAGAAGATTGAAATCAAATTGAAATGTCCTACCTTCTTACTGCTGCTTTATTCTATTTATCATGCTATAAGCTAGAGATTTTTGTAAGCTATATATGTTATTTTATTCATTTTACTTTTGTCTGTTAAATTTATAATAGCGTTAACTATTTGTTTCTGTATTTTTACGCAAGTGTATGACACAACCTGATGATTGTCTCACATGATTTGAGATTATATATTCCTGTTACTTCCGATATCTTAATTTTATAATCAAGTAAGACATATCTGATATATTCATGTATATAGAAAAGTCACATGAAACATGGGCAAGACTCGGGAGTTCTCACCTACGAAGGTGATAAAATGAGCAAAGATTGCCCTCTTGTTATAAATATATATTATATATGTATTTATACATTAGCATCATTTTCTGTACATTTAAATTTCTTAAAAAATCAGCCTGCATCTTTGAATGTATATAATTATATAATATGAAATATAGCCATTATTATAGCATTAATTTTACCTATGATTAAGTTGTATTTCCTAAGTCATTAAGTACTTGTCAGATCTCCCTTTTTCATTTTACACATTCCACCTTCAATATAATTGAGCACTTTTATGCGCCAGTCATTTGTAAACCCTGGCCCCGCCTCCAGCCCTGGGAGTTGTGGGTGGCCTAAATGAGACGAGATTTTACCTTTCTATCCATCCCCTTACTGACTGGTCAAATGGATGTGCAGGGTTACAATTTAATGATGCATTAGTCAACTTAAGTGTTATATATGCAGTTGGAATATTTTACTGTTGATTATCTACCATATAGTTTATTTTACCTGAAATTGTTGGTTGAATTCTTAGCAGGACATGTCCGTTTTGTAACAAGCAGGTCGGATACACCAGTTCATGTAGAAGCAGATTTAAAAAAAAACATTATGTAATATATGTTTGTAAACTTATAATTATGAAAATAATTTGTGATGATGCAATAGATTTTATCGAGAACTTGGCAAATGTAGTTTTACCAATTTAATCCGGGGGGTTCAAACTAACTTCTACCTTTACAGCTTCTTGGTGCACTATCATTATGATTCACAATAGAGTGATCGACATGTTGCAAAATTTTAAAAATCTATAAAGAAAGTCATGCTTTGGAAGCATTAATCACAACAAAATAACCTGAAAATTGTAGACTCAGTATGATTGAGTCTGTACATGAGGGATAATGAATAAGTGCAACATCCCTTACGCCCCCTACACCCGCCTGAGTGACTCAATTCTCAACACTTAATAGTGCTGGTATCAATGATTCCGAACGACCAGAAAGATATAACAACACTGAAGTGAACTACGGGACAACTTTTTACAGCTGCTACACGGGTTAACATCTGCTGTTGTGAAGTTAAAAAAATCTGGAAACAAAGTGATCCTACAAACCTCCGGATTAGATGGGGAAAAACCCACATTTGCCTAGTTCCGGTATATTATTATTGTAGAAGCGTTTTAAAAAATTATTTGTTTTACTGATGAAATATGAAAATTAAGAATATCAAACTGTAAATATTATATAAATATTATTATTGGGACTGTCCTTTAGAATACTGTTAACTGTATTGTTTTTGTGTGTTATATGGATTCTCGATATTTTTGTACTTTACATTATTCTCTGTCTTTTTCGTTTCTGCATCTCTCTTTAAGTATTTATAACCAATTTATTTTTACGATGTTGTATTCTTATACCAAAGTTTATAAAATAAAAAAGGAGAAAGAAATTTAAAGCACCGACTTGAAGTTTTTGAGAATATAGAATGGGCAAAAGAATATAAAATTAATGATGTTTCTTAACATGCTCGTGGTCATTCTTATGCATCAAAACTCCAAGCTTATGTTAAATATAGCCTATGAAGACCGCTGAGATCAATATTATTTCTTAAGTGTATAAGCATATATTTGTTGACTGCAGTTATACATATATATTTTGGTGACTCCTGAAAATTTCACTGTGGTCCCTTACATAAGTTTTGTTTTTTTTGGTTTTACGTCACATCGACACAGTATAGGTCATATCGCGACGTTCCAGCTTTACTGGTGGAGGAAGACCTCAGGTGCCCTTCTGTGCATTATTTCAGGCATGAACGGGCACCTGAGTAGAACCACCAACGTTCCATAAGCTAGCTGGATAGCTTCCTCACATGAAAGAATCCAAAGTCTCGGTCGGGATTCGAACCCACAGCGGTGAGGGGAAAGTTAGAAAACTTGTGAATATATCTTTCTTACAAATTTCGCTAAACTAATTTGGTTGGCCATCAAATATACCAATGCCACTGAATCCATCAATAAAACGCATTTCTTTGCATTTCTGCAAAGCTTTTGAAAGTATATCAGTCACCATCTTATGGCAACCTTCTTATCGAGAGGGAAAAACAAGTTAAGATAGTGATGTCCTAAATATGTTGTCCTTCCAAGTAACAAGGTAGCCGATTTCATTTTCATAAGTAACCAACAAAAATCTCCTGAGATCTATGGATGGCTATCCCTAAAGAAAATTTATATTTTTGTTGATTTTGGCTATCATCCGAGAGAAGTTATATTTTGGTCCTCTGCGGTCACACTAACTATAAACCAAGGTATCGCAATGTGCAACCTGCTAGTTACTGTGTGCCACTAACGTTATTTTTAAGACAAAACAAAAATATACAATCTATACAATTTATTTTTTTATAGTCATTTAGCATCGGTTAACATACACAGGTTGTATACAAAATATAAGCATTTTTTTTTTTTAACTCTGAGACATAATCATTCATTCACTCATTTTAGTCAGTCATTCTTTCACATAATGGTTATTGCATATTTCGTGTAAAGTGTGGACACTTACAACGGAATAAAGAAAAAAGAAAAATCGAGATATATCTGAAACCGAAGGGAAAAATGTTTAAATGATTGTAACGAAAGCAAATGACTTGCTTTGATTGACAAACTAGGAACCAGTGAAAACTGGAACCAAAAAAGATGGTAATAACATATGTTGGGGTACCAGCAAAACTATATTGATACCTTGCTTTAACAAATGATGGTACCAGCACATGTTTGAAGGTACCAGCACAACCAGAATGGTACCCAGCATCTATTATATCATACATACATGTATGACAATGTACATGGTACCAGCAACACTAAGCTGGTAACCAACACCATATATTCATCATGCTCACGGAATTGGTTTTACAAAAATAAAAAAAAAAATAAAAAAAATTTCAAAACTAGTTAAACCTTAATCACACTTGTACATTTTATGGCATATAGATATAGTTCTAAATAGAAAATAAAAATACAAAAATTCAGACTTATATTTTGAAAAATTTCTACAATATATTGATTATTAATTTTTTTTCCAGCTTTTTGTCCTACTGTAAACAAACTTTAAAAAAAAAACATTTAAAATAAACAAACAACAATTAACATCATTCAAATCTAATCTCTAAATGTAGGCGTGCATGTTAAAAGTAGTTTGTGACACCCTAGAATACATAGGTAAGTGTTTAATGCACATCAATATAGAAAAAAATATCATGTTTTGCTGCTAAATCAATTCAACCAAAACAAATGTTATAATAAAATTTACATAGAGTAGCATTTCAGAAGCAACATATTTTAAAGATTTACCAATAAAATCCCAAATATTTGCTTGCCTGAATGTTATATAATGTATATGTAACAAAACAAAACAATATTTACAAAATTAACTATGTCATTAAGTGGCTAACAATATATTCTTGTTGCCATGTTCACCAGTTTAAAGCTTGAACTATCAAATGTCAAATTCTCATCCTGCATTTATACTACTTTCAGTTATCAAGTGTCGCATTGTCATCCTGCATCTATACTACTTAAGTTTTTTTGTTATGGTAACCACAGACATGGTCCAAAATGTAAGAGGCCCGTCTGTACATCTAAGTAGCCTTACTTAATCTCATTGTTGATGTACATGTATATATTTTTATATATTAATCGATTTCAACATCCCTGAATATGATAATGCACTGGTCCATGTATACAGAAAATAGGCAAGTCCATTTCAAAAATCAGTAGGAAAAGGGTTACAATTATTACTTTCTATATTTTTCTTCCAGATGCAATGTTTTCCTACCAGGGCACTCGTGTGTACCTCATCAAATCTTTTAAATTCAGGACTGAAACAAAATGGCAGGAAGGAAAGTTAACATTTTAAAACTTCAAGTTTTAAAATGGTGAAAATATAAACTTAAAAAAAAAACACAAAAAAACTAGCTCTCAGAGAAAAGAAAGTTACATTTAAATATATACTTGTCTATCACCAAAGTGACGTAATTACAGATTCACAAATGAGTATTTTTAGTCAGCGTTTATGCCTCTTTTTTAACAAGACAATCACAAAGTTGTATCACAAAAAGATATAGTTTTTCTTAAAAAGTAGAAGAAATAAATGGTATATATAATTTATAAAGTAAAGAAATAAAAAAGAGAAGAAAATCTGAACACTTTGTTTTCATGAAGAAGAAAAAACTTGCTTATGTAATATTTCAGTTAAAGAGTATTAATAAAATTTTAATAAATGCAAGAAAAGCATGCAAAATTATGAAGGCATTATCAATTGAGGTGTTTGTCGTGAAATACCAGTTTCCAAATATTATGCTTTTTATATAAATATAAAAATTTGCTAGAAAATTAAAACACACTATAAATACCGGTAGTTTACCAATGGTCCTTTTTTATTTCCCTTATTGTTAATGAAAAAAAAAAATTAAAAAATATTTTTGGGGCTTCTCTGCTGGAAAATCCATTTCTTGTTTCATGGTTTTTAGCACTGTTTGTAACAAGCAAATTGATTGGCTACTTGTTGAGTATATTTGACCAATGAGGTGTCACTTAGGCTGTAATGTCCTTAATATAGCACTAATGTCCATAATGCCCTCACAGAGCGCCAATATTACTTGTTGAAGTTGATCCTGCAAAAATAAAGTTTAATTATTAATTTTCAATATAAATCGAGAAATATTTTTTCCATTGAACAATATATTTTTGGGTATGTGCTTCCATGTCATATTGTTTATTTTAGATACCAAATTTTTATTCTGAATGACTTTTGATGTAAAATCATAATTTGCCTTTCTCTGTATCCACTTGAAGATGTAAGAACATGAATATGTGATAAAATATTTTTCAACATACTGAATGGACCAAGACCCAAACTTATATTACTGAAATGATATCAATATCAATGCAATGAAGGAAAATAATTTCAACTCCATGACTAGTTCAAGCAATTGTACATAATACTACTGTTATTGCTTTACTATAATTAAGTTACTCTTTTTTTGAGATTCCTCATCAAAATATCTTGTGAGCTGGTTATGCCATTATGAAATATCATACACTTTTGGGATGTAACCCAATATTTTTATTTTACATTAGATGAAAGTTATGAGAGCCAAAAACTGCACTGTCTTAAAATACGCGTGCATTTTGAACTACTGTATAAATATTTTCTAATAAACACCTAAAATAAAATACAGTATCAAAAGTTCCACTCATATTGAACTACTGTATTTTCTCTAACAAACACTTTGGGAGGGGCATTACATTTTCCAAAATACAGTATCAAAAGTTCCACCCATATTGAACTACTGTATTTTCTCTAATAAACACCTTGAGCGGGGCATTACATTTAAAATACTAAAATACAGTATCCTACTTACGTTTAAAATTACTTCCATACAGAACTTCTGTATTTTCTGTAATAAACACCTAGGGCGGGCATTACATTTTCCAAAATAAAATATGGTATCCTACTTACGTTTCAAAGTTCCACCCATATTGAACTACTGTATTTTCTCTAAGAAACATTTATGATTTAGAGGGGGGGCATTACATTTTCAAAAAAAAAATAAAATACAGTATCCTACTAACGTTTATAATTACCTCCATATTGAACTACTGTATATTCTTTAATAAACGTCTAGGGCAGGCCATTACATTTTCCAAAATTAAATACGGTACTATAAAAATACTTACGTTTCAAAGTTCCACCCATCTCTGACTGGGATTTTCTATAGGTACCATACCCAGATCCGGCATATGCATACCCGGCCTCGGACATCGATTTCTTACTTTCCCTCGTTGGATGTTTACCCGTCAAATCTCCGGTCACCTGTAAAACTTTACCGCTATGTCCCAGAGTTGAACCCGGTCTCTTTACGTAAACGGGGGCACTGTAGTTGCTGCCAGGATGACGCAGGTGAACCGAATCTTCAAGAGAAAATTTAATCCATGACCATTAAAACTTAAAACTTTCAGTTACTTTTCAAAAATCATCAAAGAAAATTATACAAATTTTTTATTTTTTCTATAGATGGGGTTATGAAATAACAGGTAATATTTTAAGTTTCCATCTATATTGCCAGGCATTTTCTCCCTATCACCATGACACCCAATTTTCAAATAAAAAATAACTTTTTTCCCCAAAAAAACAATATTCCCAAATAGATGCCAAAACTATCTCAACTTTTTAAAAAAATACAATAGGAATATACATTGTATAATATGAAAACGGTTTGACTTAATTCTAAAAGGAAGTAACATGCTTCATGCAAATGAAATGATGATAATGATAATCAATACTTTAAATATCACAAATTGAGCTAGGTTTTTTTCCAACTTTTTAAAACTTTAACAAGAGCTGTCGGTAGGACAGCAACGCTCGACTACTCTTAGTGCTTGATAGTAAAAAAAATGCCTGATACAGTTACCTCCTCCTGTTTACAGGTTGGGGTCATGATGGTGAACAAGTGTGCAAAGTTTCAAAGCCATATGTCAATGGACTTTGAAAATATTTGAACTATTACAAAAACTTTAACGTAAATTCTAAGTCGAAAAAGGGGCATAATTCTGTCAAAATGCTTGATACAGTTACCTCCTGCTGTCTACAGGTTGGGGTCATGATGGTGAACAAGTGTGCAAAGTTTCAAAGCCATATGTCAATGGACTTTGAAAATATTTGAACTATTACAAAAACTTTAACGTAAATTCTAAGTCGAAAAAGGGGCATAATTCTGTCAAAATGCTTGATAGAGTTACCTCCTCCTGTCTACAGGTTGGGGTCATGATGGTGAACAAGTGTGCAAAGTTTCAAAGCCATATGTCAATGGACTTTGAAAATATTTGAACTATTACAAAAACTTTAACGTAAATTCTAAGTCGAAAAAGGGGCATAATTCTGTCAAAATGCTTGATAGAGTTACCTCCTCCTGTCTACAGGTTGGGGTCATGATGGTGAACAAGTGTGCAAAGTTTCAAAGCCATATGTCAATGGACTTTGAAAATATTTGAACTATTACAAAAACTTTAACATAAGTGGTTACGCCGACGCCGACGCTCGGGTGACTGCAATAGCTCTACTTATTCTTATCGAATAGTCGAGCTAAAAAATACCACAAAATTTTCAACCATTAATAGCAAAATGACCAATGACTAAAATAAAGTACATGTAATAACTATTATTTAACGAATGAAATAATGTGAATGTAAGTGCTACATGACAATAACACGGTTAAGCTCATTATAATGGTGACGTTCCAGATGTACTGGTAAAGAAAGACATACAGTGCCCCGTCTCTGCAATAGTACATTTTTTCAGGCATAAGTAGAACCGCCAACCTTTTAGGACTTAAACCCACAGTGGTGAGATGAGAGTTACTTGAAGTCAACAACTCAAACCTCTCTGGCACAGAGGCCCAAATCAATTTTCAATACTTCAATACAATCAATTCAGAACTGATCTTATGATCCAAATTATTACAATTTTTACTGATCAATGTTAGATATTTCGGACATATTTCAATTGCAGAGCAACACTGTATACTTACGTTGATCTCCGATTATAACTGGATCATTGTAGCCATTCCCTCCATTTACGTACACCACAGAGCTTGGTCTGCTCTTATAGCTAGGTGGCGCCATCACCACAGAACCACCGTAGTATGTATCTCGATCGTCTTCTAGATATATTCCCTCAACGCCCATGTTGACAAGCTGGCGCACCTTTGGCAAAAACATGGAAAACAGAACTAATGTAGCGGTGATGAATAAGCCAAAAGCTATTGACGCATCACCAAATTCTTCAGCATACTTGTGGTCCTTATTCAAACCTCCTACAAGACCCCAGGCCACCCAGACGGGGACCGAAAAGCCAGCGGCGATACCGATAAACACACTTTCTCTATGGTTGGTAATAATTCCATGTGCTTTCATTGCAATGATTGTTGTTAAAAGGATCAAAAACATAATGTAGGACAGTGAAATGAGGTGATTTTCAAAATCTGTACGAACAAAGGTTGTCATATCGTCCCAGCTGTTGTTTAACGACCATGTGTAGTGATTACAGATCCAGACCAGGTCCCCAGTATTACTTTTAACCTGAACTGCATCCGGAGGAACTTGGATAAGCCACTGAACAGCAATCACAACTTGTACGCCAACAACGAAGAGGAACATCAAAAATTGGTAGATTCCACGGAGATAGTTCGGAGAGTCGACATCACCAGGAAGTAGAGTATCTGCTGACGTTTTTGAAGTAAGCAACACCATGAGTTTCACTAATAAAATGGCAAAGCACATGGCATAAGAAACCCCAACACCAAATCGTGTAATGCCACAAGTAGCCTTTGTTGGTGTAAAAAGGTAAGCAAATAGGGTCAAATACGAACAGAAAAGTCCAAACAAGAGGAGCTGCCCTAGCCACATGGTACGCCATTGTTTTCCAATCTTTGTTCCCATCAATTTATATAGGATGTAGATTTCAAACACTAACACGCAAACAAGACCAAGTCCAGCACAGACGCCAAGAGCAATTATCCAATCATATCCATTTTCAAATCGTGTACTACTATCCTTACTCATGCGTTCCTGATCTCTCCAAACCCCAGTAAATTCTTGATCATCTTCAAAATATTTATTTATCATTTGGCTTAGAAGTTCCTCTGTTGAAAGTGGTGGCAAGGTCCTGACAACAGGTACAGTCGTGGTCGTTTCCGGTACTTCAGTTGTTGTTTGTTTGTCCCCACACTGAAGGCATGGATTGTTTGGGCAAGATGATGAGAATGTAACCATGGCTGGCCTGTTGCCGGCATTAAAACCATAGTTTTCTGACACTGAATCCCTGTACTCAAGAACCTGAAATGATGAAACAAAATATACCTCACTAATATTGTACTACAAACACATAACACACTGCAATTTTCATCAAATTTATTAGCCCTATTAGCCCTATTAGCAAGCTAGCTACATGCATATATCTTAAACAAGTTGTCTTTCTTACTATTCAACATTTTTAGAGAAAATTTCACAATATATAATTGTGGTCAGCTCTTACACAATCAGAACATCTCAATAATTATTCATAATTATTCATAGTCCTTATTCATAGATAGATAAATAGGGCTGAAAAGTTGTGATTTTTATGTTCAGAGAAGAATAATTATGCACATGTGTTAGAAAACCTTTTAAATTGCGGTGCTATTTATAGAATAAAAATGTCATGACAAAACCAACATAGTGAGTTTGCAACCAGCATGGATCAAGACTGCGCATCCATGCAGTCTGGTCAGGATCAATGCTGTTCCCTATCAGTTCCTCTACTTGTAATAGAGTAAGTAAGTGAACAGCATGGATCCTGATCAGACTGCACGGATGCCCAGGCTGGTCTGGATCCATGCTGGTTGCAAACCCATTATGTTGGTTTTTGTCGTGACACGGCATGATATTCAAACACTGAAGCAATCAATTCTATGAAGATTTTTTTTTTTTGCATAATTCTTGTATAGAGAAATCTGTCAAATCTGTGATAAATTTATGTTGCATGACTCTTGCATCTACTGAACAAGCAAAATGGGCGGGAAGATGAATTCAACATACGTCGTAATAAGCTCCACTTTTTACTTGGTGTACCATGAAATTTCCATACACAGATGACGCATCTCCGTTGACACTAAAGAATCGTTGGCCATTACTATTGGTAGAATTCTTTATGTCTGGTAAAAAACAAATTTAAGCATGTAAGTCGCTATTATACCGCAAGTAGCATATAAATTGCCATTTGATCTATATTCATTTAATATTATCTGTCACATTAATATTAAAGATATTTAACTTGGTCAAAATTTAATTGATGATTTTGAAAATATTTAACTATTTAAGCAATGTAATTACCAAATAAAATGCAAAGTTCTACAATTTAGTTTATTTTATAAGCACAGAACTGTTTGAAATACTTCATACTAGTTTTTCCTATTTACTTCAAAAAAATATTGAAAATTTCTGATAAATGACACTGATTATACTCACAGTTAAAGAGATCAGTGCCTCGGCTCCTGTCTGGATTTAGAAGATTCGAGCAGACGTGGATGTCGCCGCATTTAGCCTGGGCCGCAGACTTCACTCCCCGAATAATGGCATCCACTGCCATCAACGTAAATGGAACATATGGGTCGTCCCTACCAATCTTGTCTTCAAGTCTCTGATTGGGTAAATCACATGTGCCTGCTTCAAAACTACAGCCAAATGCCGTCTGCCAGTATTGGGTAAACCATGGGTTGTACATGTTAACAGTGGGGTCATCAAGGTTTTTGCCATTGTCGGGTTCCATCAAGAACATGTTATTGTAGAAAGCTGTTACGTCACCGTTATTCATGTAACTGTCTATAAGAAACAGCAAAGAAAAATTGCTAAGAATACAAATTTAAACAACTTTTTGTTTTGTTTTTATTAATGTTATATTGTTCATGTGGTACAATGTATGTACAGACAAATCACTTCATATCATTTATACTGTGAAGGTGTTAACAAATTTACTATTTTGTTTAGTTTGTTATAAGAGTCTTTCTTTATCTCCCCTTTGTGAGAGATAGCAAGTATCAACCCTTAGAATCTCACTATATGTTACAAGTTATCATATGTTCTCACAACAAAATCAAAAACCTTATTAAAGCAGCAAGATTTCATCTCTGAGCAATTTCAATACAGTTTAAACCAAAAACAGCAAAATTTGCAGCCAAAAGACAGTAAATACACATGTACATGAATGATTCTTCAAACAAAAAGTTAATGTCCCTGTCCAGACTTAGAAACTGAACTTTACTATTGAAAAGTGTATGTCACTTTTTTGAAATTACAAGACTTATTCAAAGAAGGAAAAACATATACATTTTACAAACTTTCTCAAAAAGTGCTAAATTTGATTGGAGCGAGATAAAAACCCAACTTACTAGTATCAAAAGAAAAGGTGATGGCATTTTCTGCTGAATCAAGACCACGGATCACATCAAGATCAGTACCCCATGATGATGTTCCGACAAATATAAATCTGCAAGAGAACAAAAAAGTTATTGCGTTGGCCAATAGGAATACTAATAACAGTTGGTAGAGTGTTCAGTAATTGTGTTGGCCAATAGAAATATAATAATTAACAGTTGAGTAAGTGTTCAAGTATTGTGTTGGCCAACATATGAGTCATGATGCAGCTATTTTTGGACATTTCTAAATCTAAGTCTCTTTAATTTTATTCTTTTAGCATTAATGGGCTCATGTGAGGTACTATTTACTTACTGGTTCTTTAGTTCAGTTTCTGTCTCCACCGTTTCCAGGACAAATCGTGCAGCGGTGTTGGTACCCAGTATTAGTACAAACTTGGTGTCTTTTGGCCCAGATAGCATTGTTTTAATGTACTCGGCACCACGTGCGTTCATCGTGAACTGAGATTGGGCAGTAATACAGACATCTTCATCTTCTTCATCCTCAATCGCCTTTTTGAAAGCCAGCAGAAGTCCCTCTCCATAGGCATTATCTTCGTATAAAACCTGAACAAACCGGATTGACTTGTACTGCATAAGTTTGGCCATAATGACAGCCTGCAGAGCATCAGACGGTACTGTACGAAGGAAATATTCATACATATCATTGCTCAGGGCTGGTGATGTTGAGGTACTCGAGACTTGAGTAACTTCCATGTCATTGAGAAGTTTCGCAGTAGCCATAGACTGGGCGCTAGTTGATGCACCAACAACGGCAACAGTATTCCGTGGACTCACATTAGTATACTGCGTTCTACACGTTAAGAAACTGTACACGTCTTCAATTGATTTCTCGACTCTACCGCAACTGTCCATAACGAAACCACCGACACTCACTGGATCTACATTATTTGTTAGACCAGCACGTTCTGAGTATGTTTTGATAGCCCAAAAGAAAGCTTCGGAATTTACGAGCCCTCGTTGACTTATCTCTCCGCAGGTATACGCATCATCACCTTCCTCATGAACATTAAACATTGCGCCTATATAATAATGATTGGTTGCCTGGGTGTTTCCGGTCTTAAGCAGAGCCACGTCAGTGGAGATGCAGCCATCAGCAGGACATTCTATTTGGGCCTGAGATAGCCCGATGAGGGCAAAGGCCAAGATAAACTTCGTAAATGCCATCTGAAATTTAAATTGAAAGAAATGCATATATCACATGAGCCGCGTCATGACAAAACCAACGTAATGCGTTTGTGATCAGCATGGACCAGACCAGCCAGCGCATCTGCGCAGTCTGATCAGGATCCATGCTGTTCGCTATCAGTTTCTCTACTTGTAATAGGGTTGTAAGCGAACAGCATGGATCCTGATCAGACTGCGCGGATGCGCAGGCTGGTCTGGATCCATGCTTAAGTCGCAAATGCATTACGTTGGTTTTGTCGTGACGTGGTTATTATATTGAATACATGTATATATTTCTATTAGGTAGACTTTAATAACTACTTTTATTACTTTGAGTTATTAAATAATGGATCAGACTGCTAATATGCTCTTTAAAACCAATGAAACATTTCTATAAATTGCAACCAACTTCATTTATAAAGGTCAAAGCCAAGTTCAACAATATTTAGTTTTTTATAGTGACATTAACAATGATTGTAATGATAACCATGACTGTTCTCAAATATCATTATCCTCATTGATATCATCATCATTATCATCATCATTATCATCATTAATATCATCCTCATTATCATTAATATTATCATCATCAATATCATCATTATTTTTAGTCATTATCATCACCGTCATCATCATCATCATTACTATTATCATCACCATCATTATTATTATCATCATCAACATCATTATCATCATCATAGTTGTCATCATCAATATCATCAGCATCATTATCAGCACACAATATCTAACTAATCTAAGACTGACTGTGAAACCAATTCTTAAAACTTATCATAATCTTTTTAAAGTCAGAAATGACCACTTCTTTAGTGTCATATTTGGAAACAGTCATAATAAATTTGGAAACAGTCATAATTTTAAGGAGTAATGAAAAGCAGGTGCTTTAAGGTAACTAGGCCACCACTCCTTTTGTTATCATTATCATTATTATCATTTTATTGAAATCTGTAAAATCCTATGGGATGACGGAAATTAAAAACATGTGGTTAGATAACTACAGTCTGTAGCTTCAGTTTCTCTGGGCCTTTAAGTCTTGTATAGTTTCTTTTAACTTGTTCTTATCTATTAAACTATTTTGTTTTAACAGCTAAACCTAGACAAATTTAAGTGCCTGGTTAGTAAAAAAGTGCAATGATTTTTAAAGCAGTATTTAGTACATTTAAGACATATTATGATACGCACAACTTTTGGTCCAAATTTTATTTTAAAAAGCTTTTATCAATATGGATTTTATTGTAGTTTCTATACATATTAAGGCAATATCTATTTATTGGTATATTAAATGGGATAAGTAAAATGACTTCTATTTTATACAAATGAAATCTATGAAAGAGAGAAACGGTGCCAACTTTTACACTACACTTAAATTGGAGAAACTTAATAGGTATGGCAAATAACAAAAATTCACATAACTATTGGAAGGCAATATGTGAAATAATATACATATGAACTTTAATTGGCACATTATGATTATAGATCTAGATTTCTGCCATATCTCTGACAAAAACATTACTGACAAAAAAACAACAACAATACTATTATGATGTTGTGGAAAAGCCTGAAATATCAAAATATTAAATTATAATATTGATTTAATTAATTCATATAAATTTACATACAATTCACCAAATTGGATAAATATTGGTCTTGATATGTAGATCTGTCTTTCAGTAGAAAAAACGAAGTACACATAGGAAAAGTAATCAATAAAAAATTAATTTTCTTTGCCTAAAAGTTTTCAGGAAAAACTATTTTGTAACTGCATCAGACTTAGGTTTTCTATATTAAATAGTTATATATATTTTTTGAGTATATATAGGGAATCGAAACGGGGTGGGGTAAACAAAATCATCGTCTCCATACTTTCAAATTATTAAAGTGCATAAATTTAATAAATCACATTTGTTAATTTATCTACAATTACTTTTCCTTAACTTGTCATCATTATTATTAAAATACACAAGTTATTCTAAATGGCAGCATTTTCTGCAGACAAAAACAAAACACGCCTGTCTCTTGGATATTTTAATTGATTTTCACATAAATAAAGTAAAATTAATTACTTACCTTGCTATGCCGGTTTCTTTCAAATGCTGTCTTATTCCGGACCCCTTAGTAAGTCCTTTTTTGAGACAGCTTTCACGTTTCAACTGGAAAAAGGGGTTAAACCCAGCCCAGTATACAAATTGTCGAAAATACCTGTACAACACGGGAGCGCTACAAATAGATACACAGTGTATTCCGACACGCTTGGTGTAGCATTCTTTTTTGAAGCTAGCAAAACTGGTAAAACGAGTTTCTAAATATAGAGTATTCTATTTTTATCACACCTGTGTTCAATCACCTGTAACTTTAAATACACATTCGGGATGCTTCTGTTGTTATTAGGTATGCCTATGACCGAGATAACGTGATATTTACACTTGTTCGGGAATTTCCGAGGTCAATGATCATAATCGGAATTCTTCGCGCTTACCTTTCTGGTTGATTGCACCGCGAAATTGTACAAGTTATAAGTTAACGGAATGGGGTTGTCACTAACTTTCTAATCTTATTAAAATGTTTCACCGGTTTTGTGCCTCATATTCTAATGGTTATATATAAATTATACTTTAAACATTAAGCTTTATTGAGAAAAAATGTTAATTTCAACGAGATTATAAATTATTAAACTTTTTCACTTTCATTGATCAGTGCACACTCTGTGGTGGTTTATGGCCAATGATGTATCTGAGTTTGAGGCTTTGAGCATTAGAAAATCCAGCCTTATATCAGAAAACAAGCTAATTAAATGACTTACTTTTCCAAGGTTTTTGGAAAAATAATAAAAAGTCAAGTTACATAATTAGAATTTCTTGTAATGGAGAGAGGAGACTTTACTATTATCACATAGCTATATTTGAATATAAGTATCTGCTATTATGAACTGTTAATATATACCTAGAAGCTGGGGTTAATTATTGCAGGGTCTTTGAAATTCTACATTGTATTTGAAAGACCCTGATCGTAACAGCTTTGTCTAGAATCTATATTTCTACTGTAACATCTACATATCTATTACTGCATTGACTTTCGTGATATTGTCTTATTAGAAATGAAATGTGTTTTTAAAGTGACATGGAAGAACTTGTAATTAAATACGTATATAAACGGAACGGTTACCTATTAAAAAGTCGTCGCAGACGAGGCGAAGTATGTTCTACATATCCGTCACTTGAGATTTTTGATACGGACAATCTTATTTGTATGTAATACGGATTTTTGAATTCGATTTACACAAATATATTTTATCCGTTACTTGAAATATTTGATTTATGATCATGAATACAAATTAATGTTCTGTCAGTTAGATCTTCTTGCGGGTAATAATTTTATTTTCTGTCTGTGATACGTTTATGAAAATTCACACTCGACCTTATAGACTATAAGTACTATACGTTACATGCAATGTTTCATGAAGGTTTTCAAATGTTAGGGCCATCTATAACAAGCTACGTTAGATGAAGGGACAAAACTTTATTTTCTATATGTCATAGTTTGATTCACGATCTACAAAATTATGTTCTAATTGTTGTTTGCGATGTTTAAATAGGATTTACAAATTTATATCATGTTTGACTTGCGCTGTTTGATTCGCGATCTGCAACATTATTGTTCTATATGCGATCTTTGTTTCACGATCTACAAATTTTTGTTCCGCATGCGATGTTTGTTTCACGATCTACAAATTTATGTTCTGTATGCGAAGTTTGTTTCATGATCTACAAATTTATGTTCCGTATGCGATGTTTGTTTCACGATTTACAAATTTATGTTCTATATGTGATGTTTGTTTCATGATCTACAAATTTATGTTCTGTATGCGAAGTTTGTTTCACGATTTACAAATTTATGTACTGTATACGAAGTTTGTTTCACGATCAACAAATTTAATTTTCTATCTTTCGTGTTTGTTACTCGTGATGTCTGATGCACGATTTTTAGAAGTCCAGCCTATATGGAACGCAAGTTATTTCCAAAAGTTCGTGGTTATTTGAAAACGTTGAGAGAAAAGGGTATCTTATACAGCACACCATTTAAGCATTACGACAAGGTGTAGGAACAATACTATCAAACGTGGGGGATAACACCATTGGACATCCTATTCATTAAGAGAAATTGCAACAACAAAAAATTGATAAAAAGAGCGGTAAAACGCTGTGAGTTTATTCGGTTAAAATATCTTCAAACAATGCATGATACCAAAATTGCGCGCGTTTTTTGTGCATGTTAAATATTAACGTCTTCCTCGCAACCTATTAGTCATACAAGCGACATTGATTCGTGACATTAACCATGATTTCTCTTCTTAATATTATCCACCTAATTAAACTTGTCAAAGATAATCCTGATAATCTTTTAAACAGGCGATGTTTTATACCAATCTTTTGACATGAGATAACAAGTCTATTTTTTGAATGGACAATGTCTTTTACCAACGGTGTAACAGTAGGGAAAATTGTTTGTAAAATGGACCAAAGTGTTCGTGCTTTGTTTATTATGCCTAACACACTGAACTATCATGCCTTTGTCTTATTCGCAATGCTTCTCCTTAATCATATTATAGAGAATCCATGCTGATCAATTCTAGATTTATCCCATTTTATATTGGCACTTGTTCCAGAGGCCACAAATATGCAACGTACTTCCCATTAGCACTATATTACCATTAGCACTATATTACAGTATTTGTTATTCAGGTATTCATAGAGAAACAAGAGATGTGTTCATAGGTCACTGATACCCCACTTTATCTGCTGTGACATATTTGCATAATTATGCATATGTCATAATAATGTTATACACGTACATGTATTAATATATACATTTAATGGTATAATAACTGATAAGTTTCATCTTGTGCTTGTGCTTTAAACTATTGCTATAGATTAGACTATGTGCTAGAAAGTTTCATAAAGTTAGGCTTATTAATTAATCAGACAATGATTTTACACAGTGTCATTGTAACCTTGACATTTGACCTCAAAATGAATAGAAGACATTTACTGGCCACGGACAATGTCACTACTAAGACTTATTTCTTCTCAAAGTTATTTACAGGACAATGATGTTACAGTATTACTGTGACCATGACCCTTGACCTCAAGCTCTATAGTGGTCATCTTCTACTACTCATGACCAACTTGCGCATCGAATCTTTAAGACTTCTGGTCAAAAGCTCTTCTTGTTATTGCTCAGACAACTTTAACTTGTCAAGGCTACAATGACCTTGACCTTTAAACTGCCAACCTCTTAATCAAGAGTGTTCATCTACTGGTCATGGACAATGTCCATACCAAGTTAGGTGCATTATTACTACAAAGACAGGCGAGTTTAAAATGAAGTAGCATGCTGTCACAAATTTGAATCGGAGGGCACCACAACAAATTCTATGTGTTGTGGAGAAACAGCAGAAGAAAAATCTTGGTAACTCCCTGGTTTTAATAGAAAAGGGGTGAATATTATAGAATTAACACTACTGATGGAATACTTACACAGAACAAAAATATGGTTAAAGGAAGGGATGGAATAGTGGTTAAGGTATCTTGTCTCTCAATTCAAGGAACTGGGTTTCAGCCCTTCTTGAGCCATAACCATTTTACCTTAAATGGCACTAGTAATGGTTAGTTCCAGGCAGCATACTTGAAGGTTATTCAAATAATCTTTAAGAATCAATTATAACCAAGCTAAAATAAAATTGTTTAAACTAAAAATAGATGGGTTTAAATAAGTTTTCAACTGAAATACTAAATAATAACAAATATTCAACATAAGAAATATACTTTTATTGCATTTTTTCTTTTTAATATTATATATAAAAAATATCAAGCACTTTACAGGAAAATATGTTTGCATGTGTTTCTAAAATGTATCGATGTATGTACATAAACAATTATATATAACTAAACAAGGCATCTACATAATATTTATTCAGTTAGGTTTAGCTAGTCTGTATCAAATCAACAGTGAAAAAATATTATGTACAAAATGGTAAACAAATCATTTCATATCACAAACAAACTCTCTAACTAGTGTATAACAGCTTTGCTTCACTTTGGGACCAGTCCACAATACAACAACTCTTCCTATTGGCTAAATTCAAATTTTTTAAACTAAGAAACAGCCAATCACTTGTTGGAAAGAGAGACTGGTTTCTAAAATTACTTTCAAACTTTCAAACAATCAAATCTCAAAGGATACCAAAAGGGTACCAAAATTAAATTTCATTCAAAACCAGCATGAAAAGCAGTTTTTCAAAGCAGTTACTATATTCAAGAATTCAAGGATAACTTTAAATACAAATTCTCATAAAAATCACATTCTTCAAATACAAATTCAGAGATTTAACAATGTTTATAATTCAAAAACTATGACAAAGTTTAATATATCACCCCCATTTTTCTAATTTACACCTAGGATTAAGACTGCTACAATGTTCAGAATGGCAAATGACTGAACTTTAAATTCTCTACTGAATTCTACTTGAATTTAAAGACTTTAAAAGTGTATTTCACAAACAAAAATGAGACAAAACAAAGAAAGGAAACATAAAAAATGTCTGTAAAAGATTTTCATTGGGCAGCACATATAGCTGGGTTTTCATGGAGCAGTCTGCATTTCATTCGGTCACACAAATTTTATCATGCTAAATATGTTTTCAATTACATGTATTATGATTTCCATCAAAAGTTGATATATTAAATGAATCTTGAGAACTTAAAAAACTGACATGTAATTTGTATATTTATCCTAAAACAAACATTATTTAACAGTGTTCATTGGCTTTGTAGCCTTTAAGTAAAAGCCATGATGAAACAAAACTGACAAGACTTAGATCTACGCTTAAAATGTTTATAATAACATGAACAGTGTACATTGATGTACATGTATTTATGCAAGACTTTCCATAATTCTTATTCTTTAAAGATCTTTTACAAGACTTAACTACTAAAACACATGATTATATACTTATTTATAACAAAACCAATGACGCATCTATCCATATCTATATATCGTAACACCTGAGAAGAGCAGGTAAAACTTGAAGGTGAAGGTCATTGCTATGGTAACTGTTGATATGAGGATTAATCAGGTACTGATCTGTTGTTGTCATGGCAACATACAAATTGTTTTTAAACACATTTTACTCTGTCTCTCTGTACACATTTATAACTGAAAAAAAATGGAAACAATGTTTTATTTTTTTTACTGACATATATTACATATTACATGCTACTTTCTGAGTTTACAAAATGTATATACATATCTATATATCATTTCATTTTGCAAGCATGTTAAAACACATTTAATCATAATCTTTTAGAAACAAACAAATATTTTAAGAAAGGATAAAAAAAGCTGCAATTTTTCCTGTAATAATAATTTCTTCAAAGTTATATTTTAGCTACAGTTAAACCTGTGAACAAAAGGCCACCAAATGGAAGACCCAAAATGGCTTTTATAATATTAAATAGGAAAGTGGTCTTTATTTGGAGGTTAAAATCTGCTTCTTAATAAATGATGCCGTGACAAAAAGTGGCCATAACTGACAGAGTGATCTTTATTAAGAAGTGGTTTTTAAACAGATTTGACCATTTTCCAGCTTCAGTGACATAGTGAAGAAATCTAGGGGCATGATCATGCGCACAAGTAAGATGAGCAAACCCACAACATTCTGTAATCTGAATAGCTTAGTAACTTTCAAGAAATCCAAACGTGGTGGGAATTTTTGAAGCCACAGGAACCTGAAATCAGCTGCCTTAATCACCTCGCCACGGCAAAACCCAATATCATTTGAAGCATTTCTAAAGTCACTTTTGATGATTTACGTATTTATTTTGGATCAATATCATATGTATATATTTTTACTGTCTTATTTCAACATGACAAAATCAACATAAGTTATGGTGAAGGTCATTGCTATAGTAACTGTAATTAGGCATTGTCATGGCAACAAATTATAAACATGAACCATTTCAGAAATTGCCTTAATTCAACTTGCTTTAAATAGCTTAATACATTCCAAAAGCAAAAAAACTACAAAGTTCCCTCATGGGTTTCACACCAACATTGGAAATGTTATCCAATAAGCCATACAAATAGGCAAATATCTTCTATTTTAATGATACTATTCCAGATACTGCGTAAGTTATAAATACCTATACTCACCAATTAAATATGAAGACTAACTTTTAGGGTCATACATAAATACATCATCATTCATAGTGCTCCCTCTAATAGAGTCACCATCCTGCATGTGAGGCATATTATCATATTGTCTACCGTACATGGAATTGTAGTCTGAAATAACAAATAACATTTGTCATCCATTAATGTGAAGAGTATAAAATATAATTTCAGATCATGTACAATGTATTTATAAAACAAGAGCTTCAAGTGTACTCGTATCAGTCACCTGAGTAAATAGAAAATAGTATGTGAATATCTGTTTGGGCTCTTGTTTGTTTGATTGGGTTTTACGTCTCACCGAAACAGAATAGGTCATATGGCGACGCTCCAGCTTTAATGGTGGAAAAACATCTCAGGTGCCCTTCTGTGCATTATTTCAGGCAAAAACGTGCAACTGAGTAGAACCACGTTCAGTAAGCTAACTGGATAGCTTCCTCACATGAAATAATCCAAAGTCCCTGTCAAGATTCGAACCCACAGCAGTAAGGGGCAAGTGGTTTGAAGTCAACAACCTTAACCACTCGGCCACGGATGCCTGTTGAGGCTCAAGTCTGCAAATATTTCTATATTGTAACCCTTTCTTAAAAAGAGCCAAATTGTGTATATTGACATAGGTTTGCCTGTATTTTCATTAAAACAAAACATCCGCTATTTATCAACTTAATATGTTACCTTTTTGGCTTGAGAGAGCTAGCTGAGACTTTCTCTCCTCTTCTTCAAGGCTAGCCTGATATTTATTCAGTAGGTATAACTTTCTTAGTGGCCCACACATCAACATTACTGTGGCATTGTACAGCAGACCAATGGCAGCTGCAGCATCTCGCATCTTGTACTCCCCTAATGCCGCTACCAGGCACCATACCATCCATGCTGGTATAGTCAACACAACACATCCCACAATCCACCTGTGCAGGATTAGATGATGATGTCATTTTCATTGTGATGTCATGCATGATACCAAGAAAATATAGTTATGAACAAAATGTACATTATGACTCAGCGATTTCAAAAGTTTTTGTCAGTGTTTTGGAACATGGTCAATATAATTAGGATTATAAATTTTTGTTCAAAATTTGGGGGAAAAAGTAATATGTAAGAGTCTCACTCTCTAAAATTTAAGTAATTTTGAAAGCACATTATTCTTTTTCTGTTAACCATCACATTATTTCCATATAGATTCAAGTTATTAATTTAGTTTAGTACAAAATGGTGACAATAAATTAAGCTTTGAAAACTCTGTTATCAATGCTAACTCTAATAAAGATATTGATACAAGGTATCAGATTTGATTAGAAATAACAACCTCAGGGGCCACTTTCTGTATTATTTCAGAATACAAGGTACCAGTTTCCACGATGTAGAATGAAAATTGGACGATAAATCTCACTTACCTACAATCCCAGTGGTTCTTGTCATTACCGAAGGCAGCTAGTCCTACCAGAACACTGACAAATATTAGGAACATGATGAACAAGTTCGATAATATCAGACCCTCATCATAAAAGTCGTCTGGAACACAACGTGGCCACAGCTTATTGTTGTAGATTACGCGTACCATATCTGGGTCCTCCAAAATCAACCACTCTGCATTAATCATCACTTGAACCAGAACAATAAGGCAAGCACTGAAGAAAAGTCCCCATGGGTTACCGATTTTGTTATATTTTACCATATAAATGTCCTCTTTGTCTTTTGTTCTCCAACAATCAACTAATTTTACAAATAATGCCGAGTATGCGATTGAGTAAACAAATCCTAGGGCAAATCGACGAAGTCCACAAATTTCTCGTGACGCGTGCAAAATAAAAGCAAACACCAGACAGTACATAAGAATTATGGCAAAGCACAGCATGTAACCAAGTACAGTTGTTCCACCGCGTACAGGATATACAATGAGGAGGTATACAAACATGCAAAGACCGGCAAACGCGCCAATCGCTGCTAGAGTGCAGACAATAATTGCCCAAATATCACGGAATCTATCGGTCATGCCAGGTGTGTCTTCGATCGTTACAAGTGCACCAGTTGTAGGATCCACGTATTGGCCCTCCTCTGTGATGACATAACCATCTTCCTGGCGGCTAAATGGGAACGGTGTCCCAGTATTGTCGAGACACTGGCATGTGCTACCTAGAGGACATCTGGACAAAGGTTGAGACCGGTAATTGACTATAGAACTATAGCTCTTATACAGACGTTTATCAAGACGTAGTTCACCAGCTGAGCTTCCAACCTAAAGAAAGTACAAAAGAACATAAATACCAATAGAACTACTTTCTGAAATATACAATCTCTACAGAACTACTTTCTGATGATAAAATACATATAAAACTACTTTCTGATAATACAATACATATAGAACTACTTTCGAATAATAAAATGAGCCGTGTCATGACAAAACCAACTAAGTGCGTTTGCGACCAGCATGGATCCAGACCAGCCTGCCCATTCGCGCAGTCGGATCAGGATCCATGCTGTTCGCTATCAGTTTCTTTATTTGTAATAGGGTTGGTAAGCGAATAGCATGGATCCTGATCAGACTACGCGGAGGAGCAGGCTGGTCTGGATCCATGCTGGTTGCAAACCCATTATGTTGGTTTTGTCATGACACGGCTCAAATATATATAGACCTACTTCCTGAATGTGCAATACCTCATGCAATCACTAATTCAATACCAATGCTTTATAATTCAATGGGTTTTAACCTTCACATTTAATAATATAGGGTTAACGCACGTTTTTCCGTGTTATAACGTCTGCAGAATCCCGAGGAACGGTTGGTGCCCGAGCCCGGTAGGGCGAGGGCTCCAACAGTTCCGAGGGACTCTGCAGACTTTATAACACGAAATAAACGTGCGTTGACGCTATTATAGCATAAAATTTTCAAACAGAGTCGCGATGTATAGTTTAAACAAAACACAATAACATTAAATTCTTGTGCTTGGACGGTATTTATCCAATTCTATGTTTTACGTATGCGTTTCATTTTTCCGGGGCCAACAATTTGGAAAATTCTCGGAACCAAACGAAATTTTGAATTTTAATTGATTTAACAAAGCTTGGCCTTTGGAGATTTATTATCTCAAGAAAAAAAACGTTACATTACTCTACCCTCTACCCAAGACAAAATATGACCCTCAGAAATTCTTAGAATGATTTCAAATTGACGGTAGAAAAAGATCAGTGACATCAGAGACAGAATCGGTTTTTCTTTTCAAGCAAACAAGTTTACAAAAAAATCAGGCACTAAGCGATATTCTCTCTAAGAAATATAAAGAGCATTTATCAACATAAACATAAATAAAAAACATTTTCTCATATTAATTTTGTGTTATCTAGTTTTGTAAGTTAATCGGAGTGTTAAACTGAATGACAGGTAGATTCTACTGTATTTGTTTACATTGACAACTGTCCGTTTCTTAGAAAGGGCGACAACCAAGATAAGCACCGATGTCTATACGCCGTTTTTCCGGCATAGTTACTTGAATATGCGACTGAGGCCCTCGAACCAATAAATTTCAAAATAACAAGAGCGCATGACTCTTTGGCAAACAGGCCAAATCGTCATTTTTTGTTTGTTTGTTTACTGGGCCCTGTATGTATTGCGCATAGGTGAAACCGGGCTATAACAAGAGCGCGTGACTATGTTAACACATGGTTTTTGGTCCCGTTATAACATGGGCAAAAGAGGGAAAAATAGCCGATTTTATGCTATAATTCTATTTAAAATTCTCAATAAACAAAGCTGTTACAAGATGTTAAATAGTAAATTGAAAAGCTATACAAAAAAAATATAGTAAAAATCCATGCTAGAGTTACAAGTTTTGGTGGCGCAATAGTTTCTACTGAAAGAATTTCGTTTCTGTAGGAATTTTTATATCTGTTGTTTAAAAGTTTGAAAAACACGAAAAATGTATATATACACAATTACTTTTGCATAATAACATAATAAAACCTGATTAAAGTACTAATAGTTCTAAGAAGAACTTTATTATGGATAAAAGTTTTATAGATCTACCTGAATATATTCAAATTGTCCAGAGGTTAAGTTTCTTCTGAAGTTGAAAATGTTGTAACCAATATCACCAAAGCCTTCGCTTGTGAACTTAAAATTAAACGATCGTTCACCAAGGTCCTCGGGCAGTACATCGTGCTGGGCATTCAAAATGCTATTGTAAATGAGCTGCCTTCTGTCTGGCTGCAGGGACAAACATGATGATATTGTGAGACCACTTTGTTTACAAGCTTCTACATCACTGAGACCATTTGCAATCTGGAACACAGAGATGATTGTTTGCAGAACGTATGGATCTTGTGGGATCATTTCGTCTGTGAATTTTTCGTCACCAGTACAGATCTTAGTGTAAGTCTTTTGAATCTGGCTGCTTAGTATTCGGCACTGGTGAACAGTCTGATAAATTTCTTCAAACCAATCATCTGGAATGCCTTTACGATCATTAAAATTAATACTTTTTACAAAGTTTCTGAAATCTTGGCTGTATTCGGAGCGGATCTGAATAGTAATTGCACCGGCAGCAGTTTCCTCGTAGCCTCGTACGAGATGCATATTATTTGCCCACGTATCACTGCCAATCCAGATAAATCTGTGATTAAGTCCCTTTTCTGTTGTAGCTTGGAGAAGCAGAGGTACTTGCTGAGAAGTGACGAAGGTGACTACAACCTTAGCTCCGATCAGTTGATTAAGCTTATCGATCACACTTTTAGCATCGTTGAGGTCAGCATCAAGGGGCATGGAAACTGTTCGCCCGAAGCAAAACGAGGGGTTTGTACGATCTGACTGTGATAGAAGAGTTTGGACAGCTGATCTGCCGTAGGAGTTTTCAGCATAGACAACAGTGACATAATCCCAGCCAAAAACCTTCAGGATTTCTGCAACAACCAGTGCTTGTACATTGTCTGGTGGTACTGTTCGTAAGAAATATGCATGTTCCAACTTGTCATTTAATTCGACAGATGTGGCACTCATACTAATGGAGGTAATTTTCAGTGGTGACAGCATGCTACTGGTTGCTATGGAATTGGCACTATTCCTGACCATGTAAGAAATAATAGATGCCGGTGGAACCACCTGTGTTGCCGAGTCATCCCCACATACAGGTTCTCCGCTCAACAAACTATAAGCATCCTGCCCGATACGGCTTGGCTGTGAGCATGTATCGAGGGCAACACCACCCAGTTTCAAACTTCCTGGGAATTTGGAATCAGTGTTGTTGTTAACAGATTCAAGAGCGTACAAGAAGGCGAATAGATTTTGCATGCTGCTACCAGTATCGATGGCACCGCAGCCCATGTCATTGTTAGGATCAGCTGCATGGATGTCCGAGATAAATACAACATTTAGATCTAGCGGTGATGGTTTGCTCATGTAGCGAGAGGGCTGGTACTCAGGAAATTCACACTGGCATGAACCTGGTCTATCACAACTGGAAAACCAGTCTGGATCATATCGTACGTCCATTTTTAAGTAATGACTGTCATTATAACTTCCAATCTGAAATAATTAAAAGTATCAAATTAAGGAATAATACACACTAAAAGTTTGGAAGTCGATAAAAATCATTTAAATTTTGCCTCTTGAATAATGATATAAAGTGAACTGCATTTGTTTCGAATTAAAGTTGAATGGTAAATGAGCCTAAAATAAATTTTCATTTATGCAGGTGATCATTATTTGCAGAGATAACTATTATGTATAAAGTGCAAAATTTCCAATCAAAAGCATATTTTTGGGGAAAAAGTAAACCCTTTTTTTTAAAGTATTCAACTTTTGACACATATTTATTAGCATGCAGTATATTTCTTCCTTTAACTAAGTAATGAAAGATTTATCATAATTGTTATCTGAAAGAAACAGTCCATTCACTTAAAATAATAAACATATATGCATACTATTTCTTTCAGAAGAAGTAACTGTAGCCAGTTTAAATTTAGTGTCTATAATATACTTACATCTTCCCAGTAGTAACCGTTGCTACCATAGTAAAGTGACATGCCATTGGCCTGTGGTTCGTACACATGGAAACCTCGGTCGCTTTCCCCATCTGCGGTGTAGTAGAATGGCTGGTCGGTCTGGTCTACAAATGTAGCTTTCTTTATGTTCTCAAGGAAGTATTCTCTTCGTTCACCATGGGTACGCAGAATATTGCAAACACCATAATATCGCTCACCTCCGCACCATTGGAAAAGTGTTCGGTCGATTCCTAAAGCTGTTGAGAACACTGCGTTTATTACATACAAAGCATAAGGATCTTGAATATAGTTTTCAGCTCTTGCATATCCGACCAAATACTCAGGACACACAGATGGGTATTTGGTTGTAGGTGGACCGACGGAACAATTATGAATATACTCATAGTATTCCTTAAACCATGGGTTTGACAAATAGTTTTCTGGCGTCTTCGATTCTAAATATAGATCAAGTTCAGGGAAATCTGCAGTTTCGACATCAAGGGTCAGGACTTGTCCACTCACAATTAACCTGTCCAAACCTTCAAGGTTTTTATAACCTGAAATGCCAAAGCCCCATTTATCTGTGGCAATAAACGAGTAATTTCCTATTATGTAATCAAACTTATCTGCTTCATTCAAGAATGTATATGGATCATCCATGATAACAACAACTACCCTGCCATCAGGCTTCTCTCTTAACTTTGAGGCAACCATTCTAGCCTCCGCTTCAGTCACCTTTCCACTCTGACCAATCACATATTCTGCAGAAACACAAATTCTATTTAACTTAGCCAGCCTCAGGAATTCTTGCCTTCCATATTCTCCAACTGAAGTGAATTCTGTAACTAACTGGATATTCGGGAATTCATACTTCTTTAGGATGGAGATGAGAGCTCTTGCCTGCTTATCATCAGCAGGAACCGTTCTGATGAAATATCGATATTTACGTTGATTACGCAGCTCCAGAGATGATGCGCCATAACTTATTTGTGGGATGCCAATTTCTGCTAACACATCTGCAACCCTTATTGAAGCCTCACTTGTCATTGGTCCAATATACAAGTCGATGAGAGATGGGTCGATCCTGTATTCTTTGGTTCGAATCTCGAAATTCCTAGCATGGTAATTTGCAACAAGATTTCCAGCTCTAACTGGACTAGAACAAGTGTCAAAGATCAATGAGCCCAGTTTAACACCTTGCAGTTTGCGGCTGAAAATTCCTTTCTTCTCATTAACATACTCCATAGCCCAGTTGAATGCCTCCATTAATTGGAAACCATGCATATCGTTAATTTCGCCACAGGTGTAGGGTGTTCCTCCCATTTTGTGTACATCAAACAATGCTGTAAAATTCAAATGAAAAAATGTTCGCATTTGTTTATGTTAAACCAAGAAAATTTTAACAGTCTAGATTTTAAAACTCTATTGTTTCACTTGTGACTTTTTATTCACGTTTTAGCCTTATGGATTTATCAAAATAATACAATTGTCTCCCTTGATATTATTGATTATTGCTATGATTATAATTCTCTCCCTTGTTATGATTATTGCTCCTATTTAACTCACTTCAGTTTTGGATCAGTACCTTTACGGTATATAAATTGGTGAGAGCAGATGAAATAACTGCCTTATTTAAAGTGCATTTCAGTGGGAGAAAAGGCAAGATTTGGGCTATAAATCATCCAAGCACCTTGTCCGGTATATACCGGAATACAAATTTAGTGTAATGCCCCAACACATTTTCAGTCTATGGTTATTATTAGAATGACATGATGCTAAACTTTACTAGAACTGTAATAGTTTGTTAAAAGCCATAAGGCTGAAACGTAAAAGAAACGAAATATCAAGTGACAGTTTTTTTTTTATAATTTATACAGTTAATATCAGTAATACATTACACAGTATTTTACTTTTAAATACATTTTTAAAACTTTTATGAAAATAAGCATGAATCTAGAGGTGTGCTGCTTTAAAATAACTACAAAAAAATTACATACCTGCAATGTGGAGATCACCAGCTACATACATAAACTCCTCCTCACCAGAACCATCTCTCTGACACTGCAGACATTCACCAATACATGTCGATGGAACATTTTTGTAAACAGCTTTGAGTGTCTCCTCAAGGGGAATTTCAAATTCTCCATCTTTGTTGTAAGAACCCTCCTGTAGACAAGTAAATAAAAATGTTTAAATATCTATTTTAACTATGTCAATGTAATCTATCTCAACTATGTCAATGTCATCTATTTTAACTATGTCAATGTAATCTATCTCAACTATGTCAATGTTATCTATTTTAACTATGTCAATGTAATCTATCTCAAATATGTCAATGTTATCTATTTTAACTTTGTCAATGTTATCTTTTTCAACTACGGGTATGTCAATGTTATCTTTTTTAACTTTATCAATGTTATCTATTTCAACTATGTCAATGTTATCTATCTCAACTATGTCAATGTTATCTATCTCAACTATGTCAATGTTATCTATTTTAACTATGTCAATGTAATCTATCTCAACTATGTCAATGTTATCTATTTTAACTATGTCAATGTTATCTATTTTAACTATGTCAATGTAATCTATCTCAACTATGTCAATGTTATCTATTTTAACTATGTCAATGTAATCTATCTCAACTATGTCAATGTTATCTATTTTAACTATGTCAATGTAATCTATCTCAACTATGTCAATGTTATCTATTTTAACTATGTCAATGTTATCTTTTTCAACTACGGGTATGTCAATGTTATCTTTTTTAACTTTATCAATGTTATCTATTTCAACTATGTCAATGTTATCTATCTCAACTATGTCAATGTTATCTATTTCAACTATGTCAATGTTATCTATCTCAACTATGTCAATGTTATCTATCTCAACTATGTCAATGTAACCTATCTCAACTATGTCAATGTAACCTATCTCAACTATGTCAATGTTATCTATTTCAACTATGTCAATGTTATCTATTTCAACTATGTCAATTTTATCTCTTTTAACTATGTCATTGTTATCTCTTTTAACTATGTCAATGTTATCTATCTCAACTATGTCAATCTAATCTCTTTTACTATGTCAATACTATCTCTTTACTATACAATGTTATCTCTTTAAAATATGTCAATGTTATCTATTTTAACTATGTCAATGTTATCTATCTCAACTATGTAAAGGTTACCTATCTCAACTATGTCAATGTTATCTATTTCAATTATGTCAATGTTATCTATCTCAACCCTGCAATGTTATCTATCTCAACTATGTCAATGTTATCTATCTCAACTATGTCAATGTTATCTATCTCAACTATGTCAATGTTATTTCTTTACTTTGTCAATGTTATCTCTTTTAACTATGTCAATGTTACCTATCTCAACTATCAATCTAACCTCTTTTTACTATGTCAATGTTATCTCTTAACTTTTCAGTGTTATCTCTTTTAACTATGTCAATGTTACCTTTCTCAACTATGTCAATGTTATCTATTTTAACTATGTCAATGTTATCTATTTTAACTATGTCAATGTTACCTTTCTCAACTATGTCAATGTTATCTATTTTAACTATGTCAATGTTATCTATTTTAACTATGTCAATGTTATCTATTTTAACTATCTCAATATTACAAATATGAAGTACTATAATAAAAGTATACCATACCAAATAAACTGTCCCGTCAACCAAGAATCTTGTAAACTGAAGTTTCCTGTCGGCCTCACGCTGTACAAATCGGAACGCCATGGCTGTAATATCTTGGAAACTCAGAGCATCCATATTGTTCATTATATGAGCGTAAGTGTCGTCATCGCTGATAAAAGCTGCACATACGCCATTGTAGTTCACGCCGCACTTCTGTTCTAACGTACGATGTATTCCTTCCGCCAATGCGTATACGGCATTCATTGTTGGAACAACACGAATATCTTGCTGGATCCGGTCAATGTCTGTTTGAAAGTAACATGATAATATCAATATTGTATTATAAAGGCAAAACTAAAATGTTTTAACTCTGTCTGGTAAAGTATTACATTATCCCTTAACCTGTAGGAAATGAAAGTAATTAGCTCTTGCTATCAGTCAAGAGTCAGGTAAACTAACATAAAAAAGATCATAATTCAGTAAATATCCATGCTAGAGTTATGGGTCTTTGGCAAGCGACATCCTATTTTGCTTTCAAATAAGTGTTTTAAGTTTAAACATGTTCCCTAGAGTAGTTTTGGATATACCATCTTGAATGCAAAAAAAAGTAGACAGTGACACCGTGGCCTTAGTGTGAACAATAGCTCTCCCTATTCTTTAAATAGTCAAACTTAAAATGTACAAAGCAACTTCTGCCTTCGAGGCCCTTTGTTTTTTTTTAGAGCAAAAGCCATTCTACAACAACAGCATGGGTTCTTTTTTCATCCAAATTATGATTTCACAATAAACTTAGAGCAACATCTCTCAGCAACAACACATATCTACATAGCCCTTAAAAAATTATTACTTTGTATATTTATCATTTCAAGTTTTGTGCCTTGATGAAAATCAAAGAAAGGACGTGGTCAGAACTAACAAAAGACTTAAGTACTGAATTTCTTTTTTAAATATTTGAGAAAGCTATCCTGGAGCTAGCTATCAAGTATGTCAGGTTTTAACTGGCATAAAATTATAATTATATTAAGTAAAAAAACTACATAATGATACATTTCACATACCTAATGCATCAAAGCTAGTATCTCTGCATGCTCTGTCATATTTATACGTTCCTGCCAGGTTACATTGCATGACCACCTCATAGTACTCACGGAACCACGGATTCGCATTTTCTAGTAGTCGGGTACTCTCACTTTCCAGATAGTACAAGAACTCCTCGATTACTACATTTCCGTCCATTCTGAAATTAATTGTAGCTGGTATAGGGGTAAATGAGCCCTGAATGGCATTTTTAGCTTGCGTGTCCCATGGTTGGTTGGCGATGAAAATCAGATTGGCAGCAGCTGATTTTGAATCTTTTAATTTTATCAAGTTTTCAATGTAACGATCAGGGCTTGCAAAAACTGCAACTACTTTTGTTGTTGACTGGAGAACATAGTCAAGAATTTGGTTTTCATCACCGTCTGTCTCAAACTCATATGAAGCCCCGATGCAAATGCCGAGGTCTTCAGCATACATGCGGAAATGCCTTACTGCATCACGGCTTCCTTCCTCTGGTGCATTTAGTGTTACGATATAACTGAAGCCAAGTTTATTGGACAGTTTGGCCATAGCTTCAGCAACACGGCCGTCTGATGGAATGGTACGGAAAAAGTTGATGAATTCGGACTTGTCATCAAGAACTGGTGAAGTAGCACCTGGGGTAACAGCAGGTACATTAAATCTTTCCAGAATTTTTGTAATACTGATTGTACTTTCACTTTCATATGATAACCACCCTGCTAAATCTTCAATATTAACATCAACATTTGCAAGATTTGAACCTGGAGTTGGGAAAGCACCAGAATACATTCCGGTTACAATAGCCGATGCTCTTATATGATCGGTGCAGCCGTCAAAACCCAGACCTCCAAGCCTGACATTATTCAACTTCACACCTGCCTGACCTAAATTTATTTGTTGTAAAGCAAAACGGAATGCCTCCGTGTACTGGAATCCATTGTCTTTTCTGAGATCAGCACAGCTGTATGGAGAATCGCCCTGGTAATGTACATCAAATATTCCTGGTATGATAATGTCACCGGGAATATACATGAACTTTTGGTTACCAAACAGGTACAAGCATTCCATACAGACGCCTGGACACTCAGATGACACCTGAGAAGTACTGCTGTCCCCAATTAATCTGAAGTTCTCTAAGTAAAGTACTCCCTCAGCTGGTTTATAATCGCCAACCTGAAAAATAAAATTCAACGAAAATTAATAATACCTAAAAATATCCGATGAAAATATATTAAAACATCAACTCTCAATAACATACAGAATAATTTATAAAATATAATTTGAACACACAAATTGTCATGTTTTAATGTAATTTTACCCTCATAATATTCTTATACTACAAACAGTATATATGGATATCTGGATAAAATACAATTTTATTAAATTTTGATTTAAATTTTTCAATTTAAATCAGCGCAATTACATGAAAATTGCAGACTCAGTTTAAATAAGCCTGTACATGAGGGATACTGAAAAAAGCAACATCCCTCATGCCCCTTGAGCACAAGAAATTTCATTCAGTCATCAACAGTATGTAAAGTCAATAGATTACATTGTTTTTCAATGGTATGTCACCCAATTCTGTTATGTCTAAGGGTATATATTTGTTGATAAAAAAAAACCTCCATTCATAATCATTTAAACTTGAAGCCTTCTGGAAGGAACAGAGTCTACCCATGTGACCAGTGCAGACCAAGATCAGCTGGCACAACCTTGCTGTCTGGTCTGCCGTCACATTAAAGTATAATTTACATATAAACTAGCATACAAGTGAGTTAAAAAGGAATTTCGTAAAGGTTGTACTGTCTGATCATGATCTGCATTGTTTATTATTCAATCAGAACTTAATAATGAATTTTCCCTATAAATGATGAATGGTTTTTACCAGACTGAAAGACGGACAAGTCCATTTGATATATTCACCAGGTTTAAAAAGCCCAGAATTGTGATCATTTTATTTTGATTAAGGATAAATTAGTCCCTCCATTGGAAAATCAGTCGTTTCATTTTCAGAAAATAAGGTGATAAGCTGCTTGATTTTCACAGACCTAAATTCTACTAGGTCAATGGACTGGCAAGCAATCCTAAAATCACATTTTGTAGATAAAATGTTCCAGAATATGTTCTGATAAAGGCTAAGAAAATTCATGCCTGGGTAATAACCAAACAAACCAAACAATCAAATATAATTCAAGTAACTGCCAGATGGGTAAAGATTTTTCAGATAAAGTTAATTTTGCTCATCACAATATAAAATGTATGTATGTGTCAACAACAAAAACTTAAAATATGATGAAAATTTACTATTTACACTTACATATGTAAATGTGTCCAGTTCTCCATTGTAGTTGAAGTATTTTGTTGGCAAGTTGCCATTGTTGTCAAAAAATCTATACGTATTTGCGTCTTCGGTGTATCTGGTTTTCCCACGAATATTTTGCAACAGAACCATTCCCTTATCTCTAGCATTGATAAAATCACCGCATAACCCATCATATCCTAAAATATGAAAATAAAATAATACATGTATGTTTATCTATATATATATTTTGTGAGCAGACATACTGACCCAATGATCCAGGTAACATTTTAAAATTTATTATGTATTACCAAATAAGCTAGCTTAAAATTGTTGTTTTGACATTCCAGCTTTACTGCTTGAGGGACTGACATCATGTTTAACTTGCTGACAGATACTAAAACTACCTATGCAACAGTGCAGACAGAGCTCAGCCAGCACGTCTTTGCCGTCTGATCATGGTCTGCACTGTTCCCCTATTCAGTCAGTACCGGTTCTTATTTTGAAATTTTCAATAACATTGATGATGGTTTTGTTATACAATGTTCTAAATGGATTTACTCATTCTGCAACAATCGATAATTTTTTTGTTTTTGTTTGGTTTTAAGTTGCCCCAACACTTTAAATGTCACATGCTGACATTCCAGCTTTACTGCTTGAGGGACTGACATCATGTGACTCTGTTCATTACTTCAGGTGCGAACAGGCACTCAAGTAGAACCCTGACATTATGTAACACGGATGAATTGAAGTTTCTTACCTGATTACCAGTACTTAACCGCTCATAATTTGAATTGTCTCAATATCATAACAAAGACAGTAGTTATATAAATAAAATTCCACTTAAATTGAAAAAAAAAAAGTTTCAAAAAAATTCAAAGATAAGAAATTTTACATACCTGTCCCACAATATTCCTTTAATGTTTCGTCAAGACCCTGTGCTGCTGCAAAAACACCATAAATTGTTGCTATCACATCAGAGTTCAGTTCGAAATCTTCGAACAATTTCTGATTTCCACATGCTACTTCAGAGCCCGTAGGATTAAACTTACAGCTGTAGAAGTTCTCAAACCATTCTTGCATCCATGGATTGGTCATGTACGTCTTAACATCTATATTCTTCAAATGTTGACGGAACCCTTCCAAAGTTGGCAATCCGCCAACAGAAGTGGCAGGCCACCATAGCTCAAAACTGATCATACCGTTGATGTAATCCTCATACCCTGCCACACTTTGTTTATTATCGCCTATGGCAGATATAAGTTGGAATTCATCAATAACATTGAGTTCCTTCATGCCCTCCATAAAATTGCGAAAGCCATATGAAAGCAGCATTAAAACAACAGGCTGTACGTCTGGTCGTGCACGCAATTTTTCAACAACTTCAGCGCCACCACCCATATCAGGAATTTCGTATGAGGCTACAATGCAGATACCCTCTTCTGCGGCAACTCGCTTTAAAACATCATTTGCCTCAATACCCCACATTCCAGTGTGGTGAACACTCTGTAAATATTTCCAGCCATTTCTCTTCGCCACATTCACGATAGACATAGCCTGATTTCGAAGGCCATACTGCGCTCGCAGGAAATATGGATACTTGTACATATCGGATCCATCTAGAGCCTCAGTGTATGTTTCTACTCCGATTACTGGACGTTTCATTGTATCCATCAAATTGGACATAGAAATTGCCATCCAAGGGTCAAGACCTCGCGCCATGAACACCTCTACAGTACGAGGGTCAAGCATGTTATCGCCATTCATATCTGTGATCTGGCGGCCATACCTCTGAACTTCAGTGATTAAATGATTGCTTAAAACTGGGTCCATACAGTCGTCAAATCCAAGTGCGCCAAGTGTTACTCCCTTCAATCGGCCAGTGCTGTAAAAATTTAAACAAAAGTTAAACGCACTTGCGTAATATAACATCCCAAATAATGTAATCTTATTGTTTGTTTGTTTGTTTCATTTTTCGCCTTTATCCAACGGTATTTCAGTCATATAGGTGGGTAGTTTCCTAACCATCGTTCCTGGAGAGTTACACCAGTACTAGACTACCTTCCTCTGCGCTAAACTACCAAAGCATCTCCCAGGGATCGAACCCACGCCAAAGAGGTAACTGGATTAGAAGTCATCGACTCTAACCATCTTAAGGTACTTCCATAATCTATTTAAGAAAGTACTATTTACTCTTTCAGGTGCTTTTAAAGGCATTACTATGACAAACTAGCTAATAAACTACATATAAAACAAGAGCTGTCCGTAAGACAGCGCGCTCGACTTTTTTATTGCTTGCCAATAAAAAAAGTTTTTGCAGTAAAAGGCAATACAAGAATCTCTGTATTTTTAAAGTGAACAATGGCCATGAGCATTAAGATATTTAGTGAAGAATTATTTTACTGAATTGTGTGATACCCTTGAACACTGCAGCAAAGTTTGAAATGTTTAAGTCAAAAGAGGGCTGGTAAGAAAGAAAAAAAAACTTTTTTAGTGCTTGCCTATAATACAAAACATTGACAGTTAAGGGCCATAATTCAAATAAAATCTTTGACAGAATTACCTTCTCCTGGACATGTTTGGGAATCATGATTGTAAACAAGTATTCCAACTTTCAAATTAATATCTCAAACAGTTCAGTCAAAAAGTGGACTGGTACTAAAAACTTAACCAAGATTCTAAGTCGATAAAAGGCCTTAATTTTTAAAACAAATCCTTGACAGAGTTACCTTCTCTTGCGTACAGATGGGGGTAATGATGTGAAATAGCATTAAAAGTTTCAAAGCAATATCTCAAAGGGTTAAGGCAATAAGTGGATTTTACCCATATTCAATGTATTTTCTAAGTCAAAAAGGGGCATAATTCTGTCAAAAACCTTGACAGAGTTATGTCCTCTTGTCTGTTGATGAAGGTCGTGATGGTAAACAAGTATGGTCAGTTTCAAAGCAATACCTCCAATGGTTTTGAAATAGAGTGAGGTGGTACAAAAAACTTAACCAAGCTCAATACACTTTCTAAGTCAAAAAAGGGCCATAATTCTGTCAAAAACCTTGACAGAGTTATGTACTCTTGTCTGTAGATGGAGGTTATGATGGTGAACAAGTATGGTAAGTTTCAAAGCCATACTTGTAATACTTCTGAAATAAAGTGGGGTGGTACGAAAAACTTAACCAAGGTGTGACGCCAACGCTAACGCCGACGCCGACGCCGGGGCGAGTAGGATAGCTCCCCTTTTCATAGAAAAGTCGAGCTAAAAATTGCTTCTTGCAGTGTTTTTATCACACAATACTTCATAGTTAAGGTATAAATATCTCAACAATTATATATCTTAAACCAATTAGATTTGTGAAATCAATGTCTCCTTAATCACATTTAGTATACATGCTTTTTGACTTCAGTTTGAAGTTTGAAAAAAAAACCTTTAGCAAAATTAAACCATTCTCGAGTCCGCTTTCTGGAACTGACAAAGTACTGGTTTAAAATGAGAAAATAACCCGCAATCTCGGGTTGATAGACAGACACATTGACCACTGCTACCTTATTCCTTCAAATACATTTTTTGAAGAAAACTATTTAGATTTTTCCTTTAAACTTGTGTTGTAGAATATACATGAACTGCATTGTTTTACACTGTGCTAGACAGCAGGAAGTCACCGAGCCTGGATGCCTTCTGATGACCAAACAAAACATGAGGGCCATGATGGCCCTGGGGTCGCTCACCTGAACATAGGCCCCAAGGGCCGGGCCAGTTTAAACCAAAGGGCTTTTATTTTAACAAACTTGGAAGACACCCATTAAAAGATATTTCATGATGTTAAGTTTTTACTATAGACAAATAATGAATAACAATGACTTTTGCCCCCTCCCCCTCTCCCTGGCAGGGCCAATTTTGACCCAAGGGCTTTTATTTGAAAAAAACTTGGTAAACATCCATTAGAACATGTTTCATGCTAAATATCTTAGCTCTAGCTCTTTTGGTTCTTTAATAGAAGATTTTTAACTTTTTACTCTATGTATATAGGGAAAATCAATAACCCCTGGGACAGGGCCAATTTTGACCCCAGGGCTTTTATTTGAACAAATTTGGTAGACACCCATTAGAATATGTTTCATGCTAAATATCTTAGCTCTAGCTCTTTGGGTTCTTTAAAACAATTTTTTTTAAGTTTTTACTATATGCATATAGGGAAAATCAATGACCCCCTGGGGCGGGGCCAATTTTGACTCCAGGGCTTTTATTTGAACAAACTTGGTAGACACTGATAAGAAGATGTTTCATGCTTAATATCTTAGCTCTAGCTCTTTGGGTTCTTTAAGAGAAGATTTTTTTGAGTTTTTACTGTATGCACATAGGGAAAATCAATGACCCCCTGGGGCTGGGCCAATTTTGACCCCAGGGCTTTTATTTGAACAAACTTGGTAGACATCCATTAGAACATGTTTTACACCAAATATCTAAGCTCTAGCTCTATGGGTTTTTTAGAAGAAGACTTTTTTAAGTTTTTACTATATGCATGTAGGGAAAATCAATGACCCCCTGGGGCGGGGCCAATTTTGACTCCAGGGCTTTTATTTGAACAAACTTGGTAGACACTGATAAGAAGATGTTTCATGCTTAATATCTTAGCTCTAGCTCTTTGGGTTCTTTAAGAGAAGATTTTTTTGAGTTTTTACTTTATGCACATAGGGAAAATCAATGACTACCTGGGGCTGGGCCAATTTTGACCCCAGGGCTTTTATTTGAACAAACTTGGTAGACATCCATTAGAACATGTTTTACACCAAATATCTAAGCTCTAGCTCTTTGGGTTTCTTAGAAGAAGACTTTTTTTTAAGTTTTTACTATATGCATATAGGGAAAATCAATGACCCCCTGGGGCGGGGCCAATTTTGACCCCAGGGCTTTTATTTGAAATCTTGGTAGACACTTATTAGAAGATGTTTCATGCTTAATATCTTAGGTCTAGCTCTTTGGGTTCTTTAAAAGAAGATTTTTTTAAGCTTTTACTATATGCATATAGGAAAAATCAATGACCCCCTGGGGCGGGGCCAATTTTGACCCCAGGGCTTTTATTTGAGCAATCTTGGTAGACACTTATTAGAAGATGTTTCATGCTTAATATCTTAGGTCTAGCTCTTTTGGTTCTTTAAAAGAAGATTTTTTTAAGTTTTTACTATATGCATATAGGGAAAATCAATGACCCCCCTGGGGCGGGACCAATTTTGACCCCAGGGCTTTTATTTGAACAAACTTGGTAGACATCCATTAGAACATATTAAATGCCAAATATCTAAACTCTAGCTCTTTGGGTTTTTTAGAAGAAGATTTTTTTAAGTTTTTACTATATGCATATAAGGAAAATCAATGACCCCCTGGGGCGGGGCCAATTTTGACCGCAGGGCTTTTATTTGAACAATCTTGGTAGACACCGATTAGAAGATGTTTCATGCTAAATATCTTAGTTCTAGCTCTTTGGGTTCTTTAAAAGAAGATTTTTTAAAGTTTTTACTATATGCATATAGGGAAAATCAATGACCCCCTGGGGCGGGGCCAATTTTGACCCCAGGGATTTTATTTGAACAATCTTGGTAGACACTCACTAGAAGATGTTTCATGCCAAATATCTAAGCTCTAGCTCTTTAGGTTTTCTAGAAGAAGATGTTTAAAGTTTTTTCTTTTGGTTGCCATGGCAACCAGAGTTCTGCATGGAATGGAATTCTTTGAACAACTTTGTTAAGGCTTCACACAAGGAACATCCCTGTGAAGTTTCATTATTATCTGCCTTATGGTTTAAGAGGAGATGTCGTTTGAAAAGTGTGAACGGACAACGTATGACGGACGATGGACGACTGACGACGTACGACGGACGAAGAGTGATCCTAATAGCTCACCCTGAGCATATGCTCAGGTGAGCTAAAAATAACTGCTAAAAAATTTGTCTATAGGTCATTATAGGACAAGAATAACCCTAACATTCCATGTTTGTTTGGTGTACAGATGGACAACTGGACAGCATGTAAGGCAGGAGATGTCGTTTGAAAAGTGTGAACGGACAACGTATGACGGACAATGGACGACTGACGACGTACGACGGACGAAGAGTGATCCTAATAGCTCACCCTGAGCATATGCTCAGGTGAGCTAAAAATAACTGCTAAAAAATTTGTCTATAGGTCATTATAGGACAAGAATAACCCTAACATTCCATGTTTGTTTGGTGTACAGATGGACAACTGGACAGCATGTAAGGCAGAAAAAGGTTAAATAGAAATGGAATTCCTTAAGAACGCCAAAAGTGTTGCAGGCTCAGTTTGAATGAGCCCTTTTATGGACGGTACTGGACCACGGTACCCATCCTCCCAACCCCTTCATATGTCATAAAAACAATACCTTGGTGCAAGCTGATTGTTTACATAATTCACAGCAAAAATGAAGGCCTGCATTGCCTGTATCCCTTGTTGTGCAGAGTTATCAAATGCTCCACATGATAACGGTACAGACCCAGGCATATGAACACTGAATGCAGCATTGATTAGCACGTCACCTGAAACAAACCAAAATATATAACAATATAAATCAAGTGTATCCACAATAAAGTATGCTTGATTGTTTGAAATCAGAAATTTAAAATCATTTTTTCAGCAATTAGCCAATATGTATATAACATGTAAATGACAAATTCCAACAAGAGCATTGCGTTCATTGCTACGTAGAAGTTTTAAAACTACGATGACAAGCATGACGCAGTGATCATCAAAAATAGCTTCAATTTTTCTACATAACTTTTTTTAGCTTAAAAAAAATGCAAGAGAAAAATATTTTGACAATCATACCTGGCATGTAGACGTATTTTGAGTCAATCAGGGCTCCTAAACATGGATTACAAGGCTTGCTTGGGCACTGTGACTTCGGAATAAATGGAAGAACTGTATCACGTGGTTCATCATAGAATCTCAGACGAGATGTAATTACTTCAAGTAACTCATTAATGTAAGTGGCCACCTGTCAAAAATAAAATAAAAGTATTTATATATAGATTTAAAATTATAACTAACATAAAATATCAGTAATATTCTCTTTTAGTTTCTAGCAATTCTTCATAATGGAAAAGAATGAAATCACACTTGTTCTTTGTTTACATAAATCAAGGGATTAAATACAAATTACTTAGTAAAGAATTTGCGAAACAATTTCTATATATACTTTTTCTAATTATCATCTAAATTGAATTTGATTTCCGACAAATATATATTTTTCTCTATATAAATATAGATATACATATGTGAAACTTCTAACTAACTATTAAACAAACACTTCTGAATGAAAGTCAGTTGAAAACTTACACTTTGAAACTTGAATGCATCCCCATATGGATAGTCATTAAAGTTGAAAACTTCGAATGACGGATTGGTCAAATCGTTGCCTTCAAACTTAACCTGTGCCGCAGCATTATATGGGTCAAGACTGAATGAAGCTAAACTTTCAATACGTTCTGCCTTCCCATACATGAAATCAATATCTCTCATGTAGTTGTTATAGAAATCAGCTGTCGACAGTTGTCTCAACGCTGCGCACATTCCTCGCTGGCCGCCACACAACACGGCGTGGGCTTGTTTCAAGGCACGTGCATAAATATAGACACCATGTACAGCAGGCTCGACATACTGATCTTGAACGAATTCATTTCTCCTCTGGGTTTCTGTTTTGACCGGACAATCTGTCGTATACTCAGAATTTGTTACACCCGGCAGACGACAGTTATAGCTCTTCATATGCATGTCTTTATACCAGGGATTCTCATCGGACGGGTTGTTATTGTCAATTCTCACCCAATGGTCCTCAAATTCAATGATCTTACGTCCAGATGGTACCACAGAAATCAGTCCTAAATGTAAAATTGCAAAAATAATTCATACATTGCCATTTTCTCATATAAAATTCATCAAATTTGGTGCCAAGCAAATTGTTAAGACTTTCTCTTACTGCATACAAATGTAATAATGCTCTGACACTTCACATCATAACAAATCTAATATACAAATAATTGTGGTCTTCTAAAGAACCAATAAAATTTTACAGAACAATATTAAGTCAAAAATTACAGCAATTTATTCTCATGGAAGGCAAACAGTGGTTTGAATAAAAAAATAAATGCTCTTTCAAAATATTTCTTACTGGGGAAAATGACATGGCAGCATAATAGATCAAACAATAGAAACCTATTTCCAAATGTCTGGCTTTATACCTACTTAGATAACCAACATGTCAGTACCTCATCTACTTATAAACTTGATAAGTTACTATCAATATTATCTGCATCAGAATCTTATGGGTTAGGTAAGAAAGGTGTCCCAAGGTTAGATTAAATAGCTGAATAGAAAATATTAAAGATATCATAAAATATTAATACAGATATGTATGTTGTTCACTTTAATTAACTGATGCAATTGAAAAAGATAGATTGTCAAACCTCTTGGGTATTTCTGTCCGGGAAATGTTTCCGATAACGAAACGCTGTCAGTTACCACCCATTGGAGCAAACCAGCATTGTCCTTAACCTCTCCACGTCGCAAGAATGCCTCAATAATCATATTGTTTCCAAGGTAGATCACTCCAGTTGTATTTGTTGCCATGACGTTGTCTAATAATCCGTCAACAGTTGCGTCAGAGTCGTCATTAGGGTCAGCAGGGAAAGCAGCGGTCAGGCAGATTCCGGCTTCAGCCAGGTACGGGCGTATGGCTCTGTAGGCTTCCCTACCATAGCTGTTATCAGTATGAACAACGACCACGTACTCCCAGCCTAGCTGCTTTATAAACTCTACAATTGCCTGTTAACAGACAGAAAAAACAAAATCAATGGACATATTTTTATTGACTTGTAAAATAGTAAATATAAAATGAAAAAAGTTTATTGTGTAAACCTGCCATATCTTTACTACAAGAATATGCTTCAAACGCATCAAACTTTGAGGAGCATTACATCTTTAAATCTTTATTCCAAAATCCATTAAGGACCATTTGCAGTTACAATGACTTCAGGCCTAGAGAACCTAACTTGACTGGCTCTGATCTGATCAAATGAATGAATGAGCACTCAGGCTTCCAAATATACAAACTGACAGGCTTTTTATTTAATATAACAAGAAACAGTAAGAACAATTTTTTTATAATTTTGCTCTAACAATATATTGAACTGTTTTTTGCTATTTTTTAAAAAAAAACTTACTTTAGTCAATGGACCATCTGGTGGTATAGTACGCATAAAGTTTGGATATTTCTCTACATTGGATAGAGCAGGGGCTGATGAAGTATAAGAAACCAATGGAAGGTTTCGATTGTGGGCCATTTCATGCATAGCCATAGCATTTCCACTGGCCATTTGAACATACAAACCTGAAATATACAATAATCATCAATGTGCATTATCAAAATGAACACATCGCCTGTGTATTCAGTTAAATTGATTACAAAGCTAATATGCTACATCAAAATGAACACAGAGCATGTGTTTTCAATTAAATTGATAGCACAGCAAATGTGCTATATCAACATGAACACAGAGCATGACTGTGTTCATTTAAATTGATTACACAGCAAATATGCTATATTAAGATGATCACATAGCCTGTGTGTTCAATTAAATTGATTACACAGCAAATATTATATATCAAAATAAACACATAGCATGATTGTCAAATTAAAATAAACACATAACAAGATGTGCTGTGTTAAAATGTGCAAACTATGCACTACAAAACAAACGAACTCGCTCTATTAGAATAAACACACACCTTTTGTAAAATACTTAAGACAACTAGAAATGTGTCATCATGCCACGGATGCCCCCGCATGCAGCCAAAATTTCAGATGGTGCATTAATTATTTTTTTCATTTTAAGTTCAAAGCCCTTAAAACCTTTAATGTTAACACAAACCATTTTCATACAATGTTCAAGGCACTGAAATTATTCAGTCTTAACCTTTTAAAAATAGCATATTGCATATTTGTAGCCAAAATAATGGCTAAAAGTATGAGTGCTGAAACTGAAAGTTCAAAATTTTTCCAACATTCAGGAAAGATAAGTTTGTCTAAAATCATTGAACAACGACCAAATTCAAACTTAAACTGCTTATTCCTAAGATGTATCTATATTATTTTCAAAGTGAAATTAGGGACATAACTCTGCCAAAACATCATCAAACCATGACCAAATTCCATCTTGACCTGCCCATTCCTTTGACATATCTATATGTCAAATTTAAGTTGAATATGTAACACTGTTGGGTAGATAATGAACAGAAACTGTAAATTTCATATTATTTTCAAAGTGAAAGGGGCATAACTCTGCCAAAAATCATTGAACCATGACCAAATTCGAACTTGGCTTGGGCATTCCAAAAACATATCCATATGTCAAATTTGGGTTAAATGTGTTAAACCATTGGGGAGATAATAAACGGAAACTGAAAATTTCATATTACTTTCAAAGTGAAAGGGGCATAACTCTGCTAAAAATCATTGAACCATGACCAAATTTGAACTTCACCTGCGCATTCCTTTGACGCATCCATATGTCAAGTTTGAGTTGAATGTGTTGTACCTTTGGGGAGATAATGAACGGAAACTGAAAATTTCATATTGTTTTCAAAGTAAAAGGGGCATAACTCTGCCAAAAATCATTGAACCATGACCAGATTCAAACTTGACCTGTATTTTATTCATGACATATCCATATGTCAAGTTTGAGTTGAATGTGTTGTACCGTTGGGGAGATAATGAACGGAAACTGAAAATTTCATATTATTTTCAAAGTAAAAGGGGCATAACTCTGCCAAAAATCATCAAACCATGACCAAATTCGAACTTGACCTGTATTTTTTCATGACATATCCATATGTCAAGTTTGAGTAGAATGTGTTGTACCGTTGGGGAGATAATGAACGGAAACTGAAATTTCATATTATTTTCAAAGTAAAAGGGGCATAACTCTGTCAAAAATCATCGAACCATGACCAAATTCGAACTTGACCTGTATTTTCTCATGACATATCCATATGTCAAATTTGAGTTGAATGTGTGCAACCGTTCTTAAGATAATGAACGGAAACTGATGATGACGGAATGACAAAATGACGGAAGGACGGAAGGATGGAAGGACGGAATGACAGAACAGGGTAACACTATATGCCCCGGCCATTACATGGCGGGGGCATAAAAATCTATGCTATTAGAATGGACACATGGTCTATGCCCTACACTACAGACAAACTTATTTGCTCTAACTGTATGAAATTTTATACACAAAAAATACAATATTAAGAAGTAAGTGACTACGTGTGAATTTATGCATGCATAAAATAACAATAAATAAATTACCGAGCATTAGTTTGTCTGTATTTTTCTGGCATTCCGTCTCGGCAGCACCAAACTGCGGGAACAACATTTCTGCCTTACTGATAGCAGTTGTCACACTGCTACAATAATCATTTGCTATCATTCCTGTAAATAAAGAAAATAATTTAATATGGTAACAACACATGCTTTTTAAAAATATCACGTTTTTCTGTTGGGTTTCAAATCACCCTGACAAAATACCAGTCGCATAGCATCTGCCAAGTGCTCAAGTAAAACCACCAACTTTGGGTGTCCTCCTCAAATGAAAGAATTTAAAGTCTATTGTAACATTCAAACACAAAGAAAATGAAAGTTTCAGAGAAGCAGAAATATTCATTTTACTGTCTCGAAATTAAAGACTCTGATTTGTGCAAAACAAAAGCTGAGGTCCATGTTTACCTATTTTGACTCCTGGAATGTAATAGTCTGTTAAATCTTCGCCATTTAGAACTTCGTTTATCTTGTTTAAACGATCGAGGGCCCAGCGAATGGCTTCATACGACTGCATGGCTGTAATATAACAATATATAGATGTTTTATATCTTAATTCATTCAGTTATAGGTATACCTAACAAGTTTAGAATCTAGTTTTCTATATTATTCTATCATTTTATTCTTTTTAGCTGAAAAGATTCGATATCTAAAAAACTGAATCATAAAAAATAGTTGGAATCTATTAAGTCAAGAACAAGCAATACTCTTATTATAATTGGTTTTTAATTTATGCTTTTCACTTACAAAAATGCAACTCCCTCAATGATGTATTGAAATGTATCCTTTTTTTCTATTGAAGAATTCATATTAAAAAAAAACTAGTAAATATAACAGGCAAATTTGATGAACTTAAAGTCTCTGCATTTAAATGATAATGGAATTGGGTGGGGGGGAATAATTGTAAACATTTAGATTACATCAGCACCTATATTAAAAAGGAATATTATACATATATCTTTATCTTTTAAACAAAAAGGACACTAGAAATAATAAGATTACTATAAAGGCAGGACAATAAAAATGCACAAAAATAAATGGGTAATACTATTTCAAAAAGACTAAGGTTTTTAAAAAGATTTTAAGCAGAATTTTATTCCATATAAAATACTTTTAAAAGTCTACATACTTTGTGAATATCAAAAATGTGAAGATGTCATTCATGTATAAAAAATCAAAAGTTCTTGTAAAAAATATGTTAAGATCTCATTTATGAAGTGTAAAGATCTTATATCAAAAGTGTTAAGATCTTACATGATACAAAAAGTGTAAAGATCTCAAGACATATAAAAAGTGTAATAATCTCAAGACATATAAAAAGTGTAAAGACCTCATATAAAAAGTGTAAAGATCCTCATATCAAAAGTGTAAAGATCCTCATATAAAATGTGTAAAGATCCTCATATAAAAAGTGTAAAGATCCTCATATAAAAAGTGTAAAGATCCTCATACAAAAAGTGTAAAGATCCTCATATAAAAAGTGTAAAGATCCTCATATAAAAAAGTGTAAAGATCCTCATATAAAAAGTGTATATTATAGTTTTTATATCTTCATATATTGTGTATGGTACGTCTTTTATTAAAGTATCAAAATAATAAAGAAGTGCTATTATAGTAGACAAACACAAAGATTGATATCTGATAAAAATTGTCTTTTCTCTGACTTAATATAGTGGTGAAAATAAACAAAAGATATGAAAAGTCAATGATTAAAAAAAGTAAAGATAATATAACTCAAGTGACTACTGACTAAGTGACTGTCAATTCATGAGTGCTTTACCATGTGTGAATGAACACTATCTATCTCCATTAACAAATATGGTAGTTTCATTTTCCACTCATTTTAGAACATAAAATTCAATTCACAGTTTTAGCCCCACTTCCAGTAAAATTTCAAAACTTCCCATATAAAACAGTAAAATAAGGTGTGACTGTGTAACAAAATAGTCACAAGTAAATACTTAGTCTTCAACCATATTGTTAAGATTAACAAGAAAAACTCTCATTTCATAATTTTTCAGATTTTTGGCTGGAGTAATACAAGTATTTTTAAACATAAGCTGGCACTCTAGTAGAACCACTGATTGACATTCAATTTATAACCAGCTAAAACGACCACAGGCCTTCAATAAGTTACCTGGATAGCTTCCTCATAATTATTCATGACAGAACCTGACTTGCCAATTGGGATTCGAACCCTGGGACAGTGATGCAGGGTATGAGATTTGAAGACAGTGACCTTAGCCCCTTGGTCATGGAAATCCCTACTATTTGAATATGCTTTTAAATTCATTCATTACATGGAAATACAATATTCTTCATCAAATCTGATAATGATGTACACTGACATTATACTAAATGTGTTCAAAATCTGATTATATATGATAACACAAACAAAAACAACATTGTTCGCTAATTTTCTAAACTTTGAATGAACAATACTTTGAATAAAGTTCGGTAACAGCTCAAAAATACAGAAATTTTATTCTTGCAACACACACATACATGATCAATAACTTTTCATTGCTTTTTCATTTGTATTTGTATTATTCATTCAAAGCTTTTAACAAATCAGCCTTCCAAATCAGTCTGAAGAAAGCTTATCTGCCATTGGTCAGTTCCATCCATTTTTAAACCAATCAGAAAAGATCAACTTCAGACTGGTACTAGTTCATAACACAGTGGTATGCAAAAAGTCCCTATGAATATTGTTTCTAAATTGTCATCCCTTATAAAATTTTAACATGGGTCTATTACAATAAAAAAGATCTGAATCTTAAACATGGACTGTTTCAAATTCAAAGTTGAACTAGTCCTAAATATATAAAATCTTGTAATGTAAGTTTTATAAAGCCACCTTGTGCATACCAACTAACATAACTTTAAAAATATCTGGAAATAAGCAAACAACATGCAAACACTAAGCTATATACATGCAAAATAATTGTACTTGAAAATTTCACTTTTTCAAAAAAAAAACAACTTTGAACAAACAAGTATCTAATTTATCCCTTGCATTGCAAAAAGTGGAGTAGACATAGCTAAAATATTGTGACTGATAGCTTTTAAGAGTTACGCAAAATTATTTCCCCTTCTTTTATTAATGTTAAAATTAAACATGCATTTACATGTAGATAATATTCAATTATAATCAACTGACAAGGAGTTACTATGTTTTATTATTACAAAATACCATTTTTAAAAAGTGAAATTTCCATTTTCAGACATACATGTTTGCAAAACATTTAAAGCAAAAACATTGAAAGAAAATAAACAACAAATTCAAAAACAGTTTATACCCTCCTCAGAATCTGTAAAGGAAAATCAGTTAACACATACAATTACACATTGGTTTTACAAACAGAACATGCATGCATAAAGCCATACTACACATATGTCATTCCAGGCATCAATAGTACCCAATTCGCTGTACGCATATTTCAAATTTCAGAAAAACATGCAGCTGTTGTTAATTAATTAGAAGTTCATGCAACACTGTCGTTGGGCATTGATTAATACCAGTATACAGGCAGGCTGGTATGCTCTAGTGGGTACCTCGGTCCAAACTTGGTATACGTTCATGTTCAGGATCATAAAAAGGGTTAAGAGACCAGGCAACAAAAGAACTATGAATATGTTTTACATTTTTTTTGTTAACCATTTATCAAAGAATTTATCTATTACAAATACAGTAGAGACTTTCATATGTGACTTTCCAAGAGACTTATTTCGTCCAACAATCTAACTGGCATGAAAGTCCCTGGTGGGATTCAAACCCACAGCAGTGTAGGGAAAATGCTTTGAAAATAGTAACTGACCTGAACCACTCAACCACAGAAGCCGGTGGTATACTTGTTATAGGTCAATCAATAAATATGTCTCATTCTTATTATATATACAAACACAAACCACTCAGAGCTTTATCGATAATTAGAGCTTTGGAGATTTAAAACTTGTATTATCAAGATTAAATATGAATATCCACTTTTATAAGTGTCTGTTTTACTTATACAATCATGCAACATTTTCTTTTTATTCATGCTCATGCAACACAACACTAATTTCCATTCCTGTATACATAAATACAGCAGAATTTTAAAGCTTGGTGTTTATTTCACGCATTTAAGCCAATCAAATGAAAGCACAGTAATACTGCATTGCTTAACACAAATTGTGAAACTAAAAAGCACAGCTGGAAACACCTACATAAAATCTAACAGTAAGATGATGATGATTCTGTAAAAATTCTAAACTGGCATTCCACATGGGACAATTTAACAACCCTCTTGGACAATGATCTTGCTAGAAATGTTTTCTATACCGAGTAAGGAACAAAAGAGTTGGATTTTAGGGACCATTTTGTTGTGTACAATGCCAGTTTAGAACAAATCAAGACTGAAAATATTACATTCTGATAATGCTCTTGGGGGATTTCCCCGTTTCGTAAATTTCTAACTGTAATTTTTTATTCACCCCTATTATAATTTAAAATTTCTATTGCACTTTCAAAATGGAATATACCCTATATAGGAAATGGCACACAGGAGGTTTTTTTAACGATATTGACAATGAGCAAAAACTTCAATATACCTCCGGTGCGAATCTCTCCACAGCCTACACCATTATCGTTTGTCTCGTGGAAAGCAAAAAAGCCTGCAATAAATGCGTCTGCATCGGCTTGAATGACGGCCTCGTGTCCCGCGCTGTTACAGTTCTGACGCGTCATAGTCTGTCCATTTGTACCAACCAGCAGAACCGCTGCAAGTACTAGTGGAGTCAACATCTCTCCTAACTTTTATTGTGACAACCCTACAAAAAAAATAATATAAAAATACCTAAATAATGTTGACATTTTAATAATATGTTTAAAAAAGGAAAACAGAAAGGACTTCATCAACGAAACTTAACATGAAGTAAAATATTAGGTGAGGTAATATCACATCAAATTTTAACTTAACTTAAAAGAACTCAACTGGCGTCCATGGCATTTATAGATCAACTGTGGTGGCACTTTAAACAGAAACGTATGCAAAAGATGATAAGAAATTCACTCAGAATTAAATCTAAAATTAATTTTTTATGCGATTCTTAGTGATTCTTGAGTTAAGAGCATGTTAATTTTAACATAACAATTTTGGTTATTTTGCACAATTCTGGGAAAACAGAGCTAGTGAATTCTTCATGATCTAAAATTTTTCACATTAGTTATAGGTTATTTTCATGGTACATAAATCTCAATAATGTATATTTTCAGTCCTAGTATGTCCAAAATCCTCGTGGAGTCCCTTTAAAACAAAACCAATGGTACATGTATTTCTGTAAAATATGAGATATTCTAATAAAACTATGAAAAATTTAAAACATTTAAAATTTCAAGAAAATTTCAAGAAAGTTTGCAAGTATTACAATATAGGTATATCTGGGACTTACTAGACTCATTCAGTATGTGTCTATGGAATTGACACTGGGGTCCAGTGCAAAAAGAGATAACCAATTAACAGATTAACTGAGAATTTTCACTGTGAATTTGCAGTTTTGACATTCTAATGGTTCTGTACGTTTCCAGCTATTTTGAATATATCTATTAAATAATACAGAAAAAATGTATCATTAAAAGACATAGGATCTAATAGCAAAAACATGACAAAATATTATAAAATAATCTGTAAATGTAGCAGTACAGTACTTTCTACCCCACCTTATGAAAAATTTGTAAACACCAGCTAGCATGCCTTGATAAGTTTTACCGGTTAAATTAAATAATTACCTGTTAATTAATTAACTGTTCCACATAACAACGAAATAAAAAGGTTTTTACGTCTGCACACACACACCCTATTCCTTAAAACCGTCCGTCTGTTCGGCTTTTTTCTTCTGTCACTCCGAAAATTACACAGGCAGGGTGTTGTATGTCCAACAAGTTCTTCTATTTTTAGACGTACCTGTGTATTGTAAACGCCGCAGCTATTTTTAGACAGACTCAAAACCAGTATGACAAGTTGTTGCGCGCATGACTGGTCGCTGTAGTATATCGGTTTTACATATCGTTCGCGCATCACTAAATTTCCCGCGGGATGAAGGGGAATAATCGTGCGGGATAACTTGAAATTTAAAAGGAAACAAATTAACTGATAGCTTTTAATTGTTTATGTCAAGATTCTTTGAGTTTGTCCATGCGCTTCTGTGTATTTGGAGCTTTATATTACTCTAACCAATCTTATATGGTATGGGTCTATACTCAGTCAGATACTAAAATATACATGTATGTAGTATATGTATCTGATCTAGTAAAGATATCCCAATAAAATGAAAGATTTTCACTTTTTTGTTGTCACAGCTTCAGAAGAAGCGCTGAACATTTAGTCTTTGAAAGTCGTTCAGCACACCAATGGCTGTTAAATTGTGCCAGGAGGCATATTATATGCATACTTCACAATCCCCGAATTTCACTAAACCTCCAAATTAGTTTCGCCCAACTGACGCCCCCGCATTGTCATGTAGAACGGCACGTAAATGTCTCATTGAAAGTTTCATGAAGTAATAGTTATAGAATATATACGAGGACTTTACCGGCTGGTATCAGCGCATGGGGCGACAACAAGGGTCAATCATAGGAAATTAATCGAGACGGAACGTCGAGATTAATTTCCATGATTGACCCTTTTGTCGCCCCATGCGCTGATACCAGCCGGTGAAGTCCGAGTATTTATTCTGTAACTGTTTTATCGCATGACCATCACGACTTTTTTCTTCTCTCGTAATATTTGCTTTATTTAAGCATATAAATATTTTAAGAAATACCCACAGAAATACACCCACTAGATGCCGTTGAAGGAACTGGACATAAATAACCATTTCACGAGGTAAGTTGATGCAATTTTTTAAATGCGAAATAATAATCATCTTTCCAGCTCATTTTCAAAATATAATCAAGGAAAGATTGTCGATAAGTATCCCGGTGTATATTTCAGAGGTATGTACGCGTATTTTTTTAAAACTAACGACAATGTAGTGATTTTACTTCCATCTATTAATAATAACGCTAGAATATTATGTTCATATACCTGTAGTGATTTACTGAATGGCTTACTGGTCAGAATCTCCTGTAAAACGAAGACATTGTTTAAAGTAAAAAAAAAAGAATAATTTGACCATTGTGTCAGATTTGTCCTCGAGGTCAGGATGCAGAAAATGGCGATTACTTTCCACTGGAGTCACCATCTTTATAATAACTGCATTTTCAGATGTTGAAAAAAATCGAGATGATATATAAATACATGTATTTAAAAAAAGTCTGTAAACTGTGTAATGTTTTGTTTTGCTCTTTTCCAGGTATGCTCATTTTTATATTATTTGAAATAAAATAATAAACTGGGCATGCGCGAGAAAGTGTACTGATACCTTATTTAGAGCACCCCAAAGCGTACTGATACTTCATTTAGAGCACCCCAAAGTTTTCCAATACTGAAATTTAGAGAACGCCGATCTTCAAAGGAAAGTTGTGGCGGTCATGCGATAACACTTACGTAAGACCGCGTCAGCGGATGTTTATATAACTTAATAAGGGTCCATCCGCCCTTTGAGGCACTAAGAGTACGGAGCACTCGTGCACGTGCATTTATATATATATTTTATACTATAATGCCGAAATTGGCTTTAAAACCGGTGCTAGGGGCATATTTGCATGTCCATCAACCCGGGTGTGCAACATTTTCTTTTTAACTGAGCAGACGACTTCAAATGTTTCATCATTTATGTTATAATTTTATTATAGAATGTTACGTTCATTAAACAGATGGACTATAGCTATGGAGTTTACTTAGCATTTTATGCAGCAATATTACTATGTTAACTATTAATAAACGTATATCACTCAAACTGAAAACGGGTGGACATTGTTGAATATGCATTTTGTTATACAACATGTACTAGTATTTGGCTATAATGTTAGACATAATCCGGCTCTGTTTGACACTAAAGTAATACGATAAGCATGGCATAATTGTGGCAAAATCATGTCCGAGACAAAGTGAAAAAATCTTTTGATGTGAAGGTGATATCACAGAAAAATAAACTGAACCACAATTTCTGTGTCACCAACCTTTTCTTTAGTAAATTAATAGATTTAAGTGCTCATACCCCAATATGCAACCAGATTTTTCAAAGACATTTGACCAAACAGTCAGCAAAAGACTTTTAAGACGGTGCCTCTGAACTTGCAAATTACAGGCACAACAAAGGTCGCTGTCCTTGTAAATCATTAAGCTAGGATCAAGATGGACAAAGAAATGCTACATAAATATATAATTTCAAATCCTAGCAAAATTGGTCTAGAAGTTGCAGCAATGAATTGCACTGTTCAAACTATTGATACAGGGACAAAGATAATCAGCGTTGATTGTAAGTGAACAACGCCATCCATATTACAAAAAAACAAAACTGGAAAAATACACAAAAACTCTACGGATATTATATCTAATTCAATACTTGCAGTAATAAATGCATGCATCTAAAATTTGCTGACACAAGACCTAGCTGTTTGCAATTGACTTGCATTTTGCTGGCTACAGTTTTACTGTTATATTATCAAGGCCGTCGTCGATGGTCGGGCCGGTCCGGCCTTTTTGGCCAAAAATGAGTAAAAAAAAAAACCAAATAAGAACACGCATCGCTGATTAGAAATTTGACACTTAACTGGCCCCTTATGCAATGCGCGATAATATACAAACATGACGCGAAGAAACAACTGGACCAGGAATATGTAGGGGTCCTACGAAGTCAAGTTCGAGTACTTTTTCGGTGTAATGCTCGCACACGACATCCTAGCATTGACAGACAACCTCTGCAAATCTCAACAAGTTTCATTGTAAGCATCCGAGGGCCAGCGGCTAGCAAAGCGGACTCTAGATAGTTTGATAGACATGAGATCAGACTACATTTTTGGTTCTTTATTAATCAAACTTCAAAGTGAGAGTGATCTCGTCGATGTTAACGATGGAAGAGAAAGGCGCCCACACGATTCGAGATGGGGCACGGTGTTGGCTGTGCAGGACGTGTTCCGGCCTAGGTACTTTGAAGCAATTTATGGTGTTAATTGACAATGCTGGTAATATTTATAAACAATGATATGTCTTGCTTTTACCAGCTTATTCTCAAATGCTATGTTTTGGCGGGGCACCTGAAGTCTTTCTCTATCAGTAAAGGTGGAAAGTCGCATCGCAATACGAACTTTTTCATGTACCTATACTTTGCTTGCTACAATCTTATGCTAAGGCTTTTTGATGAAAATGTTGAAATGTTTTGTATGCATGATTTCTTGCTACCATATTATGTACCTATGACTTGTCTATTGAAATTCATGCATTTTTACTTTGTTTAATGGATTTATTGACTCTTTTCTTGCTGCTGCAATTTATACACCTCTTTATTGCTTAAATACGAAATTCTTGCATCTATAATTTGCATGCTGCATCCACTTATGATCTAGCTATTGACAGAACTTTTACTTTTTTACTTTGATTGATACATTTATGCACCTTAGTCTTGCTGATGGAAATTTAAGCATCTACACTTTGCTTGCTGCAACTTATACACCATGGTTTATTAATGGAATTCAATGCATCTATTGATTTGCTTAAAGCCATCCATGACTGTATACATTATTGGCTTGCTGACTGAACTTTGTGTGTTTATGCTTGCTTGCTCCTATAGCTTATTGATGGACATTCATAAATCTATACTTTGCTTGCATCTATGGCTCAATAATTCTATACTTTGTTTGCACCTGTGGCTTTATATATTCTATAATTTGTTTGCACCTATTGCTCAATACATTCTATACTTAGTTTACACCTATGGCTTAACACATTCTATACTTTGTTTGCACCTGTGGATTAATGCATTCTATACTTTGCTTGCACCTATGGCTCAATACATTATATATTTGCTTGCACATATGGCTTAATACATTCTGTAGTTTGCATCTATGGCAAAATACATTCTACACTTAGTTTGCATCTATGGCTTAATACATTCTATACTTTGTTTGCACCTCTGGATTTATACATTCTATACTTTGCTTGCACATATGGCTCAATACATTATATAATTTGCTTGCACCTATTGCTTAATACATTCTATACTTTGCTTGCACCTTTGACTTTATACATTCTTAAATTTGCTTACACCAATGGCTAAATACATTCTATACTTTGCTTGCGTCTATGGCTCAATACATTCTATACTTTGTTTGCACCTGTTGCTTTATATTTTCTATAATTTGTTTGCATCTATGGCTCAAGACATTCTATACTTAGTTTGCATCTATTGCTTAATACATTCTATACTTTGTTTTCACCTGTGGATTTATACATTATATACTTTGCTTGCACCTATGGCTCAATATATTATATAACTTGCTCGCATCTACAGCTTAATACATTCTATAGTTTGCTTGTACCTGTGGCTCAATGCATTCCTTAATTTACTTGCACCTATGGCTCCATACATTCTATACTTTGCTTGCACCTATGGCTAAATACATTCTATACTTTGTTTGCACCTATGGCTCAATACCTTCTATACCTTGTTTGAATCTATGGCTTTATACATTCTATACTTTGCTTGTACCTGTGGCTCAATGCATTCTATAATTTGCTTGCACCTATGGCTCAATACATTCTATACTTTGCTTGCACCTATGGCTAAATACATTCTATACCTTGTTTGCATCTATGGCTTTATACATTCTATACTTTGTTTGCACCTGTGGCTTTATACATTCTATACTTTGCTTGCACCTATGGCTCATATATTATATAATTTGCTTGCACCTATGGCTTAATACATTCTATACTTTGTTTGCACCAGTGGCTGAGTACATTCTATTATTTATTGCACCTATGGCTAATACATTCTATACTATGCACCTGTGGCTCAATACATTCTTCACTCTGCTTGCACCCATGGCTAAATATATTCTATACTTTGTTTGCATCAATGGCTCAATACATCTATACTTTGCTTGCACCTATGACTCAATACATTCTATGCTTTGCTTGCAATTATGGCTCATTCTATACTTTGCTTGCATTTATGGCTCAATACATTGTACACTTTTCTTGCACCTAAGGCTCAATACATTCTATACTTTGCTTAAACGTAAGGCTCAATACATTCTTTACTTTGCTTGCACCTATGGCTCAATACATTATATAATTTTCTTGCACCTACGGCTTAAAGCAGCACGCCTCCAGATTCATGCTAATTTTCATGAAAATTTGGAAAATGTATTTGAATGTATAATATTGTGATATAACCGAAAGAAAGCAATTTACACATTGTCAATGGCACTTACAACCCATGTAAATTACCAAAAAGTGGTCAAAATATGCATAAATAGACCTAACTGTGTTAGTAACGCAGTAGAAATATAGTTGTAAATACCGGAAAATCACTCATTAACCGCACACAAGATGTAAAATATTACTTGAATCTTGAATCATTTTACTTTTCCTAAAATGTTAGTACATATTTCTCAAGTTTGATTTTATTGAAATATTTTGACTCATCTGGAGGCATGCAGTTTTAATACATTCCATAGTTTGCTTGTACCTGTGGCTCAATGCATTCTTTAATTTGCTTGCACCTATGGCTCAATGCATTCTATAATTTGCTTGCACCTTTGGCTCAATACATTCTATACTTTGCTTGCACCTATGGCTAATTACATTCTATACTTTGTTTGCACCTATGGCTCAATACCTTCTATACCTTGTTTGCATCTATGGCTTTATACATTCTATACGTTGTTTGCACCTGTGGCTTTATACATTCTTTACTTTGTTTGCACCTGTGGCTTTATACATTCTATACTTTGCTTGCACCTATGGCTCATATATATTATAATTTGCTTGCACTTATGGCTCAGTACATTCTATTATTTATTGCTCAATACATCTATACTTTGCTTGCACCTATGACTCAATACATTCTATGCTTTGCTTGCAATTATGGTTCATTCTATACTTTGCTTGCATTTATGGCTTAATACATTGTACACTTTTCTTGCACCTATGGCTCAATACATTCTATACTTTGCTTGCACCTATGGCTAATTCTATACTTTGCTTAAACGTATGGCTCAATACATTCTTTACTTTGCTTGCACATATGGCTCAATACATTCTATACTTTGCTTGCACATATGGCTCAATACATTCTTTACTTTGCGTGCACATATGGCTCAATACATTATATACTTTGCTTGTACCTATGGCTCAATACATTCTATACTTTGCTTGCACCTATGATACATTCTATACTTTGGTTGCATTTATGGCTTAATACATTATATACTTTACTGGCACCTATGGCTCAATACATTCTTTACTATGCTTGCACATATGGCACAATACATTCTATATTTTTCTTGCACCTATGGCTTTATACATTCTATACTTTGTAGCTACAGATTAATATAGTCCATACTTTGCTTGCATGTATTGATTGTTATACAAAATTGTTCTGAAATGGTCCATGGTTTGATGATGGCAAAATCTAAGATTTTGTTCCTTGCAGCCAAACAAACCATCTGTATGTTTTGGCATACTTTTCACACCCAACACTGAAGTTTGATTTCCATATACATGTACATATATCTATAGTTGGCTATTTCTAATTTCACCAATGTATTCTTCTGGGTGCTTATACATGTACTTAAGTTTACATCAATGCATTAAATATAAAGTGAATACCAAAACAGAACAGGACACAAAACTTTACAAATATACATGTTTTATTTATCATTTTTCTAAATTGCATATTTATAGTTGTATAAATGTGACAGTCTCTCTTTTCAAATCTCATTAACAAAAACTTATATAATATATACATGTAGAGACGATTCAGATAACGTTTATAATAAAATTTACAAAAATAAGCAACTATACAATATAAGCACTAATTGGGTAATGCCATGACATCCTAAAATTTCTTTTAAGAAAAACAAGACATGACATTTTTATTAGCAAAAATATCTCATTAATCATTCATTCTTACACATTTTCATATTTTTTTATATTTCCAAAAAAAAGCTTTATCTAAAAAAAAAATCACCAACAAAAAATATTTAAAAAAGTATATAAATTATAAAACCACTTTTCCATACACATGGTGTGTATAAAGTTTATAATTTTATTTGTAATTCTTAACAATATTATGCATGATTCACTTTTATTCATCAACATTAAAAAAATAATTTCTATAAAAAAAACAAACAACATGCTAGTATACTTTAAGTTTTTATGACAAAACAAAAAAACTTAGCAGTTTTATAGCTTATTGAAAACATTTCAAATGAAACTTTTTATATTTTATGCAAAACTAAACTCTAAAATTATACACAACAAATGTGTTTTAACCTTATTTCAAGCATTTTCATCAACAATTGTCTCCCTTGAAATATACTCTTCAGCATTGAAAATCAATAACTATCACAAAAAGAACAATCCAATCACATATCACAACCATTCTATATATAGCACAGTTTGAAGCATTTAAAGGGGTTTGCCGATTCGTAATTTACCAGGAAATTAAAACAGCATGAAATTAAACATTTTTAAAATTTAGTACCAGCACTGTAACTGTCATGACACTGTATGTATTAATAGTTCCTTTTTTTTCTAATAAACTCTATGTCATTAAACGGTTAATTAAAAAATATATTTTAACACAATGTCTCACACAAATTATTTCTTCACTCAAAACAATTCTTATGAATTATGAAAATATAGTTTCACGCATTAACAAAAAACAAAACAAAAACAAACAGTTATAATGAAAAAATCATGTAAGTTATGGAAAATAAAAAAAAGCAGGAACACATATCTATTTGCCCCAATTTATAAAATTTGCCTGTGCTTTAAATTTCAAATGCTAGAATTATCTTTATTATTTTTTCCTGTTATTTGAAATATTTCAGAGATTGTCCACATAGAAAGCTATAAAGCAGAAAACAATGTGTTCATAACACATTAAATATAGGCAAGTTGAAGAGCGCTATCTGAAAATCATTAAAAAAAGAATTCTATTTTTTCTTAAGTTCTGTGAACACCAAACGGTGTCCTGAATCCTTGTAGCATCAGGAAATGTTTGAGTATTATTTTTTTCATGGTTTTGAGGTTTCTCCTCCAGCATAACATAGCTCCTTCCAAACAACCAATCACCAGCCTGTATAAGATTAAAGAAAACATGCCATCACAAAGTCATTATTCTTAATTAATGTATATGGTAAGTTTGTTTTTTCTGTCAATTGTTGTTTTTAACTTTCTTTTTATCATATCTCGGCAGTCCATCTACATTACAGGCTTTCCTGGTTAACTAACCAGCAATTACCATTTTTTCCGCAAGTGACTGACTCCATATCCAATATGATATCTGAGTCGGCGATGACAGATAAATAACCAGCACACTAAATGAACCAGATAAATTGTCACATAGAAATTTCACCTCACCCAAGGTAACAGAGAAATTTCTTTTTGCCTGAGGTCATATAGAAATTTCACCTCACCCAAAATAACAGAGAAATTTCACCTCACCCGAGGTCACAGAGCAATTTCGCCTTGCCCAAGGTCTCAGAGCAATTTCGCCTTGCCCAAGGTCACAGAGCAATTTCTCCTTGCCTGAGGTCACAGAGGAATTTCGCCTCGCCAAAGGTCACAAAGTAATTTTGCCTCATTCGAGGTCATGAACAAATCTCAATCTAACATAATTAGTACTTTTTTTACAGACTTTATTTTAGTTTGATTGTGTAAGAAGCTGTAAGAAATCTGTTCCTGGAAATATCCAGTACTGAGCAATGAGTGTAAAGTTTCTTCTTCGTGCAAAGAATCAACTGGTTGCCCTAAACAGGATTTTAACCTATGCTTACCATAATTCTTTAGTAGCCACCATCCGAGTCCTGTTTTGTGGATTCTGCTTGGAAAACGTCTGGTTGATACATTTGGTTTGTATATACGGTTGAATATATCTCATTATCTGTAACAAAAACATTAAATAATTGTTGATCTTTTGCTTTATCAATAAAATATGTTATACCTACACTGGTTAGGTCATATGGCGACTTTACAGTTTAACTGTTGGAGGAAGACACTGGGGGTGTATAATTTCAGTCACAGGTAAACACCTAAAACCACTGATCTTCAACACCCTAGCTAGATACTTTCCTCACATAAGAAACTCCAAAATCTCTGGCTGGATTCAAACCAACATTTGAGAAAGATTTGAAGTTAAAAAATCCTAATGACTTGCTCATAATATTAACTTTTTCAGTAACATATATATTTACTTTTTTCTAATAGCGCCCAACTAACAATTCTAAAATCAACAATATTCAAAAGCCATTTTAGTTGAAAGAAGGGATTTGAAGACAGCCTTGTTTATATTGAGTTGACAGAACTATCCTTTAATGAAATAATCATTGTAATATTTGGGTGTATTGGTACAATAATAATCAACAAGAGCTGTCGGTAGGACAGCAACGCTCGACTATTCTAAGTGCTTGATAGTAAAAAAAAATGCTTGATACAGTTACCTCCTCCTGTTTACAGATTGGGGTAATGATGGTGAACAAGTGTGCAAAGTTTCAAAGCCATATGTCAATGAACTTTGAAAATATTTGAGGTATTACAAAAACTTTAACATAAATTCTAAGTCGAAAAAGGGGCATAATTCTGTCAAAATGCTTGATAGAGTTACCTCCTCCTGTCTACAAGTTGGGGTCATGATGGTGAACAAGTGTGCAAAGTTTCAAAGCCATATGTCAATGAACTTTGAAAATATTTGAGGTATTACAAAAACTTTAACGTAAATTCTAAGTCGAAAAAGGGGCATAATTCTGTCAAAATGCTTGATAGAGTTACCTCCTCCTGTCTACAGGTTGGGGTCATGATGGTGAACAAGTGTGCAAAGTTTCAAAGCCATATTGTCAATGGACTTTGAAAATATTTGAACTATTACAAAAACTTTAACATAAGTGGTTACGCCGACGCAGACGCAGACGCTGACGCCGACGCTCGGGTGACTGCAATAGCTCTACTTATTCTTATCGAATAGTCGAGCTAAAAATAACACTACTTCCAAACCAGAAATGTAATTCTATAAATAGCCGTTAAGATACCTACCGTATTTATATCCAAGAACCAAATGTTTTTTTTTTTATAAACACAACTTTGAATAATTTATACAGTAAAGATAAACTTACTTGGATCATGTTCATCTGATGGCATTGGCATTTTGGCTTCCTCCTCCTCGGCGGAAAACTGTACAAGTAGTATCAGCTTTCTAATTGGTATAAATATTAGTAAAGCTGTTGCATTGACGAAGTTTGCAATCGCCACCGCTGGATCTCGGTATGGCGGCCCGGCATTCGTCGTCACCACCATCCAGACCATTAAGCACCCAGCCGTGCACACGCAGGAGACGAAGATCCATCTGGATTCAAAGTAATTGCTCTCGCTGTCCCATGCAAGTGCTGCAAAGATGGCCGTCAATATGACCAAAAATACGACAAACGACATTGATAGTACCATTGAGATGTCGTAGAAATCATGTGGGTCACACCACATCCAATCATGTTGATCTGTTGAGTCAGCCATCAAGCTAGCTGTTGGCCGACGTAAAATCAGCCACTCAATTGGTATAATGCACTGGATCAATATAATACCAAGAGCTATTAACACCAACGAAATCGGACTTGTAAGTCCAGCGTAGCGCTTTGGACTAAATTCAGAGTCTTTAAATCGCCAATTGTCCACAGCTTTTACAAATAATGGTGCAAAAACAACTGTATATACAACTCCCATCAAAAATTTTCTGGCGGCACAAATATCTTCTGCTGCAGGTTTAAAGAATGCGAAATTTGTAGCGTAAATTCCGAACAGACCAAGCATCATCAAAAAGCCAAGTATCGTCGTACCGCCACGCACTGGATAGCAGATGATGAAATAGAAGAACAGGACAAGGCCTACAACGAGTCCGATACAGCTGAGAACAGCAGTTGCGATCGCCCAGATTGGCCACTGATAAACCTGTTCCAGGGTATCCTCGTCATACATGAAATAATTCCTGGGTTCGTGGTCACGCATGTATTTTGGTTGAGTCTGTAATAAATAACAACAAAATAAATAATCATAATCCAAGAAATTGTTACACATCAATACATACATTAAAACTCAATAACTACACACACATAAAATTCACACCCATAATTATCACAATATTGTATAATCTACCCTATTTTATCAATGTATTTACATCATGACTAGAAAATAGATACAATTCTATCAATATTAAAAACATATAAAACATATTGCTACAGACTCAAATTACTAAAAGTCTCAGTCATTCAAAATTCAAATTATTTACATCAGAGTTATCTTATTGTATATTTTGTTGTAAATGAGATTTAAATCAGATTTATACATGGAACCTTTTCTCGACTTGGAAACGCACTTTTTGGAAGAAAAAAAAATTAGCCTAGAGTTATATCAAGAGGATATGGAATCCTCTAATTATAAAATGGGACACAATACAGTACTGTTGTGTCGATTTAAGGCGACTACAATATCCTTCCCTTCATGGCAAAAACAGATGTCTAAAAAGCCCAGATGATGATATATAATTATTGGCCCATTAAAATTTGCAATATTCTGTTGCAGCTATAAAGCATATTTGGATTTAAAAAAATGCATAAATTTAAAATATTACAAAAAGCATTTTTATAAAGAAAGCATAATAAATAGCGTGCATTTTTTCAAATAACCTGCAAAAAAAAACAATGTGCATTGTACATGAAAAATAATGAAATTGCCGCCGCAGCTTCTACCAAGTTTACATTCAGCATTTCATATGAAAGCTAGCTGGAAATTAAAACAAGCCTAGATATTAGGTGGTAAGTCATACTCGTATTTTTTTTCACCAACTCCAGCTTATACGGTGGAACCTATTTCATCTGAACACATCCAGACCAACAAAAAATTCAAATGCCAAAGATTTCCGGACTTGAATGGTTTTTGTTCATTTGTAGTTACAGTAACATCTAAAGCTGAGCATTTAGGCGAATAAGATTTTTGACAAGAAAGGTTTTTAATCAGCAAAGCACCACTGGCAATCATTTGCACACTACAAAATGAAGGAAATTGCCAAAAACCTAGCATAAAGAGTTAAAAAAATTTCCATTTTGATTTACACAGACTTAAAAGGTGATAATTATAAATTCTGGCATTATCATTTCACGTAGCTAGTCATTTTTACTAATTTTTTCCTATCATACAGTCATGTAATAATCCAAAGCTTATATCAATGTCATTCTGTACCAACTATTTTGACTCAATTTAAGTTAGCCTTCAATTTGAAAATTGACTTTCCTGGATAACTAACCAGTAATTACTTTGAAAATTGACTTTCCTGAATAACTAACCAGTAATTACTTTGAAAATTGACTTTCCTGGATAACTAACCAGTAATTACTTTGAAAATTGACTTTCCTGGATAACTAACCAGTAATTACTTTGAAAATTGACTTTCCTGAATAACTAACCAGTAATTACTTTGAAAATTGACTTTCCTGGATAACTAACCAGTAATTACAGGTCTATTTCTCAGCAAGTAGCTGACTTGACTATCTCACATGACCTTTTGAATCAGAGGTGAGAGACAAATGACCATTAGACTTAATGTCGTAGATAAATTGTGGCAGAGAAATTATGTCTCACCTAAATATTAGACCAAAATAATACTATTATTTACGGCTATTGTACACAATAATGGAGAAAATTCAAACTGAGAAAAGCTCAAGCATTAAGGGAAATAAATCTGGGAGCAATAATCTCTAAAATAAAGGGGGAAAAACAAATGAAACAATTTTCATCCTTTTGTTATATATAAAAAATAATCACACATGTGCATTGCTTGTAATCATCTAAAAGTACTGTGAACTAATTTAGTATTTACTGCTAATTAGCAAATTCTTTAAACATGTCTTTTGTCACTATAATACATTAGTTATATAATATATAATATATATCAAGTTCCTCCAATCTAACAACACTTGGCCATCTATTGCTTAGGCCTGTTAACTCCACCCCTCATCTCCAAAGGAATGCATACAAAAAATACAATAAATCTAAAACTAGTTCACAGTTAAAACTACAATGCACTAGTCACGGTAATCATTGCATCCCAACCCCTGGGGGAGTGATGGGGGAGGGAGTGGTCAATGCTAGAAGGGGGGAGTTTGTGTTTTACCTCCCCCCTTCTTCTGCAATGCACAGATAATGCCGTGGTTTATGAATTTGTAGCACCAAAATAGCAAAGGAAAAAATTCAAACTTGCAGTGGGCATTTAACAAGGATTTTTTACTTTCTGTCTCTAATGGGGCCTGTACTAGGGGTTGAAATTCAAAAAGTCCCAACAATTCCCCAAAGGTGGAGTTGCTATGGTTACCATTGACTAGTGCACAATATGCAATAAATGTATATAAATGTCAATAATGAAAGCCTTCATATCATTACCATGTTCTGAGACTCCTAAATCAACAAATATAGGACATTTTGTTAGATACTTGGTTAATGACATCACATCTTATAAACACATATTAAACGAAGAACACTTCCTTATAAACACAGAGTAAACGAAGAACACTTCCTTATAAACACAGAGTAAAGAAAAATATTTTTAAAAGTTCTTATAAAGTATGGAAGAATATTTCTTATAAACACAAGAGTAAATATGAACACCTCTTAAACATAGAGTAAAGAAGAACACTTCTTATAAACATAGAGTTAGGAAGAATACTTCCTATAAACACAGTGTAAGGAAGAATACTTCTTATAAACACAGAAGTAAAGATGAATACTTCTTATAAACAATGTGTAAGGAAGAATATTTCTTATAAATACAGAGTAAGGAAGAATACTTCTTATAAACACAGAGTAAGGAAGAATACTTCTTATAAACACAGTGTAAGGAAGAATACTTCCTATAAACACAGTGTAAGGAAGAATACTTCCTATAAACACAGTGTAAGGAAGAATACTTCTTATAAACACAGTGTAAGGAAGAATACTTCCTATAAACACAGTGTAAGGAAGAATACTTCCTATAAACACAGTGTAAGGAAGAATACTTCTTATAAACACAGTGTAAGGAAGAATATTTCTTATAAATACAGAGTAAGGAAGAATACTTCTTATAAACACAGAGTAAAGAAGAATACTTCCTATAAATACTTCCTATAAACACAGAGTAATTTTTATAAACACAGAGTATGGAAGAATAATAACACAGGCTATGTGTTCATGCTGTAAGTCTCCATGGTCGCCATTTGTGATATTTTTATGAAGCTGTAAGTTATAGTAAGGAAGAACAATCTATTGTAACAAGCTTTGACCCTTGTCCTGCTTTGAACATAAAGTGGTCAACCTTTCCCACCAGTATAGAGCCAGGCCCAACTACATGTCCATACAGTCTGACCAGGCTCTTCCCTGTTGGCTGAGTTAACTTTATATATTTCATCTTGATATCCGTAACAATTTTAATGGAGCGTTCCAAAAACAGAAGCTGGACAAGTCCATTTAAGAAATTCAGCAGGAAAAGAGTTTAGAACTGTAAAAATCATTGAAAACATGAACTGTTGAAGTAAGTCAGTATAAATGTGAACAAATGTACTTGTTAACTAACTTAACTTGTTAATAATCATGAACATAACAAATAAACAGGCTTATCATTACCTTCAAAGGCTAGATTGAAAAGGCATGAATACAGGTTTAAACATTAAAAATAAGTCAACAAATTACATGACATAAATTTCCAGATTAAGACATCTTCAGACATGAAGTATATAAAGTTTTAAACAGAAGAAAATACAGATTAGATATTTCAAACAGAAAACTGTTAAGAAGAAGTTTTCATTAGAATAAGTCAAATTTCAATCAGAAATTTGTTTTACTTTTTTACCAGAAAATTATTAAGCATTAGGAATTTTAAAATAGAAAATTGTAAATAATTTGCTATTTTTTAAAAAGAAAATTGTTCAGCATTTGGAATTTTAAACAGAAAATTGTTAACAATTGACTAATTTTTACCAGATAGGAATTCTAAATCAAAAATTGTTAACAAATAGCTATTTTTTTTACCAAAAATTGTTCAGAATTTGCAATTAAAAACAGAAAATTGTTTATAATTAGCAATAATTATGATGTAGATATTTAAAAAAAAAACTCATGTTAAGAAATAGATATTTCTGAAACAGACAATAGTAAAGAAGTAACACAAAACATGAAAAGATCTTCAAATTAACCAATAACCTGCCTGAACTGAAAATGATTATAGTCTTTGCCACCAGTACAGAGTTAGGCCATCTGGCACATCCATGCAGTACATCTGACCAGGCTCTATACTGCTGGTAGCTCAGTTTTTTGTTTTTTTTTTTATATTGAAATCCCTTAAACTTTGCATGGACTGTTCCAAATTCAAAGCTGGGCAAATCCATTACATAAATTCAGCAGGTGAAGGGCTATTTTGTTAACCGAAATTAATAATGTGCTAATTCTTCTTTCTTCTGATTATATCTTTATATTCTAGAGTTCTGTTTTACATATTCATGCATGAATAGCTATTAATAGCTACTAAGTGAATGGGTCTACAAAATGCACATTTCTATGTGTATTTCAGATACAAAACCAAATTAAATTTATATAGCTATGATAAATTTTTATATATCGTTCTCTGTAGAGATTTTGCTCTCCTTTAAGTCTCAGGAAACAGAGATATTACTGTGAAACTCGGCAAATGTGAATTTTTCCCATCTAATATAGGTTGACAAACAAGCTTTTTCAGTAAAAACTTGGAAAATATATTAATAATAAGCACAACACGTTGGTCACGCTATTGTGAAGCTCAAACAGTAAAAGTTTGTTTGTACATCAATTATATAACAGCCTGTTCTAGAATAATTAAGAAGTTACCAGATATATACTTTATTATTCCGATTTGACAGCCAGTGATATTTCTCACAAGCTTGTATATCACTTATATATCTACATTGGAATTACACAAAATTTAAGACCCATTCACATTACTCAGATCATGCAATAAACATAATAATGTCATGCAATAATAATAAATCAAAACAACTCTGCATTATATATCATTGCAAGACTAAATTCATGCAATATTCTTTTTTTTATGTTAACATCTGTGTATATTAGATGCAACTTCGTCTTTTCTACACTGGTGCAATTCTTTGTTACAAGTAAACATTTTTCAAAATCTAGAAAAACTTATCAAACTTTAATCCGTATTTTTAAAAAAGAAATTCCGTAATAACGAAATAATTACCATATTTTTCATGGATTAATTTACAAATTACAATATAATGTTACTTATCAAAACTAAAACGAAAGCATTCACAAACCTGTTGTTCCGTTCGTCCGTCCTGTATTGCACAATCACAGTACTGATCCGTGGGACATTCTGATGTGATTCCTGTATGCTGACTATCATAGTTACCAGCCTGATTAAATCGGAAACCGCCTCGTTCAGAATTGCTTCCGATCTACAATTATAAGTATTTTTGTACATGATTTCGAGAACACACATTTTTATTTCCTGTAAGTTTTTATATCCATTTATATACATTGTACCTTCTTACTTAAAGGGACTCTACTGAGGTTTTTAGTGTTGCAAAACTTTTCACTCAAATCAGGCAAAGAAAGGCATAAAAATACGATTTTCAATTTATTTCGGAGTTTATTTTTTCTAAATTATCTTTTGCATATCTTTCTGTATCAAATGCCCCTGTTGATCTATGTAAGAAATTCAAATTATATTTTTTTTAGGTTTTGAACCTCAGTGGAGTTCCTTTAATATTAATACTAGATTTAAATATTTGACATATGACTCAGTATTTATAAATGCTTTTATGCTAATATAACCAATGCTGTTATGCAAGAATACAATAACTGCAGAACCCTAGTATAAAGATAATGTAAATATCATTATTGTCAAATGAAAATCAATAATACAAAGTTAACACAAGTATCATGATATATATACATGTAGTAACCTAGTCTAGAATTATTACGATACTGTTAAAGGTCAAACTATGCATAGATAATCTTAAATAGAAAACAGGGAAAATAACTCACCTTGTAATATTCATTATCTTGGCCGAAGGAGTAAATGTTGTAACCGATATTCCAGTACCTATCTTCTCCAAGTTCGAGGTTAAAAGCTTCTCTTGGATCAACCTGCCCCGCATTGATGCTCCAAGTCTGTGCTAATGTATTTTCAAACAGAACGTCCCTTGCCTCTTTGATGCCGGCCATACAAGAGGTAAATGTTTTGTCAGCACAGCCGTAATCTCTGTATAACTTATTTAATCCATTACCCATGGCGTATGTTGCGGCAATATTAGTGAGTCGGGGAGCAAACTGTTTAATTTTGTCTTCGGTGATAGTTTCACCCTTTCCATCTGGTCCGGAACAAAGGCGATAGTCTGGCATTTGTAATTTGGAATTTGGGAGTAGACATTCATGAATATGCTGGTAGAACTCTTCAAACCAGTCATCTGGTAATCCCATCTTGTTGCTAAAGGAAATTGTCTTTGTCCAGTTAACAAAATTATTATAAAACGCATTTCTGAAATCAATGGTAATAGCACCAGCAAACTGCTTGGCAATATCCTCAGTGATAAACGATCTCACTCCCCAAGTATCCGTTCCGATTAAAAGATAATTCTCCGCAATGCCTTCTGCAATAAGGGCATCCAGAATTGGTCGTGGATCTAATACAATAAGAACTATTACACCAATACCTTTGGTTTCTGCCAGACGTTTAACAATGGGACGTAGCTCGGCTACTGTGCTTGGACTGTTAATACCTTCCGCAGTACCGATACATGAATACTGGCCATCATTGACAATGGATTGCAAGTCTTTGTAGCCATTGATTCCGTAGCTGTCCTTTGCATAAATAACACCAACATAACTCCAACCATTGTGCTTTAAAATTTTGGCAATCACTTCCATTTGAATATTATCTGGCGGCACTGTACGTGCAAAATAGGGATAACGCCATTGGTCACTCAGGGCAGTTGATGAAGCTGTTCCGCTCATAAGTTGGATTTTAACGGGTGCCGTCACTCTGTTGGCCGCGACAACGTAACGAGATGACTGTACTTGTACACCCATCACTGTATCTTTATTAATTAGGCTTCCATCTGAATCAAATTCGGCATTGCAAAGATTTCCTGTTGTTAGTAAATTGAATATGTCTTGATCTATTCGTAACTGGTTATTGCAGTGATCTAGGATGAGAAGACGTAGATCGAACGGTTTATTGATGATGAGATTGGAATAATGTACTGTGTAGAGAATCGAGAGGGCCTGCATGGTCGACTCCATGTTCATGGCTCCGCATCTATACTCATCATTGCCTTGGTCGTGGATTCTAGCTGCGTAGATCAATGTGGCAGGATTGGGATTGTTTGCCTTGTCATTATGCCTTGGTAGCATATATCTGAAATAAAAAATCACACAGTTCGTTAAATTGAAAATAAACTGAACCCTATAGAACACCTAAAACATCAAAACTGATAATGTTGTATGATCAATTTCATTGAGTCTGTTCATGGAAGGTAGTGATAAATGTAAGCTATGGTCCTTTTCCCCTAGTACCTGCTTAAGTAGAACTCAGTATCGGAACAAGAAATGATGGAGATATTTTGAATTGAGAAACATACACAAATGTGTTCATATGGTCAGTAATATAGGGTCACCACATTGCCTAGTAGCTCATGATTATTTTTGGTTTTGATTTCCCTTAAACTGACAATGAACAAAAAATTATCATAAAACAAATCAGCAACATGCAATAAACTTTGTATAAGATGAAAAAAAGTTACTAAGACAGCAAGCAAAATAGGCCTGTATCTTCTAGGTTGACATTGCCGTGGGTTTTTGAAAGGAAATTTTTATCTTTTAGAAAATTCTTAAAAGAATGACAGGTCACCTTAGATCATACAATCTTATCTTTATCCTGATTTTATTTATAACCTGAATTTCTTAAAGGACTTGTCAAGCTTTCATTTTTTGGGACAGTGAATTATAAATTTGGGGATATCAGCCAACTGAATGCAGCCTGATTAGGCTCTATTTATTGGTGGCAAAGGCAAAACACTGTTAGTTCCAGCAGGTTTTAAAGAATGAAAAAAAATCTGTATCTGACCTGGTTTGAAGGTTACGGATGGTTGGACATTCAGTACACGAGTCTACGCGCTCACAGCTTCCGTCCCAGGCTGGCTTGTATGACATTCGTGTCATCATCAATTCTCCGTCACTTGTGTACTTGGCAATCTGTTACAAAGGTAAAAAAAATATCAATACATGGGTACAAAAACGCAAACACTTAGAAGCACTAACATAGGACTTACATTTTCAACATCTGCGGTAACTTAAAGATTAAAATAATGTCTAAAAAATATAAATTGAGATATTTGTGTCCAAAATCCAAATAAGACTTTCTGTGTCATAAAATGCATGAACAGTACAGAAAATTCAGAAAAATGTTCACTCTTACTTAATATTTCATAGAAATCAAGACTACACATCTATATGATGTTAAATATAACAAGATCTCTCCTTTATGTTACCATTGTCAGTATGAAATCATACAACAGATGCAACAAATTTAATTATTTGCTTTCAATCATCAATACTGCCCAGATTTGGTTTGTATCAAATTAAAAGAAAAGATTGTTTTGGTCCTTTCAGGGGCTATAACTCTGTAATGTTATATACTTAGATAAGCTCAGAACAGCAACATTTAGCAAATCATTTGTACTTTACTTACTGGGCTATATGTGAATCCAAGGTCATTTGAAGAATCAATGCTGTAAAGAACATATCCTTTGCTGCCATCACCTCTGTCTGAGAAACTGAATGGTTGACCCGACAGATCCACAAAACTTGCTTGCTTGATCTTGTCAAGAACAAATTCATGTCGGCCATCACGATTTTTGAAAGCCTCACAGACATTGGTATAATCTTCACCACAATCCTCACGCAGGGCAAGGTCAAGGCCGTATGCTGCCGAATATACAGCATTTATCACATGGATTAGAGCCGTATCTTGTTTGTACCTCCTGGAAGTGACAATGTTCTTTGGGGTTGCTGAACATCGACCCGGGTACCTTGTATCTGGGATGGTAAGATAACAGTTCTGGATTTCCTCATAGTATTCCGGAAACCATGGATTTTCTGGGTAGTTGGCAGGTGTTTTTGTTGACAGGTATTCATCAAATTCACGAATGTCGACCACGTCTAAATCTAAGGTGACTGAGTGCAGGGCAATGTCTTCAACTCCTTCAATAGATTCATGATTGTTGGCCCACGTATCTGATCCAATAAATTTGAATTTACCTCGAGCATCAGGATTTCGTCGGACAGCTTGAAGCAGCTCATTGATAAAGCTGATGTCAGCAAAAACAATAACTGTGTTAGCAACTGGCTTCTTCAGTAAGCTAAGCACCACGTCGTTGGCATTCTCAACTGTAACGGAGCTTTGTGGTAAAAATGCCACAGTTTGAGCGACGCAGACTTTCTGTTCCTCTGCAAGTTGGTTTAATATTTTCGCAGCTTGTTCTCCGTAATTATCAGATGTATGGACAATCTGTACGTATCTGATATCATAATTACGCAGGAATTTCATGATACCCATTGCTTGTCTATCGTCAGCTGGTACTGTTCGCAAAAAGAACGGATAGCGATCTTGATCAAGCAAAGAAATACTCGAAGAACCGTAACTGATTTGCGGTATTTTCAATGTTTTCAGCAGTCTCGCCAAATAAATCGACCTGTCACTGGAGTATGCTGCAATGTAGGCTTCTATTCCATCCGGATTAATTATGTTTCCATCTCGTTGTAGGACTGATATGCCATTGTGTATATTTGATACAAGATACCCTCCCTTTACGGCGCTCTGACATGCGTCTAGACCGATACCACCCAATTTGACGTTCTTCAAAACATTTGCAAATTGGCCAGATTTATCATTGACCTTGTTGATGGCGAAATGGAAAGCTTCAAGCAGCTGAAAGCCGCGGATTGTGTTGATGTCACCACAGGAGAACGGTGTTAGAGAAGCCTGATGTACATCAAATAGACCTGAAAAAATAAAACAAAATTCTTGTGTATTCTGTAAACAATTCCATACCACACTATATTAACCCACATGTGAACACAACAGAAACAAAGAAATGAATGTTTTTGCATTAATGTTGTAAATGCATGAAATTTTCGCGGGTTTTTAAATCCATGAGCCGTTTCTTTTTCGTTGGATCTTACTTTCATTGATTTAGCTATCCATGAAAACCACAAAAATTAGTGGTCAATGAATAATAATAATTTTGCAATAAATGTTCATTGTACGTCACTTAGAACTACATTTGTATATCAATTTTTTTTTCAAACGTTCTTTTTATAAGAATATCCAAATAAAACATTTCTATTATTTTTATCAATATTTGAAAAATTTATGTCAAACCATAAACCACAAACACAAAGAATTTATTGTATACTCACATTACACTTAATATAAGTTTTTTTTCACAATCATGAAATTTTGCCACAAGAAGAATAACAATACTGACCAATGTGCAAAATATAATTTTAAGGGAAAATATTAATGAATTAAAACATTGGCAGTTAAGATGTGTGGGCAAGTAAACCTTTAAACTACCAGATGTTCATTTAAAAACATCAGCTACATACCTGCCACCATGACGTCTCCAGGTGTATATGTGAAGTTCATGTTGTTTTGTATGCACTCTGTGCACGGTGAAATACACGCAGATTTCGTGTTGTCAAACATTGTACGTAGGTTACGATCTATTATATTCAAAGAAGCGCCGGCAAAATCAGCAACCTGGAATACAAAACAGTTTTGCTTTCTTGTCACAAAACTTTCAGGAAACATGTATTTAAGCAAATTATCAAGTCACTTACTGTTTGGGAGCAACTGACGATCATTTACCAATTAAAGCTATTTATAAATACCCAATTTTGGTAACACTAGGCAAACAGAATGCTGACAAATTTAAGCCGTCACATTGAAGCTTGGTAGTTTTGCACAACAATCTTTTATTGCAAGTTTCTATATAACACCGACTTTCTTTGTGCTTGTATTTAGTAAAAGGTCAAGTTTACCGTGTAACCTTTGCAGAGGCCACCTCTCTCAAGCAATTACCTCATTAAAACACAGAATCAATTCTTTCTAAAGCAAAACTTCATAACAAATTCAATCTCTTCAGAGCAACACCTCTCTGTAACAGCCAAAAATCTATTACTCGGCAGAGGTTTTAAGTACTGTACAAAATGTTCTAAAAAAAATTATATTTCAAAACAAAAAATCTTTATAACCTTTTTCATTTGACTTCCATCAAAGTGTATGATCTCTCTTCCAGTACTTCCTTCCTTTCCGATGAAAGAAAATGGCGACGCACTGACATCCATGAAGCTAACTTCTCGCATTTTTCTCAATAAAATCGTGTTTGTTTCTGGATCAGAGTAAAACTTGGCGCAAACACCGTTGTAGTTTTCACCACACTGGACTTTCAAGGTTTCGTGTGCGGCACCGGAAAATGCGAATACAGCATTTATGATTGGCAGTACGTAATTGTCGTCGTAGAAACTAGTGCTGGTTGTTATATCTCTAATTGCCCCACAGTCGGATGAATATCTGTCAATCAAATACAATTAAATATCTTTCAAAGCAGAAATTATATTCAGGTTACAACAAAGTACTTAATAATATATAAAGCAGAATCCATTACAGTTAAATAGTTAATATATAATGAATATCGTAATTTTAAAATTCGAAAAAATCACACGATTTGTCTATGATCATATTTATAATTACTTTCAGGTTATAAACAAATTTCATATTTAGGACTCAGAATACATGTGCTAGTAATTCAATAAGACTACAGCATATGTTAGAGGAACCTTAGCGCATCTGTCTCCACATATTTGTGTACTATAATTATGACCTAATGTGAAGTAAAACTTAAAGACAAGGCCAAATGCTATTCCTCTATAACAAAGATGGCATGGTTCGTCATAGCAGCAGACGGAACTAATGTAATCAAGGCTCACCTATACTCTCCCGGCAGATTACACTGGAATAGATGCATATAATATGCTCTCAAGTATGGATGGTCATCAGAGAAGGACGTCTCATCTAAAGAGGCTAGGTATTGGTTAAATAAATCTAAGTTGTTAGATTTCATTCTTAGCGCGAGCACATTTCGTGCATCCATTCCACGCCTGTTGAAAACCATTGGATATGGTTCTGGGGAGATCACCACCAAGTTGTCGCCTTTTGTGTTCTTTCCCCTGGCCTCCAGGAAGGAGTCCATGTCTTTGAGTCCGAGGTACGTAATGACAGCATGAGTTGATTGCTCAATAAGCTCCTGCACAATAGCGTCAACATTCGAGTCGTCCATTTCAATAGCTTTTATAATGCAAATACCCTCCTGCATGGCTACTGAACTAAACACATCAAATCCCCCATGGCCGAAGCTGTCGCTTGAGTACAGAACAGAAACATACTGCAGTCCGAGTGACTTTGCCAGGATTGCAAGTGCGCTGGCTATTGTACTATCACCCTGTATAGTCCTCAAAAATGTAGGGTATTCATCATCATCAAGAAAACTGTTTGTTGTTGCCATAGAACTGATAACTGGAAGATTGAAATCGCTGAAGAAATCTTTCATTTCCTGGGTGACCATGGAATTGTCTGTTAACCACGCACGAATTGCATTCAAATTAGGTCTAGGCTCGGAATCTCCAAGTATCCCAGAATACAAGGCAGACGGAATTCCATATGCTCTAGCCGCACTGTTGCAATGATCAATCAGAAGACCACCAACCTTGACATCATTTAATACAAACGGAGATCTTCCGCCGTTCACTTCATCAAGAGCAAAAGCTACCGCCAAGTAAGACTGCATGCCATTGGTCAACCTCAAAGCTTCACAAAGAAAAGGATCGGGACCAGGGTCTTTCAGTGCAAAGTTGACACCAATTCTTAAGTCGGCATCATCGTTGATTAGAACAAATGGGTTATTCTGTACGAGGTAGACACATTCGCCACACCTCGACACACAGGAAGACATGAACCCATTCGGCAGACTGATGGGATTGACAAAGTCTAGTTGTAGAGAAGAATCATCTGTATCATATGTACCAATCTGAAGTGTACAAAATAGCAAAAAACTACTTCTCAAATTGATCAGCTCCACAAATATTTTCTATCATTGTAAACTGAGACTTACATTGCTCACCAGAATAAATACAGAAAAGTTTATTAATATATTCACATAAATGGCTACTGATGACTTGACAGTTATGATTTATATAAATTCTGATAGGCAAATAAGACAATATCATGCTATATATACAAATAATGTTATTTTTGAGCCTTAATTAGCCTTAAATTATAAGCAAATAAGAACAAATTTGTGAAATCTGAGTTACTTCGTGCAAAGTTAATCTTATATCACACACAAGATCTGTTTCACAATTTTCCAGAAACTTACCCTGACGTATTCGCCTCCTGTGTAACTGTAGAACTCGTAATTAGCCTGTCCCTCGCCCATCATCATTTTAAACTGATAACCATTCAACTGATATTCAGAACTTCGTAAGTATTGCAGAATTTTTTCTTTAACATCGGGGTTACTGCGGAACTGCCAGCAAAGTCCGTTATAATTTCTACTGCCATCCCCACAAAAGTCTCTGATGGTTTCATCTACGGCTCGAGCTGCTGCGTACGTAGCTGCAATCATGAATGGTGTATATGAGGACACTTCAAACCTTGGCGCTGAAGTAAGTGGCAAGTCTGGATTACACTCGACAGTGTATGTTCCTCTATTTTTAGCGTCAAGGTAACAACTAAAGGCATACTGGTACCACTCCGCAAGGAACGGCATTTCTCTCATAGTCTCTGGATCTGTGGGCTTCAATGTACTCAACCACTGACGGAACTTGGAAATTTCAGGTGCTGTAATGTCCAAAGTAATACTTCCCTCGGCAACATCTTCATATCCGGTGACAATGGACTCCCTACGTCCCCATGCTTCTGTTCCTATCAAAACAAATTGACCTTGAAGATTTTTATCCTTGATAGTTCTCAAAATCTCACGGTAGTCACCGATATCAACTATTGCAATGACTGCTCGAGCAGCTGGCTTTTCATTTAGTCGGCCAATTATGGCGTCTATACTTCCATCTTTTCCTATTTCATGGTTGGCTGCTATGCAAATGGATTGTTTAGCACCCTCTTTTTTCATAGTCTCATAGCCAGATATGCCATAAGCATCGCCTGAGTAGATAACTTGTACGTACGTCCAATCCATCCTCTTCAATAGTAGAACGAGGGCCAACATCTGCTTGTAATCTGATGGAATAGCCCGTGTAAATGTTGGAAAAAGTCCCATATCGTTTAAAGTAACACTTGTTGCAGACGACTCTATGTAGGGCATCTCATAACGACTTAACATTGAGGCCATTGAGATAGCTTCAGTACTATCAAGTTCCCCGACGACTGTTTTCATGAGATTAGGATCTACATTTGCAACAACATGGCGTCCACCAAGTATATTATTCAACAGCAAACGTCCTGTCTCTTCGCTATCACACAAGTCAACAATTAATGACCCAAGGTCGACTCCGTTCAAAATTCCAGGAAAAACTTGTTTCGCTTGTCTAATGGCATATCGGAAGGCAGCAACGTTTAATGCATGGGTCGGTTTGAGTGCACCACAAAGAAGGACTTCTGAGCCTTTAGCGTGTATATCAAACAGTCCACCAAGTACGACATCTCCAGGTGCGTATGTGAAATGTACCATTGGTCGATGTACTTCACAGTTTCTACATCCGGCTGTTGGGCACTTAGATGATGGCAGAGCAGTCAGAGGTGAAGAACGATCATTATTGTACATGAAAACATTTGCAGCATTCAAGTTGAAGACATTGTCTACAAATGTTCCAACCTACAAATAAAATAAATTCAATCAGAAAAAAATGTTTGTAAATGAAATTGGACTAACATTTTTCATATACATTTGTATGTATTTCATATTCCTATGAAAAAATATTATTCACAAAAAATTCTTGAAGTTTAAAAATATTTTTCCGCAAAAAACTACCACTGAAAATCTGGAAGCAGACACCATTGCAGGGGGAAGTAAATGTATGGCAAACAATCATGTTATATACGCAATAATTTATTGCTTGGTATTGTTAAGTAAAATGAGAGACATTTTAAGAAAAGCATACATGTATATTTATGGGGTTTCAAAATGGGGTTTCAAAATGGTAAACTTTTTCAAAAGTATTAAAAGTAACAGACATGGCAGTTTTATTGAGCCAAAATTTGTGAAATACATGTATACACCTTTGAAGCTAATATATTCCTCCACATAAAAAATTACTCATATTTAAGAACCCAAAGTTTCATCTTGAAAACCAAAACATAAAAAAATACTTTTTAAAACATGAAAACTTACGTTTTTGAAAGCATAAAATCCTGATGGCTGGTTGTTGTAATTCCAGTAAGTATGGCCAGACGTGTAAAAATCTCCGTTGGAGTCGAATTTCACCCGCATGCCTCTCAAACTGGCGATATTCACATCATTTAACTAAAATAGAGATAAAATTTCAATCTTAAAAAGAGATTCATTTTCACCTCAAATAAAAAATTATACTTTTTCTTAAATTATTCTATTAATTTTGATGTCACTTTCTGTTTTTCATTTATTTTACATTAAAAAAAATTTTTTATGTTAAATTCTATAACATATAAAATTTGCAGCATATTCTATACTGAAAAATCATTATTATTCGTGGAGCAATAATTTTCGAGGTTTTCTTGAATATGTTAATCCTGGAATTTATGATCCAATGAAATTTCCATAGTCTGCTGTAAAGTTATTTTGCATCACATTTTTTACATGTTACCTTTTGGAAAGATAAGCAGTCAACGACTTTATGAACCCATGAAAAATTAATGTTCTTTGTGATAAAACAACAAAATTTCATGCACAGGAAATTAAGTGAATTCACAGTATTTAATTTTATAATTTAGCATTTTGTACATTATCAAAATGGAAACAGGTCTCAGACACTAAAACTTACATCTAGATTAACTTCAGACAAATAGCCCTGGAACTGTTGTGGGGTCATTTGTCTAAGTCCCAGACACATGCCTGGCGTACTTCCACATGTTTGAGAGTGTGCCGTCTTCAGTGCCCTGGCAAACGCATAAACCGCCTTGATGACTGAATCTACTGCAGAGTATCTCGTGTTGATGGCGAGACGTTTCTGCTGCGCAGTTTTTGACGTACAGTCAGATAAACCATTGTATGGAGCGTAATTCACTCCTTGCAGTCGGCACCTGAAATCAATTTCAATTTAAATATATTTGAGAATTTGGCTATATCTGTTGTCAATAAACTGAGCCACTTCACGACAAAACCAACATAGCGCGTTTGCGACCAGCATGGATCCAGACCAGCCTGCATATCCGTGCAGTCTGATCAGGATCCATGCTGTTTGCTATCAGTTTCTGTACTTGTTATAGGGTTTGTAAGTGAACAGCATGGATCCTGATCAGACTGCATGGATGCGCAGGCTGGTCTGGATCCATGCTGGTCGCAAACCCACTATATTGGTTTTGTTGTGACGCGGCTCAAACTGTTTTTTAAACATTCTAAAGAGGGCACATATTTTTCCTGCAGTCATTTAAAAAAAGCCGTGTTTTTATTTTCACATTTTACAAAATAATTCATGTCAACAGATAAGACATATAAGCAAACTTATCTTATTTACCATACTCATTTTAATGTAGACATTAGAAGTACATTGTATTATTTGAATTCATTTTTCATCACATTACTTACTGCTTTAAAGAATTTGCCAAATAGGAACAATCATAGAAAATGAAGGAATAATCAAAATGTTTTATAGGATCGTTTAATAAGGGAGACAACTTACTGAAACAATGACATAAACCAATCACGAAACCATGGATTCTCTGCAGACTGAACATTCTCATCGATGTTTGTAAAGTAGTCGAAAAATTCCGTAACTTCCGTTATCTTTGGCTGAACAAAAATGGCACCCCTCATTCTACCTGAATATGTTTGAGCATTCAGGTTGATCTGTGACACCATCCACTGGATACCGCTAGCACCGGGCACCTGGTCTATTGCCTCTAATGCCTGTAAATGAAGGATGGAATGAAATAAAAACAATCAAAAGAATGAACAAACAAAGAAACAAACAAATGGATGGATGGATGAATGAATGAATGAACAAGTTTTTCAAATAAATTTGGATGCATTTACCTCTTAGAATTTTTATTTTCACTAAAAATGTAGTTTATATGTCAACTGATATTGAAAAGGACATTCTGGACTAGAAAAAACATATAAAAGCACGCAGCAGTGGTCACATGTTTAGAACAACAAATGAAATTCTGTAATGCTAGATAACTTCCCAACATGGAAATTTACATGTGTATTATTGATATGACAATATGTACACAATGCATCTATAGGGAAATAGAATAATTTAGTCTTCAATTTATATTTTCATAAACTAAAGTCAGACCTTAATAGCAACAGATATAAATGTCCTTGTAATTGTTACAAATAAAATAAAATTTTAACAGGTAAAACTCATCCTGTCATGCCCGTCTGCCAATGTTGTGGCAGTGATGGCGAACTTACCATCTCGGTTGTCTCGTGGTCTGCAAAAATTACGCCGCCGCTGACGTCATACATTCCAATATCTTCAAGTTTTTCAAGATAGTCTGCCATACTGCTGCTTTTGGGTACAGCAAATGATTTAACGACACAAACATTTTCCGTTTGCGATCGTCTCAACATCTCATTCATGGCCGATGTACCGTAAAGGTCGTCTGAGTACACTACCACGATCCTCTCCCATTCCATCACCTTCATGCCTTCTATCATTGCCTGAAAGAAACAAAGCATTTGAATGATGGGTTCATCAAGTAAAATAAGACATGTGGGCATTTATTGTCTAGTTTTTATTGTCACATACACTATAGACCCTTTAACTAGTGTGTCTTGTGCATTGTTTCAGGCTTGAGCATTCAATGTTATTTTCTTACTCTGTTAATAATAGTCAACATTAGCATTATCATATAATCAATATCATATTTCTGACATTATCATAAAAATATATTTTTTATCATTAAACTGATAATTCATTCTTGCTAGATGCCAAATTTCTACTTTTCACACAATTTCATACAGTGTGATATGACTTGGATCAGTTAAGTATTTCACGGAAAAGCAAAAAATAAATATGAGTATTGTACCCTTATCTGTTCTGCAGAAGACATTCCGGTCCTCATGAAGTATGGGAAACGAGATTTATCGCTGAGCTCCGGTGCACCAGCTATAGGTGAGATCACGGATGCAGGGAATTTTGCAGTAAGAGCTGCCACAGGGATTGTTGTGTCGCTAGTAAATCCTCCCAAAATACCTACACCAAGATATGTAATATACAAAAGTTTATTTATTGAGCTTTAAACGTGTAACAAAAATAGTTAAAAGGTTTAAAGGTGCATAAAGCCTAAAAAATCGTTCCTGGAGAGTTACACCAGTACTAGACTACCTTCCTCTGCGCTAAACTACCAAAGCATCTCCTGGGGATCGAACCCACGCCAGAGAGGTAACTAGATTAGAAGTCATCGACTCTAACCCCTCGACCACGGAGGCGGTTACAATGATAGTGATTTAGTATTTTGTATGGAAGTCAAAACACGACTTTGTTTACGTTTTGCTACCTTTATCAAAAATTAATTATTTAACATTCAACACTATTTTCTTCAGGTAATAAGCATCTCGCATATTCTAAATCAACTATAACAACATTATAAAACACATATTTGCCTTATCTACCGAAGAATTTTTTAAAAATTATTTCATAGGCAATAATGTGCCTTAAAAACAGTTTGACTCTTTTACAAACAATAGACACTATTCATACGGAAAGTACCCGTGCTCTTGGCCACTTAATTCATCATTTCCAAAGCTTATCATCAGAGCCATGTGATCATGGTTCATGTGATCATGGTCTATCAAAACTGTTCGCTACATATTTCCAAATTGTCCCTAAAAATGATAAATGGTTTTGTCCAGATTGAAGATGGATGTGTCCATTTAGGATACATTTGTGTTTGTATTTAGGGTGGTAGGCAATCACTTACCTAGGTTATATTTACTGGTACTGTTACAGTACATGCTGGAGTGGGAGTATTGCTGGTAAAAGTCGTTGACAGCAGCGATGGCTTGATGTGGCGACCTACACACGTCATACGCTCTCATACCTTAACGTAAAATAAACATTTCATGAACAAACGATTATCATACATGATGTATAATTAAAACTAAACCATAGAAAAATTTACTACATTGTATATACATGTATATTCTCAGTTTTATTGTTTCGACTTAAGGTTTTTATTTTCAAATCATTTAGAAACTCATGAACTTTTTTCCAATTAATTCTAATTAATTTACAAGATTCATTTTAGAAAATAATTTGAACATCTGGTATGAAACAAATATACAAATGTATCTAATTTTTTTCGGCATTTCAAATGTTATTCCAAACTAACCAATATCAACATTCAGATTAAAGATGTAATTTCAAAATAAGTTTCTCCCCAAATTTTACAAATCAGATTTTGGTCAATTATCTAACAATACAAATAAAACTTTAAAAGAAAGTGAACCTACCCATTCTGATACCAGGGATGTAGTTGTTGGTGTTAATTCTATTTATAGTCCACCTGGCCGCCTCATAGGACAGCATTTCCTCTGAAGAAATAATAACATATGGTATACAATTCCAAAGATACACAGTAGAAGCCCTATTTTACTGGGGTTGGTGAAATGTATTTTTACTCGCTACCCATTTAAAGAACTGTACTGGTCGGAGAGATAACTCCGACGCATAGATAACCCCGACACTTGATAAATATAATTTTTATAATTTTGTTTTTCAACAAAAAAGCATATGGTCACCTAGTAGTATAGGAGCAGGACAGAATATGATGAATTTATGTAAGTTGGTAAACTTTTAAATATTTTTCAGTTAACCGAAACTTTTCGTTGGCAAAAACTGCTTCAAAACGTTCTTTTTACTAAATTACAATGAGGTAGTAAGAAATGTATTGACCACAGGCCATTGACTTGGGAAATATTTCTGAAAACTTGTTTTTACATCAACAAAAAATAGATAAAGCATATAAGATGTAAAAATGAATTAATGATGCTGATTTTCCTGTCATTTTTTACTTAAAAATTTAAGTGTCGACTTTATCTACTGTTGAGGGGTAAAAAGACCATGTTTTGTATACCCCATTCAGGACCTTAAAGAAGTACCAATTCTCATTTTCATACATAATGTTTGTAGTGTCATGTAAAGTCTTTGAACTGAACTTTATTTAGGTGGTTCAATATTTAAAATAAACAGGAAGATAATTAAAATATTACAAAAAGTATGTGATTTAGTGTCGGAGTTATCTCTCCAACCAGTACATTGATTTATACCTCCTAGAATATGCAGTAATGGCCTTATAATAATGGAATTTCCCATTTTTTAGAATACAGGTATTAATAATCATTTGAAAATTTCATTTTAGCCCATGTTGCCACTCAAATGACAATTGATCTAGTTACACAACTTGAACATAACTATACAAGACTTTTCACCATCAAGAGTGAACAGGGGTGTGCTATACATTTTATAAGTTGAGAAACTGGGAATTAAAAAAAGGAAAGCTATCAACCAGTTTATTCATTTTCTTACCTGGGCGAGGACTTCCGCATCCATAATCATTCTTTCCTTCTCCTCTCAAGTTAAATATTCCACCAAGAATAACGTCTGCATTGATGAAGTTTATATCGGCCTTACTTAGGTCAGATGTACATACTTCCTGTTCGAGCGTCTGACACAGACTGCTTACCACAAAACTCGACAACACTACAATGGTGCACAGTCTGAAATATAAACAAGACTGGTCGTATAAAAAATTCTGCTTGACAATTTAAAGATGTATGCCTCCAGATGAGCCAAATAATTCAAGTCAACTAAACTTGACAAAAATGTACTTAGTTCTAAGAAAAGTAATAAGAATCAAGTAATATTTTACATTTTATTTAACTAATGACTACGTAGTAGCCTCATATTTCTTTGCATGACATACTAAGTATGGGCTATTATTTACATAATTTTTATTTTGACATTTTTTTTTGTATTTTTTGTGGCTTGTAAAAGCTGTTGCAATGTGTAAATTATTTTATTTGTTTATTTCACAATATACATTTTCAAAATGTTCATGACAATAAGCATGAATCTGGAGGCATTCTGCTTTAACCTCCTGAATCTGAGTAATGGATTTGGAATAGTCCATTTAGAATTTAAGAGATTTCAATATCAAGATACAAACTACAATACAAAAATACAATACTACGCTTTGAGATATTATGCTATTTTGTGTATGGTCTGACCCTGAAAAGAAAAATCTCAAAATCTAGCATTGGCATGTCAAAATATTTTGACTTGTGCACATGCATGTTATGTGAAATAAAAGTAATACTAATAATTTTATGTAAACTATCTAGAATTTCAGAAATATCCAATAAGTAATGATGCTTATTCAGTAAAACATTTATAAATGTAATTTTTGCAGTTAACTCTAGGATCAAGGGGGATAATTCTTGAATTATGAGTTATGTTAAATTCAGTGAAAATCCATGCTAGAGTAACATGCCTTGGTTTTCTGTTGAATACCTTCAACTTTACACTATCACTGTAAAAGTAGATAAAATATGTTGTAATACAATTAAACTTGAACTTAATATAAAATGGCCTGATCTAATAGATTTTGCTGTAACTTCCAATGAGTCTCTCAAAATATTTCAAGTTTAATTATATTCAAAGTGTTAAAAAAAGTGTTATATTAGATAGGGACATTATATTTATCTATGTCTGTAGTGAGATGTTTATTGTGCTTCTAAGCCCTGTTTTCCTTCTATGGCAGCAAACTTTTGAATTTCTAGAAAATTCTTGAGCACTGACTGAGATTTGATCCTCAGACCTTTTGCATAATAGGCTGACACTCGACCACAATGCTAAATGGTTAAACATTTACAAAATATGGCATCAAAAATGCTGTGGCAATACAGTATGTGGTCATTCTGGCATTTACAATCTATAATCATGAAGAACAAAGCTTTAAGTGATTTAAACAATAAACTTAAGCACAATTTCTGTAAATTATAATATATGATTGACAAACAGCTTGTGAAATCTACAAAAAGGAAAAAGTGCATGATTCTTGTTAAAATTTGTTACCTATACAGGCACATATCTTTTAATAAGATTTTAATTTTCAAAAAGAAAGAAATTTGAAATATTTAAAGTGTTTGGTCAGCAAAGTCTTGGGGTTGACCAAAGTCTTAAGTGTCTCAAAAAGCATGTTTGCCCATTTTTTTCTCACCCAGTAACATTATGATTTATATCAATAATTACTTCAAAAGTTTTTCAAGTTTTTTATCGTCTTTCGTTTTGTACTCTTGAATTAACATGATGTCAACTTGGTTAAGTTACAGACTTTCCCGTTGTAGGAATTCACTGGTTATTTATGATGTAGCTCCATTTTTAGAAATATTTAGCCCACCCCCATATATCTAAATCTACCCCATCTGGCTCCCTCAAATTTTGATATTTCATGTTTCATGTATGCACAATAAAAAGTTACTGTCGCAGTAAATAAAGAATTTCAAATTCATGAAAGTAGAAAAACTAAATCAAACTTGTGAGAGAAAAATGTCCCACCCGGCCAAAACATTAATCGTTTTAACTCACCTCATAGTTCTGTGTCTTTTATGCCATATATGTGTGTGCAAATGTCCAAAAGAGACAATTTATTCCTTCCTGTATTTTGATGCCACTTGTTGTTTTAATTGTCGCTAATTTGTTAATCGAAATTCATTAGCCCTGCCCCGTGTTATCCACACCAAAACATGTACAGTAAATTGACAAACCCGTTTCTAAATATAGATTGTGTATTATGCATTGAAAGTAGTGAGCCTCGCTCAACCGTGAAAACTGGTTCTACTGGTTGTAATTCTATTTTTAGACTAGCGCGCTTCAGTGATTTACCTGTAAAATTTTGTCTTCCAAGGGGAGTAACTGTGAATAATATATTCCTTCTCCGTAGTTGTCTTTCTTACATACTTTTCTATTTGTACAGTATATATATGAAATATTTATTATATTCCAGAAATAAATTCAATACAAATAAAAATTGAATATCTATATTCTATATATTGATAATCAACTTAATGAAGCTAAAATTGGTTATAGAACCAAAAGTTATTATATTTTGCCATCACTTTGATATTGAAATTATGAAACAGACTTGAAATAAAATCAGATCTTATAATATTTATTATTCATTTGATCATTTTCGCACATATATATATTATATTTTTTGTGCAACGTCATTTGCGTTATACAAACATAGTGTTACAACGCCTTAAATGTAAGCGTTATACTATAGGTGCATCAATGAAAAATGGTCTTTTTTCACTTCAAAATTTTGGAATGTGATAAATAGAATATTAAATTTGTGTAAGTTCCTTACTGAATTTATAGAACTTGTTGAATAAATTCAATGAATTCAGTATTTAACTTACACTCATTCAATATCCTCCATTTATTAAGCTTCTTAATATAAAAAAACAAAGGAAATGAAACTGTTATTTTCACACTTGTTGAATTTATCTGAAAGATTTAGTAACACAGATTTGCCTAAACCTTACATCAAAGGATTACACATTCTATTGTTACTACACTTACCAACCTTCACTAATGTAGCTTTATTAAAACATCAAGATTGGAAGGTACTCAATGATGTTAATCTCTGCCAAGGTGATGGATTAAGGATGCTGTGGTTGCAAAATTACCTCAAAACATCAGATGAATCTCAGCTTCAGTTAGTACTCCAGTTTCTGAGCAGACGATTCTTGTAAGGTCACTATGATGTCACTTTGACCTTGACTTTTGACCTACTTATCATTAGAGCACACTGACTTACCTTATATGATAGTCTTCCAATTGATTAAAGCTGAAGATCTCCGGAACAAACAGAACTTCTGTTACTGCATGAATAGAAGCCGACTATTGACCAGAGATTTTTTAATTTTAAATTATAGTGACCTTGACCTTTTCTCTAATGTTCACAGTAACTTTACTGGTATTTTATACGATAAATATGAAGTTTGAAAGTTCTTGGCCAAATTGTATTTCAAATATTGGATGGTTATAGTTTTCAAATTAAAAGGTCATTTTGACCTTGACCATTGGAATACTGTGAAAAAATACAGGCCTTTTATTTAATTCAGTGAGAGATTGAAAGCACTAGTTTAAAAGGGAGATAAAGATTTTCATCTGATCTATGCCACTGATTAAAATTGTAAACCTAATACAACTACCTTGATCTAGTAGTCAGTGGATTTTTAACTAGGTTGTACTTTAATTCGACCCGTGTACCTAGTTTTAATCCGAAATGACTTTGATTTTGCATTTGTCCAAGGTGAAGATGCAGGCAAAGTTTTGCTTTGTTTGTTCTTTTTATTTTGGTTGGGTTTTATGTCGCACCAATACAGTAGAGGTCATATGGTGACTATCCAGCTTTATTGGTGGAGGAATACCTCAGGTGCCATTCTGTGCATTATTTCAGGCAGAAGCGGGCACCCGAGTAGAACCACCGACGTTCCATAAGCTAGCTGGATAGATTACTCACAAGAAAGAATCCAAAGTTCCTGTCAGGATTTCGAACCAACAGCAGTGAGGGGTTAGTGGTTTGAAGTCATTAACCTTAACCACTCGGCAATGGACATCAAGAAATAATTTATGTTACTATTATCATTTTGCATATTCTGACCTATTTTTTGGTAATTTTCGTAGATTTAAAGTGCGGTTTGCAATTTGTAAATTACTTTCTTTGACTACCTGACAATATTATAAATTTTCATGAATCTGGAGGTATGCTGCTTTAAATAGTTTTACATATTAACTGGCCGGATATTATTTTGCATAATAATTTTTTTTTTACCTATGTAAGTGTGAACAAAAAAACAAACAATCTTAAGGCTGTATTTATAAATTCAACAACACCAGTGGATAAGCTAGCATTATTTTATTACATAAAAGTGCACAAAGCAACAATTTCATAAAATGTTTCACAGATATAATTTTTTCAACAACGAATATGTCCATCAATACAATATAGTTTTTATCATGTTGTACAGACGGAAATAAATAATTCAAAACAATATATAGTATATCAGACACTAGTTTTTAGTCTGTAAAAAAAAATGTACAAATTCATAAAAAAAATGTAACCTCACCCCCCCACCCCCGCCCTCCCTTATCATGTGATTGCCGTCATAACATATATAATACTCGCGAACAATTAACATATCTACAATCCATCAATATTTCTCCCCTAACCTGCAAAACTATTCCTTTTTCCTTCCTATATCTCAATCAACAATACCATTTCAGCAAAAATTTATGAAATTTCCGCTTCAAATCAAATTGGGTAGTTCAACTATTTTAGAATCTTCTGGAAATCCTAACTTTAAAACTGTTAGTATATACATATTTGTGTAAAGTTCAATGTTAAAACTTGTGAATATTTCATAAATCATCCAATTTACTGATTCTGTGTATTGGAGTGAAATATTAATTGACCTGTCATATACAAAAGGTAAGGTGTATTTTCATTCTCTTCTTTTTATTTTCTTCATTATATTTTATTTAACAAACCTGTACATGGCCTGGCAAGAGATCTAATTTGACAAATATTGCTCACCTGAGTCAATAAAAACAACGAAAACAACAACATTTCAAAAAGTTCTTAAGGACTATGGGACATTATTTTCTCAGAAAATTTTTAATGTGCCTTTTTTTTGTATTGTAATATAATATAAAAAATTTCCAGGATACATATTTTTTTACCTTTGGGGCAATTATTCTATTTTGCTTTTATACCAGACCATAAGACAATGCTACACAACTAGTTTGGTTTTGTTCGGTCATATGGTAATGAAACAGGAAATATGACTTTGGCTAACCTCGAGTGTTACAAACTTAAAAGCAACACCAGTGGTCAAAACCACCTCACCTGCTGGAGCTAAGAGAAACATAGACTCTGAATTTAATAGCCTCTTATTATCACTCAGGGATAAATGGTGGATACAAATCTGATGCCTCAACCCTTAAAGGCCACCCCTCAGCCACAAGAGGCGGGGAGGGGGGAGCTACATAACTACATACCAGCTACAAATCATTGCTATGAATTACAGTCTATACTCCTCATATTTTAAGATTATAATTTTATTTAAGAAATTGTCGATAAATACCAACAAGAACATAATCTAAAACTTCATGCACAGGTGAGCTAAAATGAAATGACTTGTGGGTGGTTTGTCAATTTTGACCGTGAGGTTATAATTAGAACAATATTTTATTGAGATCCATCAAGTAAAACTAGATGTCACATGCTCAAGTATACTTGAAGTTTCAGTGATATTTCCTAAATAAACCTACGTGAAAGCATAGGAAAAGAAATTGACCATTGGTATATCAATAATACAGGTAATGCTGTAATAAATGGAATAGTTTTGGCTAAGTGGTTTCATATAACAATAATTGAATTTCCATTCCAACCAAATTTTCCACATGAAATACAATTCTTTGAACACCTCTGAAAAGAAGAAAACGCCACAGGAACATTCCCATAAAGCTTCAATGATTCAATCAAACTAATTTAAGATTTATAACAAGATCTTGTTTACATTTTTATCGAGATACTCTTAGTCATCGACTATTTCAGTTCATCATAACAGAACGCTGAATGAATATCTTTCTAAACACAATTCTACGTTTTCTACAAGAGCTGTCCGTAAGACGGCACGCTTGACTATCATCGCTCAGTGCTTAACAGTAAGAAAAGGGGCATAACTCTATGAATGTAACTCAGAGTTATGGGACCTTGGCCCATTATATTAGATAATCACAGTCAAGTGTGTGAAGTTTCAACCCATTCCCTTTAATAGTTTCAGAGATACCAACTTGCACGCAAAAACTTAACCAAAGTGTGACAGCGATGCAGGCACTGTCGCTGAGGTGAGTATAATAGCTCCTCCTATTTTTCAAACAGTGGAGCTAAAAACATGAATGTACAAATATGGCCACATGACAATATGGAACACAATAACAGTTTATTACATACAGACTTTCTAATACAAAATGGATGACTAATTTCTAGTTGTATATCTAAATATATTGAAATATGTGTACAATGTATATGATATAAAGCTATGATTGTATTTCTTTCGAGTAAAAAAAAATGAGACGTGTAACTGTTGACTACAATACACCCTGAGTTATATCACGTTTATTACACAATATTAATACATACATACATGCTAACATGCATATAATGTGTAGCTATCATATGATATGACATATATTTTTATGCAACACGCAATAATATCCTTCGTCTTCTAAATATATCCAGATCTAAAAATCATAATTTAAAATAAATTGGACTAAATTTCGTTCAAAATAAATAAAATGAAACTTTACTTAAAATCAATAGTCCAAACACATTTATTTAAGCTCACTTGTGAAACAAATTCTGGCAACTTATATTAATCACTTAGAATCTTATGGAACTAATTCATTTGTTTGATTGGGTTTTACATTGCACCAACACAGGTCATGTCAATGGCGACTTTCCAGCTTTACTGGTAGATGAAGACCTCAGGTGCCCTTCCAAAGAGGCACCCACCAAATTCTTCCACCTAACATACAAGACTACGAATCTCACAGGATTTCTGAATCAGTCATTCACTTGGATCAAATTTTTCAACCCCCTCCCCCCAAAAAAAAAACAACAAACAAAAACTTAAAAAATCATTGGATTTGTATGTATGAAGAAAAAAATCCAAAAAATTCAAAGAAATCTTGTTGCCATTGAAACTACACATATTTGTTTACTTCCTAACATCTGTCTCTCTTACATATGTATACATAAACAAGAAAAAAACACGAATGTAAAATATTAACATACAAATTTTTGTGCGGCACTCAAAAACAAGTTTTACCATTTACACACGATTTTGTAAAAAACATTAACATCTGTCCAATTATTGCCAACAAGATGTTGTTCTATTTTTAACTCTGACAGCCATCTTGTTCAGCAGACCGGAAAGATCTAAGGGCACTTTAGCAAACATTGTCATATCTTTACCTTTTCTTAGAAATTCACCACAGTACAATGCAAGAAAATAATTTTTTATTTTATTCTAACACATCAGGTGGCGCAATAGTTCAGTTGATTAGACCACTGACTGTTACTCCTGAGGTTCGGGGTTCAATCCTGGGTAACAACCTTGGGATTTTTCAGAGACATTTTCAATGTTTCCCACCTACCCAGAGGTGTACTGGTAAGAAATCCAAGAAATCCTTGCTATACACTGAACATGTAAAATAACCAAGGGGTCTGTCTATTCAATAAGAGCTAGGGACTGGTTCTCGGGGTTCCCTTGTATCTCATAGCTGTCTCGTCATGTCTACATCCCCACAAGGGGTTTGACATTAATGGAAGGTAGACAGATAGATCTATCAACTTCATGCACTTGGTAACTTAAAAGATTGGTTCCTAGCTCTAAACGGGTAAACAAGGGAACCAGCATTAATGTACTTAACAAGGGAACCAGCATTAATGTACATGTAACATGACCGTGATTACAGATGTTTCACATGTTGACAGTAGTCAGACATCATTATACTTGGGGAAAAACAATATTTCATTTTGAACTGAAAACATGTGAAACTATATCGGTTTTTCCTAGAAAGAAAAAAAAACAAAACTATAAAATCTCAATACAGACATTTGTCAAAGTAACATATGTCAAAACATATTTCAAATACAATAGCAGGTCTAAATTAAAGCTACATACCTCCAGAAGAGTCAAAATATTTCAATAAAAATCAAACCTGAGAATAATATACTAAGATATTAGGAAATGTAAAAAAGATTCAAGATTTAATTAATAATTTACATGTTATGTGTAATTAGAGATTGATTTTTTAGTATTTATAACCATATTTCTACTGCTTTACTAACGCAGTAAAGGATATTTTCAAACAGATTAGCCTCATTTTGGTAATTTACGTGGGTTGCGAGTGCTGTTTTTAATGTGTAAATTGCTTCCTTTTGGTAACTTTTTGGTAACACAATATTTTACTTCTAAATGCATTTTCAAAATTTTCATGACAATTAGCATGAATCTGGAGGCCTGCTTCTTTAACCAGCCATTTTTTTGGAAGGATATATGTTTAGAATTTGAAGTCTCAAGTGATATGATATTTGTTGTATTTAATGCCCAAGATCTTATGTACAATGTACAGTCTTAACAGCTCACTGTTACATCTTTCTTTTTCTGTGTCAAAATTCATATCTGAGCAAAGCAAAATTGATCTTTTTTGATTTTATTATACAAAGCTGACAGTTTGTTTGTTTTTCTTGGATTTTATGTCACATCAACACTGTAAAGGTTATACGGCGACTTTCCAGCCTTACAGGTGGAGGAAAAAAACACCTCAGGTGCCCCTTCTGTGCATTATTTCAAGCACATCATCATACATAATGTCTTAGTTTTAACTAAATGATGGTTAGATATCATAAATGACTGTATTTATATATGAACAAGAACATGTCATTGTGCCTGCCCAAAATCCCCACAGCCTCCAGATAGAGGCGCAAAATAAATATCACATTTCTGTACTTTATTGCAAATAAAAAATGTCAACATATCAAATAAAGTATTAAATTAGTTTTATAAATGTATTTACTCCTTAATAATATTTACAATATATCCATTACAAACATGAATATTACACCGTAGTAACAATAATATAGAAGCTCTCCTGGAATTGATTTGACGGAGTGTTTTGAAAAAAAACATGGTCTATGGGAAAAAGTAGAAAAATCTATTTTTAGCTTTGATGACCTTGACCATAGCATGATCTATTTATATAAAACCTTGATCTATTTATAGCCTAATTAATGGATCAATCAACCACAAACTCAACAGAAAGGCTGCAGTTCATGGATGGTGCCAACCCATCAAATATGTATGGGTAACATAAACACCTCAGTTCATGGATGGTACCAACCCATCAATTATGTATGGACAATGTCAATGCCGCAGTTCATGGATGGTACCAACCCATCAATTACGTATGGGCAATGTCAATGCCGCAGTTCATGGATGGTACCAACCCATCAATTACGTATGGGCAATGTCAATGCCGCAGTTCATGGATGGTACCAACCAATCAATTACGTATGGGCTACATTAATGCTGCAGTTCATGGATGGTGCCAACCCATTTAATATGTATGGGCAAGGTTAACACCTAAGTTCATGGATGGTACCATCCCATCAAAAATGTATGGACAACAGAAACGCCTTAGTTCATGGATCGTACCAACCCATCAAATACTATGATAGCAGTCATTAAATGAAGGATTTATGAGACATGGCATGTTGGCATGAAAGGACAACAATCCAGCAACTTTATAGTCCCATCAAAAAAATTTCTGAGAAGCTTCCAAAAAAAATTACAGAACAGATCTATTCTGCATCTCTAAATAATTATACAACCAACAATCTGTACAGAAAAATCTCCCTGTATCATAAATTACATTGTTTTTACAATTAAATTCATCTAAAAAATTTACAATATCAGTATTTTAACAATTCATATCTATTTTTATAAAGCAACAAAGCAAAAACAATTGCCCTATATGATTCCTTCTACATTGAGCATGAATATCCGTAAACCTGCAGGGACCGAAAATAATTAGCCTTTGCCACCAGAATACGGCCGTACCTGCCTGCACATGTACGCAGTCTGACTGCCCTCTATACTGTTGGTTGACCAGCTTCAAATTTTCATCCTGATATCCCCAAAATTGATAATGATCATTCCCGAAAATGGAAGCTGGACCCGTCCATTTAAAGTTTAGACAAGTACATCAACGTGTAAATATCATAATGATTTCCAACTTCCTGTGACGCATATTTTGAGTCATTATAATATAATCATATTTAATTACACAAGTATTTTCGTTCTATATAAAAAATCCCAAAAAATATCAACTGGTCATAGTACAAAAGGCGCGAAGCAGAGACTGGCCGATTTTAATTTAATAATTTGACCAGCTTTATAAGAAATTCATCTTACAGGCATGAAAATGTGTTAGCTTCATAATTTACATACATTTGTTTGGTTCATACACTGCTTCATCCTATATTACCCTATAAACTTATGTCAAGTCAGTATTTTATCGTAACAACCTTAATTTATAAGTCTAATGCCTCTTGAAGCTGTCTATCAAATTAATCATTTTCCAGTCAAACTGTAATGATTATAAGTGAATTGTTAATCACACTTTTGTAAAACATCACATACGACCTTCACATTACTCCTTGTTGACGATATGACATCAGCGACGTTCGAGGATACTCTAGATTAATGACATAGTAAGGCACTATTCTTGTAGTGAGTAAATTTGCATTGTCATTCAGCTCTTTTCAACGTTTGTCAAACGCTATGAAATAGCTTTCAAAATCCAAGCCAAGCGTGGCGAAGTTTTGTCGCGTTGTTTCAAGTGTCCCCACTCTGATGCTTCTGCCTCTTTATCACCGCTTGCGCCGCCTGCTCCGGGACTCGCGCTGGATCAGACAGGATGCTTGTTGTTGTACTCAAGTGTCTCATGGAATCGGACACAACTAAAAATATTACAAATTAAATGATTATTTCAGTAAGCTGAGATATTTAAAATTGCAATTCTATGGGTTTTTTTTCTTTTTTGTTTTTTGGTTGGGTTAAATGTCGCACCATGCAGACTTTTCTAGTGGCGGAAGACCTCAGGTGCCCTTGCGTGCATTAATTTAGGCAGGAATGGGAACCAGAGAGAGTAGACCCACTGACATTCAGTAAGCACCTGGACAGCTTCCTCACAAGAAAGAATGAAAACTCCGTCACAGCAATGAGGGGCAAATGGTCTTTCTCCCGTTACAAGTTCAAATTGCTAGAAAAATATAAAAACTGCTTCAATACTAATCAAACTTGGCACAAATGTTGACTGGACCATTGCCTTTGTAACAACATGCTCAGGCTTAAATTTTCTGTTACCATGGCAATGAGGGACATCTCAAAATTGCCAAAAAACACTATTTTGCGTTGATTTTTTTCCATCAAAATTGATTTCAAAGTGCTGCAACTTCTCAATGGATTGAGATAGAGTCAAATGCTTTTCAGTGTTGGTTATACGTTACCTTATTATCGATCTGGGGTCATTTCAAGTCCAAAATTTTCTTGGCAATGAGGGGGACTTCCGCCCCCCTTCAAACCCCCCAAACAGAAGGGGCACATCCCCCTTTGGGCAACACCCTGATGTATCATTTGGATGGGGAGCCGCGCCGAAAAAGTGGTCACTTTTTTTACAACATTTCTCAAAGACGAAAAACAGTCTTTGGGGCCTAAATAGGGCAGTTTTTCACTATTTGAGGCCTAAAAAGAGGGGATGGGGGGGGGGGGGGGGGGGGTTGGGGGTTGAAAGTGGGTTGTTTTGCGTATATATATATATATATATATATATATATATATATGAGGTAAAGGGTTAATGAATCCTAATATTCCTGTTAAGATTTTAACTCAATGCAGTGAATAGCATGGGTTTCAAAGGTGGCGCCCATCACCACATAGAGGCTCTTGTGATTATAATTCTAGTTTGCATTGAAGGTCACACTATGTGTCCTTGACTTTCGACCTCTATATTAAAAATACTTTTTATTTATAATCATTAATGGTAGTTTTAACACATGCTTGGTTTATTTACCATAATCATATTTGGAAATACTGCAGAACAGAATAAAACTTAAACATTATTTGCAATCCTAAAAATACAATAATATTATTGACACTTCAGGGTACAATGGAGCAATACTCACTTGGTCTAAGGGATGGCAAAGAGCAATGTTGGTCTAACCATGCAAGCACTGTACGACACAACTCATCTACGCTAGCAGTGGACACCATCGTGTTGTACGACTCGAACAAATTCCGTATCACCAAAGAAAACTGTAGCTTAGTTAAGGAAAAACAATTTATTATTATCATTATATTGTTATGCTTCAGGTAAACCTAACACAAAACGTACGTCCACTTTGAAAAATGCTGAAACTGTTGACATCAAGTGGTAACTTCTCTACAGACGGCCACTCTGTGAAGGTTACACTTTAGATTTCCTGGTATATGAAATTGTCTATGACATAAATGATGTAATAATACTACTATGATATATGCCGTGTATAAAGACATGTATAATTCTGATGACTCATTCATGAAAAAATAACTAAAATTACTAAGAATTACAATTATCCATTTGAAGTGTTGCAAGGCCTGCAATTTTTGCGAGTGAGTAAATGAAATATTGCAAAGTGCATATTGAAGACCTTTAATCGAGATTTTTTAAGAATTAATTTTTGAAAACTACTTTTGGCTTTTTTGACATACATATAATTTTACACTGTAAGCATTTATAAAACCTTTGTAGGTGACCACCTAAGGGTGATTCCTATGAAGTTTGATCAAAATTTACCACAAAAGTTTAAATATTGACATAGCTTTTGGGAACTTGCTGAAAATGACTGACAATTTTCCCAAATGAGCTTAATGCATCATACATATATTAACTTATGCGGACAATTTCTGTCCACATCCAGTGACAGAGTGCATTGATTATAAGATATTATTTACTTGCAACAAAATACACAACAACATGCACATAGACCTTGGAGAAAAGTATTGTGAATGAACTATGCTATATCATGATTGGCCCTCGTTTTGCCCTCATTAAGGTACATGAAACAGCAGTCTGCAAGAATGAAAGCAAATCAAAGATAATGTATACGATTGTATACCTAATCTTATATTAAGGATTAATCTATTCAGACGAGAACATTGCAACAGAGCTGGGTTTTTTTTCTCACCAATATTTCTCCGTAACAAGATGTTACACAAATCTATTCTTAGACTCAAAACAATACACCCTGTACTAAATATACCATTGATTTTAATGTTTACCATTATATTACATATCTAATTTTGATGATAACCAATATATCACTAAATATACCATTAATTCATATCACCTATCTGTAGGATCTTGTTGTAAATAAAGCTCAATGCTAAAACAATGGACTCCCCCGCATGCACTACCAATAGCTCACTTTGAACCTTTTAGTCTGGTAAACTACAAAATCTGGTGTACTGGTATTTAACATCAAAGATGAAAATGAAGAAACTTTCTGTGAAATACCTTAAAAGTCATCTCTATGAGTTGTGAATTTTTGGTTATAGACTGATATAGGAAATGTCCTACAATAAAAGATGTTATCTGGAACCTGGCAAATGTGGGTTTTTCCAAGTTTTTTCTTCAGTACAAACTTTTACTGTTATAGCTTCAAGGTGCACTACCGGTCACATTAAATAAGTCAACCGGTTGCGCTTATTTTTGAAGCTGTAAATGTAAAAGTTTTGTTGTACTTCCGGATCTGCTGGGAAAAACCCAAAATATTCTTAATTCCGGAGTAAATTCAAAAGCCACCTAAAAGTCAACTAGTCCTGAGGGGTCAAGATGTCATCATAAGTGTTAAAGAGGGACATTCCCTATAACCGAACATGAACTCATTTCAACTTTCATAATCATCACTTACTTAAAGTATCAATTTTTTATCTCAACAAAGTCATAGAGACAGTTACCCCCATCCAAATTTTATTCAAATGTGTTAAATAAATAATTTGTGGTATCAATTTTGAAATTACGATCTTGAGCTAATATTCATGTATGTAGTGTCCATGGCTACGGCATGAAAAAATGAAAAATGTTTAAGCCTAGGTTCAAACATTGCTAAAAAACACATTAAGAGTATGTGAAAACAATAATATCCCTGGATATATAAATCAATTCAGACCCACAAAATGTAGAGACCTTCAAAATTTAACATTATATAAATCTAAAATTCAACCATATATATTCACTTTTTCATACCATATCTTCAAGCATGTTTATCAACAGACTATTTTGAGGGAGCGGGAGTAAAGCATAGGTTTTCAGTAAGTTATTAAGTAACTAACAACTTCAATAAGGATAGGCAGATTCTACGTACAGCTTCAATATATAATTAAATCTACAAAGAGACAGCTGAGCTATAATTACCTGATTTTCTGTCGGCAAGTTTCACATGTTTTTTTTATCATATTTTCCGTGACCTGACCAATTTAATACAGCTGTTTTGTGTCAGTATGTGTTTATAAGTACATGCCAGGCAACTTATATGTTAACATTCTGTCATCATTTCTTATCAAATCTATAAACTATCTCTTTATCAACATTTTCCAAATATCAACATTTTCCAAATATCACCGTACATTTCCCCTATAATTTACATTAAAATAGGTTATGCTACTTGCAAAATAGATGTCTTAGCTCCAAGTCTTCCATTCATGAAGGATGATTTTAATCTGTAAAGGAAAATTCTATTTTTAGTTGCTTTTTTAAATTTTCTATGCAATCTCTGTAAAAACAAGCGAATTCTGAGGCAAGGTAATTTTCAACACTAGGATGGTATGACCCAGCAATACAGGGCTTGTGTCTGAATTGACCATTTTAATCATATAGTTGTTACACTCCCTAAAGAACTGCAAAAGAAGACTAGCACACCCACCCCACAATATAGTTAGACTATAAGGATCTGATATCGGATGTTTGTTCTACTTTAATTCATTTTCTTTCATTACATTGGAGATTTTATTTACTCGATATAAATACACTGAAAATTCCTAGAAATTAAATCATGTTGCTTGTTTCGTTTTTAAATTGACTTTTAACACATTATTTTGTGAAATCTCTGCCGTCTTTTGGGAGAGGAAAGATTTTGGTTGCTGCTGAGAGATTGGAAAAACTGGTACTGTTGTTTTAAAACAGGTGACTGTTCCACAGAGGGTTACACAACAGACATGGTACTGTACTACTGTCTTTACAAAGGATACAATCCAAAACTTCCAATTTGTTAATGTTCTCTGTTTAACGTATTCTTCAAACATTTCTCTCATCTGATCTGCTCGTTGCCTAGTAACAGGCACGCCTGTAGCCGGTAACTGTGACTGACACACACTGAAAATGTACATTTACACCAATATAAATACCATAATAACAATCATTTTTTGTATTTCCTCTAAATTTTGTTTCTTTTTATAAGCATTAGCTCTCCATTTGGCCTCGACTTTCTGATGTTTTCAGTCTAAATGCAAACATAACATGAAATACAACAGATGGACCACTGGAGTAACAGTTTTTCTTTTTACAAAACCAAAATTTTATCCACTAGCTATTAAATGATCATTCTGTTATAACTGTTTATTTGCTTCTTTGGTTTTCACGCCAATATCAACACATTTTTGGTCATATCTCCATTGCGGTCCATTTAACTGGCTTTTCCTTGGTAACTCACCAGAAATTACTAATTTCCTCAGCAAGTGACCCACAATTTATCTATCCCACAAGATTTTTGACTTGGTGTCGAGAGACAAAAATTACACTCAATGTTCAAGATCAATTTCATCACAGAAATTTTGCCACCATCCCCTAAGCTTAAGCAGTACTAATAAACATTACCCAAGAATTATATTTTGCAGCATACATTCTAAAATCACCTTGAACAACGTAAATTTGCCTTACCCAATAGCCTGGTTTAGAGAGTTTATTTCTTGTTTCAGGATATCAGCCTCGTTCTGCATCTGGGCACGTTCTGACTTCAGCTTCTTACAATACTCAGCAGCTGAAAACATTCAAATATTAAATCTTTATGTACTTTCTGTTTTTTTCTTTACTTTTCTGAGTTTTTCATTTCTTTCCTGAGTTTTTTTTAAATTCTTTCTGTGCTTTTCTTTTCTGAGTTTTAACCCTTAAACCTGCTAAATTTGTGTAATGGATTTGCCCTGCTTTGAAATTGGAACAGTCCATTCAAAGTTTAAGGGATTTCACTAATCAAGCTGCTACAAGCAGTACAGAGCCTGGTCCGACTATGGACCTGTTGGCCCCCAACTGGCTCTAAACAGGGGGCAAAGGGTAATTTCTTTCTGTTCCAGCATGTGAAGAATTTTTGCTGCATGCCTCTAAGTGCCGTGACAGGATTTTGTGTCAGAAACTAACTTTATAGCTACTTAACACATCTGTTGAAAAAGAATTCAGCTTGCTAAATTTAATGTTCTCTTTAACTCTAGCTTACAACATTGTTTATTAATTTTAAAACTTTAATTCCTTCTTGTTTAGATTTTCTGAATGATATTGTCAAGGTCATATGACCATGTTATAGCTTTCTGGTGCAGAAATGTCACAGTTACTAAAACTGTGCAAATATTTCTGATATGAGCAGCTGAATTATTTTTGAGGCAAGTCAATATTTATAAATGTGTTGATATTATTGTTAATCAACAACAGGAATTGATTTAAAGTAATACCAGTTTATTAACCCTAGCTTAGTCTGTTGAGGGCAACAGATTTTACCCATCATGCATGCATTCAGTGCAGATTAGATCAGACAACACATCTGTACTGTCTGATCATTAACTGCACTGTTCCTTCCCTATTTGTAACATATAAATCTGCCTTAAACAAAACAAACAACTGCCCAACTCTTTTTATAAAATTGAATGTTAAAGGTAAATTCTGATGGATATTGACAGAAATTTCCTTGGGCCACGTGAATTATTCATCGTTCATGCAAAATAAATTATAAAATTGAAAGGACCTATGGCAAAATGTAAACTTATTTTGACTTTCACCTATTTGGTTAAAACCTATTTATTTAAGCTCGATTGCTAAACAAGTTCTTGCAACTTATATCAATCACTTTTGAGTCCGCTTCCTGGAACCAACCAGTACGGGTGTCATATGAAGAAACATGGTTGTTACCCAATTTAGGCTCGAACCCATGATTCCTGGATTTAGAGGCAGACACCCTAACCACTTGGCCAACGTTCCCCTTTCACCTGTTCAATGACTTTGCACCCTTGAATGGGCATAAGTAGCCATTACTAATTAATATATGCCTCTTAGTCTATTACAGATACAATACCCATGAGACAATACTAACGAAGGTGACAGCTGTTTATCACCAGCTGTTTAACAGAAGTAAACTTAAACTAATAATATGACTGTCCTAAAAAAATGACAGTTCATTATAAACTTTTTCTCAAATTCTTTTTACTTGCAACAAGTTAGAAAACTACCTGCTTTATAAATCAAGAACCATTTTCAAACTGAAATTCTCAATGTTGGGGTTGTATTTGAGCAACAAAGTACTAAATTTTTTTGTTTGTTGTGGCACATTTCGATATTTTACTATGTAACTTTCGTCTTTTATGTACATTTCGATATTTTACTAAGTAACTTACTTTTTTAAGGCACATTTTGATATTTAACTGTGTAACTTACTTTTTTATGTATATTTTGATATTTTACTATTTTACTTTTTTTTTTTTTTTTGGCATATTTTGATAATTTACTATATAACTTACTTTTTTGTAGCATCGCAGCTTTGCTGACTTTGGCATTTGGGTTCTGCCTGAGGGACGGAATGAGTGAATGCAGCAGATCAAAACCAGACTGAAAATAAACAAATTGTGTGTAATATATCACATATAGCACAGGTATATATCATATAACATTAGTTATTGACCTGCCAGTAAGTGTGTATAACTCTTAAACAACTCCTGCAAGTAACCTGCACCTGCAAACTCTACTTTTACAAAATCAATAGCTCCTATAATTATTATATTAGTTAAACTTTTCAAACTAAAAGCTCTAAAATTAAGTTAGTCAACACCTTATAAACCAATACATATAGCTTCTATTCAGTTTCCCAACACCTAATAAATCAATCTATTAAGTTAGTAGACAAATTATTAACCACTAGCTCCTACTTAGTTAGTAAACACCTAATAAATCAACAGCTCATACTTAGTCAAAACCTTACTAATTTCTGTTAAGTAGTTAGTTCAGCAGCTCCTATTTAGTCAGGCAGCACATAACCAACAATTCCCATTACCGTAAGTATGTCCACACATTATTAACCAATATCTACTGGTTATAAACCTAAAACTATTTAAATCCTTTATGACCATCAGCCCTTACTAAGTTGGTAATCATCTTATAAATCAATAGCTCCAATTAAATAAGGGTACACCTGAATAACCACTAGCTCCAATTAAGTTAGGCTCCAATTAATTAAGTGAACACCTGTAGAATTCAAAAATGTACAAATAAATTTTGTTAGCATTTCCTTATCACTAAACATTCATGCTGAGTTTTTCTAATATCCTAACTAAACCATTGTAAGATATAGTCATGGATGAACCTAAAACAAATGATTTTTTCTCAAATTTAATTAAAACTAGAACTGCCACTATCATGGCGTGAATACCCCCGCATACCACTTTGTCAGAATCAACAGTGGCCATTTAGAGCTCAAAGACAACCTCCCTGCCAAATCTGAGGTTACTAAGCCAGTGCATTGCTAAGTTATGTATTCTACATGCTTCAAATGTGGAAATGTCAAAATCAATACATTGCGGACAGGACATTCTTTAGCAATTAAGAAGAAAAGCTTCTTTTTTTGTCAAGGTCCCTGTGACCTTGACCTTTGACCCAGTGACCTCAAAATCAATAGGGGTCACCTTATAGTCATGATCAACATCCATGCCAAATATGAAGACTGTGGGTCAAAGGAATCTTAAGTAAATGGGTGGACAAACTTTTTGAAGTCAAAGTCCCTATGACCTTGACCTTTGATCCAGTGACCTCAAAATCAAAAGGGGTCAATGGCTAATCATGATCAACATCCATGCCAAATATGAAGACTGTGGGTCAAAGGAATCTAAAGTTATTGGGCAGACAAACTTTTTGAAGTCAAATTCCCTGTGACCTTGACCTGGTGACCTTAAAATCAATTGGGGTCATCTATTAATCATGACTAACCTCCATGCCAAATATGAAGACTGTGGGTCAAAGGAATCTTAAGTTATAGGGCAGACAAGCTTTTAGAAGTCAAGGCCCCTGTGACCTTGACCTTTGACCTGGTGACCTCAAAGTCAATAGGGGTCATCTACTAATCATGACTAGCCTCCATGCCAAATATGAAGACTGTGGGTCAAAGGAATCTTAAGTTATTGGGCGGACAAGCTTTTTGAAGTCAAGGCCCCTGTGACCTTGACCTTTGACCTGGTGACCTCAAAGTCAATAGGGGTCATCTACTTATCATGACTAGCCTCCATGCCAAATATGAAGACTGTGGGTCAAAGGAATCTTAAGTTATTGGGTGGACAAGCTTTTTGAAGTCAAGGCCCCTGTGACCTTGACCTTTGACCTGGTGACCTCAAAATCAATAGGGGTCATCTACTAATCATGACTTACCTCCATGCCAAATATGAAGACTGTGGGTCAAAGGAATCTTAAGATATTGGGCGGACAAGCTCTTTTTCAATCAAGGCCCCTGTGACCTTGACCTAGTGACCTCAAAATCAATAGGGGTCATTTAATAATGATGACTACTCTCCATGCCAAATATGAAGACTAAAGGTCAAAGGAATCTTAAGATATTGGGCGGACAAGCTTTTTTAAGTCATGGCCCCTGTGACCTGGACCTTTGACCTCAAAATCAATAGGGGTCATCTACTAATCATGACTAACCTCCATGCCAAATATGAAGACTAAGGGTCAAAGGAATCTTAAGTTATTGGGCGGACAAGAAAAAACCGCCGGACAAGTTGATTCCAGTATACCCCCCTTACAACTTTGTTGTGCGGGGGTATAACAAGAGCACTCAACTATTCTCAGTGCTCGTCAGTAAAAAAAGGGGTGTAACTCTGTAAAAAGTAACTCAGTTATAGTACCTGTATCATAGGTTATCACAGAAAACAAGTCTGTGAAGTTTCAACCCATTCCCTTGAGTAGTTTTGGAGATATCAACTTTCACGCAAAAACTTAACCAAAGTGAGCCCCTGAAGTGAGTACAATAACTCTCCTTTTTTCTCTTGAATAGTCAAGCTAAAAACTACTAAAACTGATCTGTTCTAAAAGTAGCCTTGATTATAATCATAGTACATATTGTATACCTTAAAATCACTGCATTTTAATAAGATTGAACTTTCAACAAAAATTTAAAAAAAAATTGTGTATCTGCAACAGAAACATCTATGAAGGTAGCAACACAAGTAGTCTGACACACAATCATATCCAGTTGGTGTTCATTTTGACTATTTCTAACACAGCACATGCACTAATGGGTATAAAGCTCTAGCAGCCTACTGATTGGTTAATACTTTAAACTCAGGATAAATTGGCCAATTGCAAGGGTTCCAGAATCTCATGTATGTTATTGATTGGTTAATTAATCAATTGGAAAATTATTCACAAGCTGCAAGCAATATCAACTGATCCAAAACCATCACATTGCACTCCACTTCCAGAGGACTTGACCAGATTGTAACACTAGTCTTGTGAACTGATAATAGATCAATGAATAGTTTTGTGTACAAAAATTTGTCTTGTGACCCGACTAGTTTTGTGTACTGAAAATAGTCTTGTGACCTGACTAGTTTTGTGTACTGAAAATAGTCTTGTGACCCGACTAGTTTTGTGTACTGAAAATAGTCTTGTGACCCGACTAGTTTTGTGTACTGAAAATTGTCTTGTGATCTGACTTGTTTTGTGTTTTGGAAATAAGTCTTGTCCTGACCATAGTCTTGTGACCTTACTGAAGTATTGTGTCCTGTCTTCAGTATTGTCTGATTGTAAACTTGTGAGTAGCTAAATTACAGTAGTCTTGTGACCCGATTTTCGTCTTGTGACCCATTAACGGTACTATTGTTGCCAAATTGTACTAGCCATGTGAACTGACTGTAGTCATATGGCCTGACTGTTGCAGTCTTGTTTCCTTTCTTGCAATAGTTTTGCGGCCTGATTAAAAAGTTTTTTGATCTGACTGAACATGCCATGCAGTAGTCATGTGATGTAATACAAGTTATCTCTGTGACATGATTGTAGAAGTCTGTGACCAAACTGTAGACATCATATGACATGATTGATGTATTATGTGACCTGATAGAAGTCCCTGTCATTTAATTGCTTTCTTGTGGCTGAACTGACTGTAGTCCTGTTGCTTTTCTAGCCATATTGAACTCTAGAAAAAAAGTGTGACCTGATTGCAGTTGTTTTGGAACAAGACTTGACAGGTCTTGTGACTTGGTTTGGTTTTCTGGTTTTACACCGATTTTTAACACATTTTTGGTCATAGCTCTGTGGTCAATACACTTAACTGGCTTTCCTGGATAACTAACCAGTTATTACCATTTTCTCCCGCTACTCCTCACGCAAAATATCTGATATTAGTGGTGAGAGACAACTGAGCATTCAACACAATGTTCGAGATCAATTGTCACAGAGAAATGACGACTTGTCTGAGCATCGAACCAGCAACCTCTGGATTACAAACTTGTTGCTTTCTCTATTGAACTATGCAGGCGGACCTGATTGAGACCTTGTGACCCAATCATAGCCTTGTAACCTGACTGTAGAGGTCTTGTGTCCTGATTAATATACCCATACCCAGCTATAGTCTTGTGACCTAATCTATCATACTGGATAATGCAACACATTCACTCTAATGCTATAATATTTGGGTTAAGGACAAACAATTGCAAGGGTAACAGAGATATAAATAAGGAAACAGGAATTGAAAACATACCTTGTGGACTTGACCAGATGTCTAAAAAGAAACAAAAATATGAAACTTGGATGCTAAAAAAAAAACAAGTTAGAGTAAGAAGAAATTAAAGTTAATCACACTAATTATAATAAAAGAGTTTTAAAGGTCTAATCATATCAAAGTATGGTAATGAGGAGATCTACCATCAGCAGTAAAATAACATCGGTAAAAAGGTGAAAATCATAGACTTGTTTTAACTGCCTCTGTTGAACCTAAAGGCTCATGCAATTTGACCTTCTAGGCCTGGTTTCACCCCTCCCACAATCATATAATGGTCACCTTGACTTTTCAATATGCTAAATAAATATGTGAGCATATGATCTTGCAGATACCGACTGGAAAAATTCAAAAGACAAGATAGTCATATTAGACTTAAATCGCTCACTATAATTACACATGCTACACTGAACAAAAAACAAAACCTGTCCCCTTTGATAAATCAAAATTGATAGAAATACTGAGTAATTTAAGAGGCCAATCTTCTAAAATTACATACAGATCAAAACAATTTTTTTATATGAAACAAAATTTTATAATATGAACCCTGAAAGTGATGCAGACTCCAAAATCCCAGGAGTTGTTTTAAAATAAACGTATAGGAAAGAAAAACTACAGCAAATCTTAGAAGGTTTCCGAAGCTAAACGTCACATGTTTGGCAATGCTGCAAAAATGGTGTCAAAATATGGTTTTACAATTAAACAATCACTCTTAGATAATATTATACAACCACATTTCTTTTTAACATCAACTCGTAATAACGCTAAATATCTTAAAAGGGCTTAAAAGGGCTTCTGCATCTTTCAATCTGGACATTTAAAGGAAAATTTCAAAATAATTATGTTGACTGAATAGTGAACACTGCTGACCATGATCAAACAGCACAGTGTGCTAGCTAATCTTAGTCAGCACTGGGTAAAATAAATTGTTGCCAGATTGCTAAAGGTAAGTATGGATTGCTGGTTCATGCAAGTACATCTGATCACTCGGCGTCTCACACTCTTCTAAATTTAGAGACATATATATTGATATTACCAGTGTTAACTTGGTACATGACAAGAGATAATTCGTTTCCAATGGAAAATAGGATCTAATTTAACAGTAAAATGTGTATGGTATTTCAAAATCTATTTCATAAAATTATCAACTTCAACAATCACTCTAAAACCAAGATGGCCATTTAAATTTACTTGTTATAAAATTTAATCACCCTCATGTTACATGTGTATTTTTTGTATTTATATTGTTTTGTTGTTGTGTATTTTCTATATTTTATGTTTTATTCCTGCAACTTTCATAAGCACATATTTTATTTACATTAGTTTGAAGATCCAGTAGGATGGACGCTTAAAGTTGTATTTGAACTATGTTCTAAGTCACATCTAAAATGCTGTAAATTTTACAGGTCACATGACGACATTCTAGCTCCACTGGTGGTTAAGGACTTTATGTGCTCCTCCCTTTACTATTTGAAGCAAAGGCAGGCACCTGGGTAGAGCAATCAACATTTTAGGAAGTAACAAGTACTGTGTGTGCCATATGAGGAAATGTTATCCTGACTTCAGTAGCACAATAAACCATGATATCTGGGCCGAGAGGCAGACACTTTAACCACACGTACACTGCGTCCCTTTTTTATTGATATTCTGTGGACTTGAGGAACTTTTTAATACCATTTTCCCATCAATTACACGTTTAACCCTTATTGCAAGCCTAAATATCTTAAATGGACTTGTCTGCTTTTCAATCTGGACAAAACCATTCATAATTTTGGGTTTGAAAATTTCAAATTATTTACTGACTGAAGGACATGATCAGATGGTGCAGATATTCAGGCCTAGTCTGGTCTACACTGGTCATATGGTTTACATTATGAGCCATATAGTGGGCAAAGATTTAATATCTATTTATATTTACTTTTACAAGTATGCAATATGTGCAAAATGACACATATAAACTTTCATATCTGAATAGAAAAAGGCCATTAATCTTTTCTAAATTAATAACAAATAATGAAAAATCTCAACAAGTTATTACAACTAGGAAAAAAAGATTTACGAAATTGTGTACCCTACCAGACTCATTAAAATTTAACGAGAAACTACAGCCTTTTAGTTTAATCAAAATCTATTTAACTGCCTTTTTCATGCTTTTTAGAACTAACAGTAAGACTAGATCTAAGATATTTCGAATAAATTACTTTAAAAAAATTCAAATACATTTCTAAATGTCATTATCAGAGTTAATTAAAATAAACATGTGGGGAGGAAAGCCTCTGAGTACACACAAACTTATAATGTATTGCGCATCTCAACTTGTGACATTTTACACGTGTAAAGTACATTGTAATTCAGATCAATAACATACAATGAGTGGACATTCATTTTTTCTCTAATAGCAAATTAAAAGAAATTCTAGTCAGTTAATAACACCAATCATATCAATTCAATCCAATGGGGTGTTCATGGCTGATTGGTTAAGGTTGTCAACTTCAAACCACCTACTTTTTTACCGCTGTTGGTTCGAGCGGAGCAAACCTCTTCGGATTCTTTCAAGTGAGAAAGCTATCAATCTCAGGCTTATGGAACATGGGTGGTTATTCTCGGGTGCTCGTTTGTGTCCAGAATAATGCACAGAGGGACACCCGAAGTCAATTCAATCCAATGTTCCTAAATCAATTAAATAGTTCAACGATTTAACACAGCGCCTCTGCTTTTTAAACCTGTCTTTGCTGGAAAAGAAAGTGATCAACCTCTGCCATCAGCCTGTACTGTGCAGGCTGACCAGGCTTTATTCTGTTGAATGACCTTTATATGAGCCGCGTCATGACAAAACCAACATAGTGCGTTTGCGACCAGCATGGATCCAGACCAGCCTGCGCATTTGCGCAGTCTGATCAGGATCCATGCTGTTCGCTTACCAACTCTATTACAAATAGAGCAACTGATAGCGAACAGCATGGATCCTGATTAGACTGCGCAGGCTGGTCTGGATCCATGCTGGTCGCAAACGCACTATGTTGGTTTTGTCGTGACTTGGGCTAAATTATATCTTTATATACCCAAAATAGCTAATGGACAGTTCCAGACATAGCAGCTGGGTAAGCGCATTAAAGAAATACAGCTGTTTAGGGATTAAAGCATTGGAAAAAGAGCATGTATATACATGTATATAGGATTCTTAGAAAACTTCAATAAAATACAGATGTTGCAAACAAGACAGAAGAATTGATAAACTTGTATATCAATTCTAAAGCAGCATTTAAATTATAGGTAAATCTGGTTTCAGTGTTGACAACAAAAATAGGCTTTCATCTGTGTCATTTATTACTTGTGTTTCATTACTGTTTAAGTTGATATTTCTGCGTGTCAAAAAGTTGGTTGATATTAATAGCCTTCATGTGACTTTTCCCATCACCGTAACAATCAGACTTTGGATAAGACAAAAATAAAATAAATAAACAAATAAAAATATGTAAAACAAGAGCTGTCACCCAAGTGACAAATGCCCCCAAAAAGGTTTCTTAAACATGCAGGTATTATGAAAAGAAAGGAGAATGAAAGTAACTAATTGCTGAATATTGTTCTTTGTATTATTGTACCTGTAATAGCATTAACCTTCAAAATATAAGTGTGACCTTTGAAGAAGGGACATGGTTCCTGGACGCGACAAAATGTTGTTATGAAGTAGACATTTGTGCCAAATTATTTCAAAATCCCTCAATGCATGACAAAGTTACAGTCTGGACATGATTGTTGTGTAAGTGGGGCACACGGACAGACGGACATGAGCCTTAGCCGCGACACATTGTCTTGATGTGGTTGACATTTGTGCCAAGTTTTTTTAAAATCCTTCCATGCATGACAAAGTTACAGTCCGGACATGAATGTGTATCTTCAAACTCTTCTCGAGAGAATGAGCACCTTCAAACTAAAAAAGTGTGACATTCACCTTGAAGGTAGGGACGTGGGTCTTTGTCGCGACATGTCATCTTGATGTGGTGGACATTTATGCCTAGTTATTTTAAAATCCTTCGATGCATGACAAAGTTACAGTCCAGACACGAGTGTGTGTACCTATTTACTCTTATTGCGATAATGTGAAACTTCAAAATGATAGTGTGACCTTGACCTTTGAGGTAGGGACGTGGTTCTTGGACGCGACACATCGTCTTGATGTGGTAGACATTTGTACCAAGTTATTTCAAAATCCCTTAATGTATGACAAAGTTACAGTCCGGACTCAAATGAAGTGGGACTGACGGTGCGATTATGTTATGCCTCCCTTCGGGGGCATAAAAATCCAAAAAGAGATGCATATTTCTACATTGCCATCCACTACTTTATAGATTTTCTTCTATCTTTTATCTTATTTGAAGAAATGCGGGACTTGAATTGTTCACAGTCTGACTGACACACAGACAGACAAACAAGAAGACAGACAAACAGAAAAATGCAAATGGTTTAAACACAGGTACTACATAGTGGACAAAAAAGACGGGAAGTTCAACTCAATTTTTTCAATTTCATGCAATTCATGAAATATCTTTTAGAGTTACCCACCTTGATATTTCCCCTGCGTTTTTTCTCAGAAGACGTGTGTACTGTAGTCCGGCTTTCTTCATTGAAATTGTTTGTTTCTGGAGATTTCTGAAATAATCCAAATTCAACCTTCCAAATATCTGCAGAGATTCATGCAAGAAACATCCAGTGAAAAGCTAATCAAGTACAGCACAATGGCTTCAAAGATACTGAACAAGTTTCATCCAGAGTTGACCAGAATTTTAATCTCTAGTACTATGGACTTTGGAGTGTTAATTAAGGTTTACCTTACTTATGATCTTTTGATCAAGTTTTCTGACCAATATTTCATTGAAATAAACTTTCGGACAAAATATGATAGAGATCTAATCAAAACGATGACCTCCCAACATGCTAACAACCCCAAAGTCTTGATGACCAAAAAGTGCACGAATCAAAAATAACTTATCCTTGTTAATAAGATTATAATTTGTAATTTTCCATTATTTACAATCTTTTTCAATTCTTATAACATCATTTAACTGTCGTCATACAATGTCATCAAGTTGGAAGTATCTTAAAGCAGCATGCCTGCAGATTCATGAAAATATATTTTTAAGTAAAATATTGTGAAGTGAACACAGATACTACCCTATATGCAAAGGCAAAAGACATAAAATCCACAAAAAATTACAAAAAAAAGAGGTCAAAATATACAAAGAAGTCCTTACTACATTAGTTACACAGTATAAATATGGTGACAAATACTACAAAATCAGTCATTAATCGCACATTACATGTAAATTTTTAAGTCGAATCTTTAATCTTTTTACTTTTCTTAAAATATTTTTACATTTTTTCCAAGTTTGACTTTCTTGAAATATTTTGGCTCTCATCTGAAGGCATGGCATGCAGCTTTAAACAATACAGACTAGTTTTAATCTGTAAATCTTATTTTCAATACACCCTCATTTTGTTCTTTTTTTATATTTCACATAATCATCTGCGACACAAACTTCAAACATGCCGGACATCATCTTTTCTTACCATTTAAACATTTCACCTGCTTGATTGGTATCATTTGTTGACAGATGACACGAAAACCGGACTTTGATCTTTTCTGCATTAAATGATGCAAAGAACTTTTCAGGAGTCATCATGTGTATAATGTGTTATCTATTCAGTAAATATTTTGTATCGAAATTCAAATGATGCTTTACTCAAAAGGTTTACTAAGTCATCAAATCCTACGCCAATCATTGGATCACAGACCTATAGATATTTCACAGCCATGTGGATCTCTCAGGTCACGAATTTTGTCACTTACTTTGGCAATAAGGTTCGGTCAACTTACCAGTGTTAACAATGAGTCATCAAACGCTGAAAGTGATGTGGTTGAGGAATTTGGACTGGTTACCGGACTATACACCGGAGTGGCCGGTGGAGAGGTAATATCCTGTTTTACCGGACTCATCACTACACTGGACGTGTTCGAAGAAGTAGTAACTGAAATAAACATTATAATATTCACATCATAAGTTACAGTGGACTGGAGCCTTGCTGACTCAAACTCTTTGTAATCAATCGTTCTTTTTAAAATAAAAACAATGATCTGCATAATAAACATATTGGGTAGTAAAACAACAGTACCTTATCACTGAAAATAATATGTGTTTCTAATAGGGATGGCAACGAGTAACCGGTTAACCGAGTACTCGATCGAATGTCCGAATATCGGTTAACAAAATTGATATTCGATTACTCGGAAAAAATATTTATTTTCTACTTTTTTTTGCGATTTAGAAAGATTAGTTCAGAAATTCGGAAATGTACACATATCTGTATAAATACTTGTTAAATGCAATCAAAACATCCTTGCAGAGGTGTGAAAATGATATCTTAAATTCAACGAGGCGATCAGCAGTTTGACACGCATATAGGATTGAACACAGTCCTGTGTCGTTTACGTTATTCGGCCTCTTATGATATTTAATCACCTTTAAATATTAGACACTTGTTAATTATAAAAACGTAAATATCTACAGAATATGATTATGTTGTAGCTTTGTATTTTTGCTACGAGTAGCGGTGAAAAAATTGATATCTCGTGAGACCAAGGTCGAGCGAAATATCAATTTTTCTACATTGCGAGTAGAAAAATGCATAGGCTCAGAAAGCTACTACAACATAATTTTCCTTTTATTATATACCTTTTCGTTTGAATTATAAATGATATTCATTATACTACACTTCTATAAGAAATTTCAGAAAATTAAATGTAGCTGTCAAGAAATAAATTTATGACCGACGGATGAAAACGTAGTTTTTGCAAAACCGGCCACGCCTTTTATAATGTTGGTTTCCGTTTCCAAATGCTATGTTTATACACAGCTAAGATCGGAACCAACGTCAAAAATAGTCGAGCACTTTCATATATGGTACCGTATTTGTCACTTACATAATACGGACTTTTTTATCCGTTGAAGCGTATTTGCGCTTCAAGTTCATCCTGTATTTTAGGGAGAAAATTTGTAGGTATATAATAAACTAGAACTGCCACTATCATGGCGTGAATACCCCCGCATACCACTTTGTCAGAATCAACAGTGGCCATTTAGAGCTCAAGGACAACCTCCCTGCCAAATCTGAGGTTACTAAGCCAGTGCATTGCTAAGTTATGTATTCTACATGCTTCAAATGTGAAAATGTCAAAATCAATACATTGCGGACAGGACATTCTTTAGCAATTAAGAAGAAAAGCTTTTTTTTTGTCAAGGTCCCTGTGACCTTGACCTTTGACCCAGTGACCTCAAAATCAATAGGGGTCACCTTATAGTCATGATCAACATCCATGCCAAATATGAAGACTGTGGGTCAAAGGAATCTTAAGTTATTGGGCGGACAAGCTTTTTGAAGTCAAGGCCCCTGTGACCTTGACCTTTGACCTAGTGACCTCAAAATCAATAGGAGTCATCTACTAATCATGACTAACCTCCATGCCAAATATGACGACTGTAGGTCAAAGGAATCTTACGTTATTGGGCGGACAAGCTTTTTGAAGTCAAGGCCCCTGTGACCTTGACCTTTGACCTAGTGACCTCAAAATCAATAGGGGTCATCTACTTATCATGACTAACCTCCATGCCAAATATGACGACTGTAGGTCAAAGGAATCTTACGTTATTGGGCGGACAAGCTTTTTGAAGTCAAGGCCCCTGTGACTTTGACCTAGTGACCTCAAAATCAATAGGGGTCATCTAATAATCATGACTAACCTCCATGCCAAATATGAAGACTAAGGGTCAAAGGAATCTTAAGTTATTGGGCGGACAAGAAAAAACCGACGGACGGCCGGACAGCCGGACAAGCTGATTCCAGTATACCCCCCTTACAACTTTGTTGTGCGGGGTATAATAAGGAATATTAATAAATGCTGTCATTGACATTTCTTATGTGTATTTCTTGCAGTCCTATTTATAGTTACGAATTCTATGAATTAAAATTGAAAACGAAAGTAGCATGCAGACAGTGTTGATATTGTGTGGTAAAACTTTAAAAATCATTGGAAATCATCCGAGTAACCGAGTACTCGATCGGAAAAATGACCGAGTACTCGAGTATTGATTTTGGTATTCGTTGCCATCCCTAGTTTCTAAGGATAACCAACCCTAATTAATTGGTAGAAATCAATCATTGTTTGGTAAAATCGAAATGAACTCAAATGCAACTCACCTTCCTTCCTCAGTTTTCATACTGCCTATTTTTAGTACATTTCCGTCACATGAGAGGTTTTTTTCAATTAAGGAGTTGTTATTTGGGATCCAGTTTACCTTGATAATGCCCCAATTAAAAGCTTGAGAGTTCATGAAGGTAACTAAATACTATCACGTACAACATCAAACTGCAGATTAAGTAACATTAAGGGAAGATGATGGAAAAATTTTCTCCAAGGGCCTATGTTCCTGTGAAACTAGTATTGAACAAGCTTACCTTGTCTACTGACTGTATTGAACACTTCTTTCACTGAAATATTGCTTGGACTGAAAGCATGACTGGCCGCAGCTATCAACACACTTGTTGGAAAATCCGCTATCTGTAACAGCAATATAAAAATCTATCAATATATTTCAATACCCATATAGTAATTTATAGTTTCATCAATATAGCTAGGTACTGCAACAAGATCACCATGCTGGCCCTTTAATGTGATTGGAGAGTTCAACTACATCCACCACTTATGGTGGTTGGGTAAGAGCAAGCATTATTATTGTGAAGAAAACCAGTGGCCGTAATTTTAAGACTGAAGCTAAAAGCTCTAGCAATGGGTACCTGGGTGCATTGCTTAGGTCATTCAAGGTAAACCAATACCATACATTCACAAAAATTGCATAATATTATGAAGTCCACCATTTGAGACCCTTTAGAGAACATGATTTGAACTTGATCTTAAGGTCTTCTTGTCCAATATATAAAGAAGACCACAAGATGATGCCCCATCAGGCCATGCTTCAGTACAAAATCAAAAGACATAAACCATGTAACTGTAGTAAGGAAAAAAGATTTGAATGCATTAACTATATACAAGCAAGGAAAATAAATGACACCGAGAAATAGCAAATTTGGCAAGATTACATTGCAATCTAAATCAGTGCATATTAAGTGCTCATCCTAAACTTTCATAAACTTTTCACCCAGGAAGTGGTTAATTCATATCTAACATGATCTAAAGTATTCAAATCCATAAGACTTTTTTCTATTTTTTTATCAATAATTTTCCTATATGCTCCTGATTTCTTATAATATTTCACTTATTTACACAGGTAAAGCTTATAAATTAAACTGTTTCAGTGACTTTAAATACTCAGCAGTAAAACTACATAACATAGCTATTTCCAAATCATTTTTAATTCTCATGCCTAGTAACATTCTTTCTTTATATTATAGAGATCTACTATGTGATACTATAGCTATCAAATCTTGGTAAATGCTCACCAGTTTTGATTGTTTTTGCTTTTTACTCCCATTTAAACACAATTTTTTGGTCATATCTCATTTTTAGCTCTGTTTACCCCTTAAAGAGGCCAATTGAAATGATGTGAGCAAATGAAAGTGAGACAGTTACAAGGATACATGCTACTGCCCAAATTTGAAGTGCATTTGCCCAGCAGTTTCATAGAAGAAGATGAATGATGACGCATAACGATGGACACCAGAGCATCCTCCTTTGGACCTTCAGTTCTTGTGAACTAACAAAAAAGTAAGGAAATGTAGGGCCAAGGTGAAACAATTATGTTAAGTAGGTCCCCTTAACAGCCTTTATCATAATAAAATAAAATAACCATAAAATCTATATATAGGGAAAACAGGCGTCCAAACTACTACTAACAACACTATAAAATGCAACATGTCACTTAACTAACTTTGCTCACAAAACATTTTACTACATATGCATGTGAATTCCATGTAACATATAGACATCATTATGCTCATAATGCACCTATAAAATTTCTCAAATCTATTTATTCTACGCACAAAACGAACCATTTAACACAGCTGCCAGCAATTGTCTGCTTTTTTGAGTTCACGAAGGTGCTTATAATAATATAATAAGAAATGTCAGCAGATCAATATAGATATGCAATTATGTAACAACTTGACACTTTAACTAAATGGACATCATAGTCAAACTAAGCTCACTTGACAAACAACTACATGGGGCACAACCATATGTATACCTCATGTTGCCTCATAGGTATCTTGAAAAATTTAATGTATTCTTCATCTGATGTAGGGGCGTACTAATTTGCAGATTTTACATCATAGATATCTGATTCACAAAGGCTACATATGTCCATCTCTTTCAGAAGCATTACAAGACTTATTCCTCACAATATGATTGATATTGTAAAACACATAGGTGTATGTTCAACTTGCTTAAGGGCGTAAAGACGTATGTTCAACTTGCTTAAGGCGTAAAGACGTATGTTCATCTTGTGTAAGGGCGTAAAGGCGTATGTTCATCTTGTGTAAGGGTGTAAAGCCGTATGTTCATCTTGTGTAAGAGCGTAAAGACGTATGTTCAACTTGCTTAAGGGCGTAAAGACGTATGTTCATCTTGCGTAAGGGCGTAAAGGCGTATGTTCATCTTGTGTAAGGGCGTAAAGGCGTATGTTCATCTTGCGTAAGGGCGTAAAGATTTATGTTCATCTTGTGTGAGGGCGTAAAGGCATATGTTCATCTTGTGTAAGGGCGTAAAGATGTATGTTCATCTTGTGTAAGGGCGTAAAGACGTATGTTCATCTTGTGTAAGGGCGTAAAGACGTATGTTCATCTTGTGTAAGGGCGTAATGATATTGTATACATTAAAATATGATAGGTATCTTAAAACACATAGACATAAGTTATCCTGTGTAAGGGCGTAATGATATTGTATACATTATAATATGATAGGCATCTTAAAACACATAGAGGTTAAGTTCATCTTGTGTAAAGGCGTAATGATATTGCATACATTACAATATGTTCATCTTGGGTAAGGAGGTCTGGAGGTGATGATATTGTATACATAACAATATGATAAGTATTTCAAAACATATTGATGTATTTTTTATCTTGTATAAGGGAGTAATGATTTGTACACTACAATATAAAAGGCATCTTAAAACATATAGACATATATTCCATCTTGTGTACAGTCTTATACCTCATGATGCAATAGATATCTCTACAAGAAACATGGCAATGCCATGAAACCAGGTTTTCAATTATCACCATTTTAGATAAATATGTTGTATTTGAAATACAAATACAAGCAACAAACAATGTAACTATGTGCAATGTAAAACATGAATAATGTAGGAGGAATTGCCACTGAAGAAGTGTTCACTATATATTCTGTATAAGGAAAAAAACAAAGGGCCATAATTAGGTCAAAAATTATCCAATCACAAAACCCCGACTATGTGCCAGGGCACTTGATGACAAAGCTTCTGTGAAAGTTTGAACAAAATCCGTTGAGAAATGTTGGACGAGTTCAGCACAGAAGAATTTGTTCACTATATATTGATAATTCTGTATAAGGAAAAAAAACAAAGGGCCATAATTAGGTCAAAAATTATCCAATCACAAAACCCCGACAATATGCGCCAGGGCACTTGATAACAAAGCTTCTGTGAAAGTTTTGTCAAAATCCGTTGAGAAATGTAGGAGAAGTTGCGCAAGATAGAAATTGTTCACTATATATTCTGTATAAGGAAAAAAAAACAAAGGGCCGTAATTAGGTCAAATATTATCCAATCACAAAACCCTGACAATATGCGCCAGGGCACTTGATAACAAAGCTTCTGTGAAAGTTTGGTCAAAATCCGTTGAGAAATGTAGGAGAAGTTGTGCAAGATAGAAATTGTTCACTATATATTCTGTATAAGGAAAAAAAAAAAAAGGGCCGTAATTAGGTCAAATTTTATCCAATCACAAAACCCTGACAATATGTGCCAGGGCACTTGATAACAAGGCTTCTGTGAAAGCTTTGTAAGTTTGAACAAAATCCGTTGAGAATTGTAGAGGGAGTTCAGCACAGAAGAAATTGTTCACTATATATTCTATATAAGGAAAAAAAACAAAGGGCAATAATTAGGTCAAATATTATTCAATCGCAAAACCCCGACAATATGCCCCAGGGCACTTGGTGACAAAAGTTCTGTGAAAGTTTGGTCAAAATCCGTTGAGAAATGTAGGAGGAGTTGCGCACAGAAGAAATTGTTTACGCCCGCCCGTCCGCTCGCCCATCCGCCCGCCCGCCGACATACCTCAATCCAATAACCAGTTTTTTTCTTCGGAAAACCTGGTTAAAAACACAGAAATATACATGTATATTCATCTTGTGTAAGGGGTAATGATATGTATACCTTAGGTCTAAGCATACAACAGATACCTTGTAACACATTAACTATGTCCATTTTCTGAAGGGGCGTCACAATACCTCTATTTTATATATATATATATATATTTTTTCTCAAAAAGTCTGGCCAAAAAATACTCACTGAAACAGGAAGGGTCATTGTGGAAGGCTGACTGGTTTGTAATGTCTGTACTGAGGTGGGTGCTTGCAACTGAGACAAAACAGTTCCTCTCCCTCCCTCCTCCTTTACACTGATTATTGCCCCTGGATATGTCCCTGAAAATATACAAACAAATAAAGAAATTAATTACCTCCCTTAGATATTCCCTATAATCAACTTTTAAACCAATAACTTTACTCAATCATTTGCATTTTTCGGATACCACATTATTGGTTCGAATTTGACAATTGAAAGAAGTGTTCCTTTTAGACCACATGATTGTGGCCAATCATACGATATTCATTTGCTTTTGACTCCATCATTCATATCTGTGATGGCAATGCCTACAAATTCATCTTTTTCTTTACCTTTACAGTAGTATCTTTCCTTTCTACTCCTCCTTGAGCTTCACACCCTGGAATTTCACTAATTTACTACATTATTCCTTTTGTAAAACCAGTGAAGAAAAAAAAACATCTCCATATTTAGTAAACATGACAAAGAGACAATATAATCATTGAGTTAAAACATTTATAAATATTGCTTATGTCCCTAAAAATATTATTGTTTTTTACTTATTGTTTGTCTGGGTTTTGCACCAATTTTAAAGGACTTTTTTTTTAAAATAAATAGTCACAGGCTTTCCTGTATAACCATTTCTCCAAAGGTGCCTGACAACATATCCCACATGATTTCTAATTTAGGGGTGGGAGACATTATTGACAATTTGACTCAATAGAGTACATTTAGATACATGTACATTGTCACAGAAATTTCAAATTTTAAACCCTGTATATACAATAATGTGCTTCTGGTCATGGCTTTACATTTTATAACAGAGCCCTCTTCCAAATTAAATTTTTATCCTTTAAATCATGCAGATTTCCAAAAATATTGTAACTTAAACGAGATTTTTACTTTCCTAAATTTGCAATTTCAGCAAAATAATTTTTCCCCAAAATTGAAGGCTAAGATCTCTTTCAAAAAGAAAAACAAACACCTGAATTGTTTCAAATTCTATTTGTAGAAATTCTGTCATGATATAATTATATTGATTTTTAAAGCTTGTTTGTATTAAGTAACCTCTTATATTAAGATACAATATCAAGTGTGATGTTATTTTTCATGCTAGATTTAAGCTTGTCTATATTGGCGGGCAACATATGCCCGACACAATCTGTTTATGTTTTCTTGCTACTATCTTGAGACATTCATACTTCACAATATACTTTAACATTATCAACCAGACAATCTGTCACATTTATATATCCAAATAAAAACAAGAGGACCATCTTGGTGGCCATAGATAGCTAACCTGAGACACATAATGATCTGAAAAATCTAATTAACTGGGAAGAAATGGGTTAAACAACAGCAGATGCAGAGATCTGCCAAGAATTTGAAAGTACTGGGATCCCGGCCAACTTGGTCTGAAAATGATGGGCCATTTTGACCAAAGTATGGGCCTTGAGAAAATATGTAAACATTGACCTAAATGACTGTTAAAAAGTTTGTAGATAACTGAATTTCCTTTGTACTGGAACTTAAATCATATTTTTTTCTTTGTTTGTTTTTTTTTTGATTAAATTTACGGTAGTAGAAATGAGTACTTGTGTGGGAAAGGGATTATGAGAAGAAATGCGGTAAGTAGATAAAGTGAACAAAAGCTATAGGGGAATGGATAAACTCAAGAATATGCATAATAACAGGGGAATGGGTAACGCGTTTCTGTTGGTACCAGTTTTGACTGGATGACTAAATAACCCAGCGGACAGTTTGTTTTCTTTTAAGTCTGGCACAGATGCGCCCTTGGCCCTTAGCTGCTGATTTTCCTGCGCCATTCTCTTTTATTTTGCGCCAAGGGTGCAAAATCACGTCCTTGGCAGATCTCTGCAGATGATTTATAACTTGGGCAGTCAATTAATACCTCAAGCTTTGAAGAGAGTTTATTTAGTGGTGATATCTAACAATCAACAATTTTGAAACTGCCTAGCTTATATTACATTCTACCAATTCTATTACCTAGCAAACAGTGCAGACCAAGATCAAATGAGTCCTTTCCCCCTGTTTATGTTCTGCACTGTCTGCTATTCAGTATGTATTCATTTTGAATCCAAAACTGCTGAACGTTTTTTTCTTGCATATCAGACATGCGTTTCCGTGAGTTTTACCCATGCCAGAAATTTCATCTGGCATGGGGGGTGCCCATGGTTCATACCAAATTCTCAAATCAAAATTCAAGGACTTTTCAAGGACTTTTCAAGGTAAAATTGTCATTTTCAAGGCATTTTTTTCCCCGATTGATCTTATTTAAAATTATACTTTTACAACCATATCTGTGATATACATTTTTATTGCAATTGATCTTATTTAAAATTATACTTTTACAACCATATCTGTGATATAAAACATGTAAATAAAACATGTGTATTTCAATTTAAGGTTCAAATGACTAGAATTGCAAAACAGTGACTATATTTAGAAAATCAGCACAGTCAGTAGAATATATGAACACCAAAACTGTAACATATAGGTGATTGAGTAAATTCACACAACTCTTTCTAGTTTTTCCTTTCTTTTTTGGATTTCTCTTCCAATTTCCTCAACTTCCAGTTTCTTTTCTTTGAAGCCCTTTCTTAGAATGTTTGATTCAGACACAAATCAATGATTACTAGAAGTGGGTGGGGGTGGTATTGTCATGTCATGCACAGTTTCCGTTGTGGATTGGGATGGCACAATGTTATTATTTGAATCAGATCTACTACAATTTTCAGTTTTGACATTTATAGTTCCTTCCTGTCTGACAAATGCAAGGCCACACTTCGTCAATGACGACTTGATGTCTAGATTTTTTAGGTGCTTTGCACCCCTCGCATGCGATGTTAATGCACTCTCTCCCATTTGCGACAAATCGATGGTTTTCATACACATTGTACATTGTGCTTTTCGTGGGTCTTGTATAACTTGTTTTACCCAACTGTATTGTTGAAGCCATTTGAGCTGAAACGAACATTTCTTAGTGTATTTTCCCATTTTTTACTTCGCAATGGAAGCTGACATTTTGTACACAATTTGCGATGACGTCATACACAAGTGCTTGTTAAAATCTGTGCCAAAACCGTAACGCTGGCTAAACACTACTAAAACAGATCCAAATGGGCGCACTCAATCGGGCTGCCTTCGTTCACATGTCCGATTTGTAGCGGAAAATTTGCCTGACCTTTACAGCGACAGGTTTTATACCCTTTTGGATTTTCAAGGCATTTTACCGAAATTCAAGAGGGTTTACTGAAATTCAAGGACAATTTTAGTGTTTTTTCAAGGCAACCCTGAATTCAAGGACTTTTCAAGATTGAAACCAAATTCAAGGACTTTTCAAGGCCCGTGCGAACCATGGGGGTGCCAGATGAGTCGCGTGCTGTACAATGGCACGCTTAAGATGACATCATTTTATCGTTATGAATGAAGTTGTAATTCATACGCTGTTGTAAAAAAGTAGTTACGGTTGTAATGATATAAATTTTCATTGAAATTAAAGATAAAGAATTTAAAATATAATATACTATGGTAGAATATGCAAGAAAAAATATCTGACATATGTTTGCAGTTTGGATCGAAATATCCGTCCCTCAGTCACGGACAGATATTCCTATCTGAACCGCAAAATATGACAGATATTATTAGTCCAGATTGAGAGGAAGGCAAATCCCTTTTTTTATATTTAGAGTTAAATTCTGTCCACTCGGATGAATGATATGAAAAAGAATGACCAACAGAAACATTTTTCTCTGAACCAGTCTTACTCAATTTCAATTATATTATTAACTATATAGGTAATGATTATTTATGATTTATGTTTATTTCTTAATTAAATATTGGGCATGAAACTGACAAAAACACAAGATGTACATAAATCTGTCTATTAATGTAAATTGCTTATATTTATATATTAAACAGGTTTAAAGTTTTTTTTAAAGGTATTTGGAGTATACTCACATAACTCCGGGTAAATCAAAGCAGCATAATCTCCTATACTATTCTCCATTATATTGCCTTTGTTTTATTATTTATAAATGTTTAAACAATTATCACTTTCATATCTATTCTTGATATAATAAATTATTCAACGTGTTTCCACCAAGATTGACACATTTCATTACTTTCTCTTTTTGTTTTTGCTGTAAAGTTCATCAAGTTTTAATAACAAACTAAGAAGAAAAATTTCAAATTCTATTTTCCTACGATATCCTCCTTATAAAAAAAGATAAAAAATTTACAAACACAATGAGTTTTTATCAAATCAAAATATTAAGTTTTCAAAAATTTAATCTAGATTCTAAATGATAATGCTTATTGAAATAGAAAAACATTACAAAATTTCAAACTGGATTTAAAAATTCATTCCCTGTCTTAAAGCTATGCACTTTTTTTATCTCTTAGTAAAGAAAATGAAAAACGCTATCTTGTGTTTATTATACTGTTGTATCACCCATACATGTATGTTTTGGGTGGCATGTATACAACAATAAAGTGTGTGTAAGTGTGTCACTAGAGTGCAATCATTATACCAAGGTTAAGGTCACACTGTATTTACTATATAGTTAACATGACTGTGTCACTTGATGATCACACATGATTCAATTCATACACCTCGAAATTTCTTCAACATGTACATGTGCTTAAGCAATGAAAACATGATGATGCAATCTAAAGTGCAACTGCTGAAATACTGTAATATGCTACCTATAATTTAACATTGAGAAAAAATGATGAAATAAGTGGCATAGACGCATACATTTATCCCTCCCAGACAACTTTAGCCCAAAACCTGACTACACCCTCTGCCCCAAGCAAAGTTTGCATGATATTGGACCGAAATGCTAAGGTCATAGTTTTAATATTCAACTGAACAATCTCCATATATGTTTAATTGTTGACTTTGCTGTATTCATTTGTGAGGTCATTGGTTTTGGGGTGCATTAGGTTTAAAAGTGCATTAATCATTTAATTATTTACTTAATCTATCATTTGAGCACCAAAGAATAATATAATTGCTAAATGAAACTCTAGAAAAGGAACGATAGACCATTGAGTCAATTCTAAACTAATTGAACTT